GATTCAAAACGTGCAATTCTCTTCGTATATCAATTAAAGACAACATCAATAAAAAGATAAAAATGAGTTATTACAATGCAATATATGTGTACATACATGATAACACTACACATACCACTTTGTGGTGGTTGATTTATCAGAATTTGAAATGTTAACACATGACATCAATTTATGTGATATAAGGAATCTCGTTTCCTTCAATATGGTTCTAATATCGGTGCCCCTTGACTCGAACTACGGATGACGGGATAAATATAGATAACCGATGCCCCCAAGGACATCGATTCCACCAGGTTTCACTGCATACTTCAGGCCATAGCAAATGTAGTGTGGACCCTGAATTGCCAACTTTAACAGATCGATAAATGAATGAATATGATATCATTAGCTGTATGGAAAGACATGTTAAACCTACGCGGGGAATCAAACCAACGCGTTCATGTGACAAGCGGACGCTTGGATCGGCTACCCCTGCTACTGACAAAGCAGACTTCCCCTCGACTCACCCCATGAGTTATCTCTGTCAACAATGGGGGGAATCCATATTGGAATGACATTGACTAGTTTCGCTAGTTCACGTGTCTGTCACATTAAGCGTCACATTCGTGACCTATGTTGCTCGATTATTTAATTTGTATTTCTATTAACCATAAAAAGTGTCAAGTCTTTTAATTGTATTTAGAAGTTATACACATAAGGGAGAGAATTTGTCAACTTCTTTATTTAATTCTTTATTCATGTACATGTGTAGGCCAGCGGCCCATGGTACAATATATCGTCCATCATTAACATTTATAGGCTTAGTGTTTGGAGTCTAACATTCATAGCATGGTATATAAAAGTTGCAACATTTCTAATGACAGTTTCTTTGTTTACCGCCATAAGCATATTGAATTTAGCAAGAGTAGGATGTACAAAATACTTCTGTGGTAAATACTGAAGACGAACTTCTTTATTATGAGGTCTACAACGTTTCAGCTTCTAAGCAATGTCTATCAAACAACTCATCAAAGATGTCTTTCTCGAAATCGACGTCGTGCTGTAAAAAACATATGCGGAATGATGGATCGGTGTGCGGCTTACTGTGTTTTGCCAAACTGTTTGCATTACATTTGCAACATACCGACCGCAATTTTGAATCTCGATTTAATAATGCAAGACGCCATTCTCCGGTGGACAACTTATAGTAAACATATGATACGATAAACAAATAATCTTGTTCACAGTTTGTTGTTAAACGCTGCACTCAGCAATATTCCAGCTATATGACGGCGGTCTGTAAATAATCGAGTCTGCACCAGACAATCCAGTGATTGTTATCATGAGCATCGATCCACGCAATTGAGATACGATGACATGCATCAAGCAGGTCACGGAGCCTGACCACCCGATCCCGTTAGTTACGACAAGCATAGTCACCTCTTGAGACAAGCATAGTCATCTCTTACGACAAGCATAGTCACCTCTTGTGACAAGCATAGTCACCTCTTACGACAAGCATAGTCACCTCTTACGACAAGCATAGTCACCTCTTGCGACAAGCATATTCACCTCTTACGACAAGCATAGTCACCTCTTGCGACAAGCATAGTCACCTCTTACGACAAGCATAGTCACCTCTTGCGACAAGCATAGTCACCTCTTGCGACAAGCATATTCACCTCTTACGACAAGCATAGTCACCTCTTGCGACAAGCATAGTCACCTCTTGCGACAAGCATAGTCACCTCTTGCGACAAGCATAGTCACCTCTTGCGACAAGCATAGTCACCTCTTGCGACAAGCATAGTCACCTCTTGCAACAAGCATAGTCACCTCTTGCGACAAGCATAGTCACCTCTTACGACAAGCATAGTCACCTCTTACGACAAGCATAGTCGCCTCTTGCGACAAGCATAGTCACCTCTTGCGACAAGCATAGACACCTCTTACGACAAGCATAGTCACCTCTTACGACAAGCATAGTCACCTCTTGCGACAAGCATAGTCACCTCTTGCGACAAGCATAGTCACCTCTTGCAACAAGCATAGTCACCTCTTGCGACAAGCATAGTCACCTCTTACGACAAGCATAGTCACCTCTTACGACAAGCATAGTCGCCTCTTGCGACAAGCATAGTCACCTCTTGCGACAAGCATAGACACCTCTTACGACAAGCATAGTCACCTCTTACGACAAGCATAGTCACCTCTTGCGACAAGAATGGGTTGCTGAGGACCTATTCTAACTCGGGTCTTGTGGTGGTGTTACATGAGAAAGTAAATGTGTGAGTTTGGTTTTTCGTCACCTTAAACGGTATTCCAGTACACGTATATCACGGCGTGAGGCGAAAAGCAAAAGTGATGCAGGCCTAAGCGCGAGTGAGTGAGTGAGTTTGGTTTATCGCCGCCTTTAACAGTATTCCAGTTATATCACGACGTGTGAGCGGAAAGCCCGAACTGATGCAGGTCTCAGACGTTTACCACTTTGGTGAAACCCACGATCACGGGTATGGTGCTGACAAACCTAGAAACATAATCGAGGCGAACCGGGATTCGAACCCACAAACATAGGTTTCTGGTGTGCCCAAGGGACGCAACTCTACAGCGCCTTAGATGAATGATTGCCACCCCCCCCACCCCCCCCCCCCCCCCCACCCCCCCCCCCCCCCGACCCCCCCACCCCAATACACACACTCACACTCACACACACACACACACACACTCTCTGTCTCTCTCTCTCTGTCTCTCTCTCTCTCTCTCTCTCTCTCTCTCTCTCTCTCTCTCTCTCTCTCTCTCTCTCTCTCTCTCTCTCTCTCTCTCTCTCTCTCTCTCTCGGCGGCGGCGCCTTTGATGAGTGGCACTTTAGTGCTGCCCGTTCCGATGGCAGGGTTTTCGGTACTTTATAAGACAAACACCAGCATATTGATCCCATTGAGTATGACTGGTCTATATTCAGTTTGTAGTTATACAGCACAGTCAGGAGCTTAACTCGAGATTAAATGAGAAAAAATCTCCCCTGCTGTATGTAATCGTCCCATCACAAGTAGAGGAACTACATGCATGTATGGTTTAGTTATGTGCCATGCATGCCATCTCTTCCTATTGTGCTATTGTCTTCCTTGGGAGGGACATTTTTGTACTACCCAGCAAATTGAGAGCACCTGACGCCTAGCTGCGACAGACACTCGTATTAATACATCATCTGATACAGCCCGTGTTTTGTGACTGTCTGTATTATCTTGATATGTCCCCGGTTGATTAATCAGTGTATTAAACTAAAAAACTATCCAAGATCACGTGGAAAAGATACTAAAATAACACTTCACCTGCGCCTCGTTTATCTATATTTAAGGTATGTTATATCTTCTTTGACAAATCTCATCGATGACAAATTTGTGGGGCGATGGGGTAGCCTAGTGGTTAAAGCGTTCAGGACAACCCTTGCTTTCATTGGGGACCAGCAGAAAGTGCATGTAAACCCTGACTTGGATCAAGGATCACTCGGAAAGAACATTTAAACCCTAACTTGGATCAAGGACCACTTGGAAAGAACATTTAAACCCTAGCTTGGATCAAGGACCACTCGGAAAGAACATTTAAACCCTAGCTTGGCTCAAGGACCACTTGGAAAGAACATTTAAACCCTAGCTTGGATCAAGGACCTGTCGGAAAGAACATTTAAACCCTAGCTTGGATCAAGGACCACTTAGAAAGAACATTTAAACCCTAGATTGGACGAAGAACCACATGGGAAGAACATTTAAACCCTAGCTTGGATCAAGGACCACTCGGAAAGAACATTTAAACCCTAGCTTGGATCAAGGACCACTTAGAAAGAACATTTAAACCCTAGATTGGACGAAGAACCACATGGGAAGAGGATTTAAACCCTGGCTTGGATGAAAGACCACTTAGAAAGAACGTATTAATCAAAAGCTTGGATGTACGACCAACTGAGGAGCATCTAAACCCAGACTGCTTGGATGAACTTAGTAATAGGATGCAAACCATGGCTATGACATCATCCCGAGGCAAGGGAGTTAACTGACTTTAAAAGTCCAGTTTCCCTCTTATCGAACTGGGCTGGAATTATCGAATTATAGTTTGGCTGGACTAACGAGTCTATCCATAGTTCAATAAAAAATGCGTAACGAAATCGACTGCCGGTTCGTAAACTGCCGTGCAGATATTGTCGATTGCAGGAATTGCAGAGCATGTGTACTGCCGAAACGCGTCAACAGATATTTTCAAATCTTTTCATGTTTTTAATCAGGGTGCTCGCGTGATTTGATTCATTCCGCGAAGAAAGACCCGTTTTATTACAATATAGATTTTGATTAACGATCAGTCCGTCTTGAGTGGACACCGCCATTTTGTTTGAAGCAAATGCAAGTGATATGAGAGATGGAATCTGATTGGTCAGTAGGAGTAACATAGCAGGGACATAACTCGTAATAGCCAATGGTGGCGCTACGATCGAGTCCAGAAATTCCAGCCTAGTTCAGCAAGGGTGGAAACTGGACTTTTACAGTCAGTGAACGCCCTTGCCTAGGGGAGATGTGGCTATGATAGATGACATTATCCATAAAAAGCGGGGCTTTAATGGGTGACACTAGACACTGCCTGTACCGTTGTGTATAGGTAAAGGTGACATCACTCGATGACAACAGTACCGCCCGGATTAACGAGGGTTCACAGTATACACACTGTTGTCATCAAGGGCAACTCGCGCAGTCGACGAAGATTGGCTGTGCAGGTTTTCCATGCGGGAAATAAAGCTTATACATAAAGCTTGTAATTGAAACGTTATGTGAAAACAGTGTTATCTAAACCCTAGGCTATTTGGTCACATACGTTATATTGTGTCTGTTATCATATAAAAAGTGTTGAATGTTAGCTGGTTGTAATGCAATGACACCTTGCGAAGATGTAACTGTTTCCTACACCAAGTGGTTTTGGCAAAACCCCAGCTGTACCACGAACGTTAGTTTTTACAAGAGAATTGTTTTGTAGATGCGTGTTTTTGATTTTCAGTAAAAGCTAACGTCAGATGGATTCGTGTAGCAACCAACAGGACTGTTGAAGAACTTATTTACGACAGTAACTACAAACAGCGTGATTTTTATCACCGGCGGAAGCTCAAACTATTCATTCCCGATTGAATGGTTTGTTATTTTCGAGTTTTGACCTCATCAAATGTACGCTGTACAGACGGAACATGGCTTCTTGGATTGACCTGGCTTATTGTCGAGCACCCCTGCGTTGTTAGAAGTACACAGGTACGCGTATCCAACAGGTGGGATATACAGAGAGCATGTCACTAGTATTCCTGTAAAAGATTCCGTTGTTTCTCTCATGTCAACTGATGCGTCAAGTGATTGTAGATGTGATGTGACGCATTCGTAGACGTTATTAAGAGTAGCTCCTTGATATTGTCAATTTAAACATTTTTATAATAATCATTTGTTAATAAGAATCTTCAGTAGTAGTAGTAGTGGTAGTAGTAGTAGAAGTATTAGTATTAGTACTAGTAGTAGTAGAAGTAGTAGTATTAGTAGTAGTAGTAGTAGTAGTAGTAGTAGTAGTAGAAGTAGTAGTAGTAGTAGTAGTAGTAGTAGTAGTAGTAGTAGTAGTAGTAGTAGAAGTAGTAGTTGTAGTAGTAGTAGTAGAAGTAGTAGTAGAAGTAGTAGTAGTAGTAGTAGTAGAAGTAGTAGTAGTAGTAGTAGTGTCGTTCTCAGAATCATCATTATTGCAGTTGTAAGTAGTACACTCTATTCCGCAACAAGTTCCCACTGGGTTATCCTTGGCACTAGGCTTTGGTCAGGTGTTCTAAAACCGGTGTAGATTCCGCCGCCAAGTTCGTTCGTTACCGAAACTTTTTTCGCCTCTTGCCAAAACAACAATGTCTGCACCGAATCAAGACAAGCCTTACAAAACCTGGCTATCACATTGTCTCATATCCAGGATTATTTAGGAATTGATTTACCACGCTGTGGATTTTATAAAGGTAGGCTATTGTTTTAAACAGTTTATTCAATACGACCAGGTGCAGTTGTTAACGGTATTTAACTGTAAATAGAGACGTTTGTATTCGTGGTATACAAAGTGTTACATTGTTTGCATTGTACTCTCAGGTGTGCGCTTCGCATGAAGATACCGGGATATTTTATAATACAAGATGAGACTGGTGAAGAACGAGTTCGGTGATGTTTTTAAAATATTTGTAACCTTTAATTGTTAAAATCATTCATTGCAGTGAACGCAGTTTGTAGCACACGAGGTAGAAAGTAGACTGCATCTTCTTATTTTAGTACATTATTCCTTATTTGTTCACTTCCATAAAGTCACGTCATGGAAAGCAGCGTTCAAAATCCATTTTCAGTAAATATTGTCAAAATCTTTCTTCAATTGCATTCTGTCACGTAATTTCAAACAATGCTCGATAACTTTTGTGGTGAATATATTATACCTGTTCACCCAACAGTGATTTTTATTATTCCTTTTTTTATTATCACTATTTTTATTTTTAATTATAATAATAATTATTATTATTATTGTTGTTTTTGTTGTTGTTGTTGTTGTCGTCTTGATCATCATCATCATCATGATTATTATTATTACTGGTATTTCTTACGTACATTTATGCATGTTGGATTTAAATGCATCACAAGCTGAATTGTTGGACATGCATTTCTTAGAAGTTGACGGGTGACAAATTATACAAGAAATGTATAGATAACCACTTCTTATAGTGTATAGTTATAGTGTATAGTTATAGTGTATAGTTATAGTGTATAGTTATAGTGTATAGTTATAGTGTATAGTTATAGTGTACAATCGACCTGTACATAGGTTGCATGGGTGATGTGGTGAGGGCTTGCTGTTTGAAGATGGTCATGTAAATTCATTTAGGATATCGTGTGCTAGTCCATCATGTTGTCACATCATCATCCTTCTGTTGTTATTAGTTTACCTACTCATGTTAATCCGTCTCACGTATGTTAATTGTTGTCACTTTCCATATTTTATTCTGTACCATGTTTATTATTCATTCTTGCGTGATAACGGTATAAGGATCTAGGCTTAAACGTCGCTGTTACGGTATAAAAAAAGGAAGTTGTCATCCATAAGTTCTTCTCAGACCCGTGAAGATCCGGGGTAGAATAGGTCTTCAGCAACCCATGCTTGCCGTAAAAGGCGACTATGCTTGTCGTAAGAGGCAACTAACGGGATCGGGAGGTGAGGCTCGCTGACTTGGTTGATGCATGTCATCGTATCCCAATTGCGTGGATCGATGCTCATGATGTCAATCACTGGAGTGTCTGGTCCAGACTCGATTATTTACAGACCGCCGTCATATAGCTGGAATATTGCTGAGTGCGGCGTTAAACAACAAACAAACAATCTCATGACAAGACTACACATGCGGCCAGCGTTGATCGTGTGTAAGCAAGAATATATAGCACGATTGCATGTGTGTCCTTCAGATGAAAAATATGTAAATATAGATATAGATATAGTCTCAGATTATTCAACTGATTGACAAACATACCATCGTACTATTGATAATATAAATATATAAACATCAACGCCGGAGAACAACAAGCCTCGATTATCCACCGAAACAGATTCCACTGTGAGTGAAAGGGAAAATTATATGAATGTATAAATGAAAATCAGTGATGGCATCAGGTGTTACTTAATAGCTAATCGGAAATACGTATGGCGTAAAAGAAAACATAAACGCAATATTGATAAGAATACGAGTACCAAGAACCATATTATCATCAACAGCTTTCTTGAACTCAATGTGTGTTTATAGGGCACTGTTCTATAGAAACATCGCGTGAATTAGTGCTCCTGTTACTGGCTCCGCCACACGGCATCAGTTCCGATGCAGACGCCATGTGTTATGTCTGTAAATAAACCCAAACAAACCTGTCCATCTGGCGGTCACATTGACGTGGTTCATCAACGAAATGCGTGTCGAGATGCAGTGCGCTTTTACCCAAAATAATTGATCATTACGTTCCATGCTATTGGACCGCCTCCGTGGTCTAGTGGTAGAGCGTCCGCCCGGAGAGTAGGGGGTTCGATCCCCGGCCGCGTCATACCAAAAGACGTTAAAAGATGGTACTTGTTGTTACCCTGTCTGGCGCTCGGCATTAAGGGGCTAAAACAAAGACTGGTCGGCTCGGAGTCAGTATTCTGTGTCTGAGTGGTGTATTCATGTTAAACTGCGGCATGGTATCTCAGTGGGCTAGCACTATAAATCCGCATCAGTCCGGACTAGTACAAGCAACCACACACACACACACGTGCATGCACGTCGCTATATAAGTGAAATAATCTTGGACGCGACGTTAAACCAAATTTCACCTCATCTCACCTCCATGCTATTGGCGTGATTGAAATGGCATAGTAAAGAGATTGGCAAAATAATGTAAAGATTAATGTATGTGACATTACTTGTATTTCATGGTATTTTGTGGGTGTATTCGGTCCCAGCTGAAGCCACATTGGGGGTATTTAAGGCATGGAAATAACACAAGTTGTTTACCTTCCTGAGTGTTTTGATCAAATACCGTTTGATTGAGGCTGTTTACGCTCCGCAATATTCCGTCTTCATAGCGACCAAGAGGTCTTTGTTCCGCACGCAGCACAAATGCTAATCTTTATAACATTTCTACATGGAATGAACGTTTTCCTGCTCTAAACAAGTTTTTACGTCTGTTGGTTTCTATACAAACGAAGGTCTTTGAAATGCAAGATGTGTGTATAAGTCTGCTGTACTTACTATTTGACAAACTGAAAACTTGTTAAGTTCACCAACCTTAATCAAAATACGTAATGGCAAAATAGAGTCTTCATCAATCGAAGTATATTTGTAGGTTCGAGATCCATTGTTCTTGAGATGTTCTGCAGTGAACTCTGGGGTCATTGTGAAAGTGACAACTGCTTCTCCTTCCAGTTCGCGACTGAGATGCGTCAACTCATGTGCCGAGTTGTCATGACTCTTGTTGTCACGGCACTGTTGGTGGATGCCACAAGGATCAGGAATAGAAGTAAGAGACTGCTTCCCCGACCAGAGATACTGCTTCCCCGAGTAAAGATACTGCCTCCCTGTCCTGAGATACTGCCTCCCTGTTCAGAGATACTACCTCCCTGTTCCGATATATTGCCTCCCTGTCCTGAGAAACTGCCTCCCTGTTCAGAGATACTACCTCCTTGTTCAGAGATTCTACCTCCCTGTTCAGAGATACTACCTCCCTATCAAGAAATATTGCCTCCCCAACCAGATAAACTGCCTCCCTGTTCAGATATACTGCCTCCCTGTTCAGAGATACTACCTCCTTGTTCAGAGATTCTACCTCCCTGTTCAGAGATACTACCTCCCTATCAAGAAATATTGCCTCCCCAGCCAGAGAAAACTGCGTCCCTTTTCAGATATACTGTCTCCCTGTCCTGAGAAACAGCCTCCCTGTTCAGAGATACTACCTCCCTGTTCAGAGATATTACCTCCCTGTTCAGAGATACTACCTCCCTATCAAGAAATAATGCCTCCCCAACCACAGATACTGCCTCCCTGTCCAGAGATACTGCCTCCCTCTTCAGATATACTGCCTCCCTGTTCAGAGATACTACCACCCTGTTCGGAGATACTGCCTCTCGGTCCAGATATACTGCCTCCCTCTCCTGAGATACTGCCTCCCTGTTCAGATTTTATGCCTCCCTATCAAGAAATATTTCCTCCCCAACCAGAGATACTGCCTCCCTCTTCAGATATACTGCCTCCCTGTCCTGAGAAACTGCCTCCCTGTTCAGAGATACTACCTCCCTGTTCAGAGATACTGCCTCCCTGTTCAGAGATACTACCTCCCTATCAAGAAATATTGCCTCCCCAACCAGAGACACTGCCTCCCTGTTCAGATATACTGCCTCCCTGTTCAGAGATGCTGCCTCCCTGTTCAGAGATACTACCTCCCTATCAAGAAATATTGCCTCCTCAACCAGAGAGACTGCCTCCCTGTTCAGATATACTGCCTCCCTGTTCAGAGATGCTGCCTCCCTGTTCAGAGATACTACCTCCCTATCAAGAAATATTGCCTCCCCAGCCAGAGATACTGCGTCCTTTTTCAGATATACTTCCTCCCTGTCCTGAGAAACTGCCTCCCTGTTCAGAGATACTACCTCCCTGTCCAGAGATACTGCCTCCCTGTCCAGAGATACTCCCTCCCTGTCCAGAGATACTGCCTCCCTGTCCAGAGATACTACCTCCCTGTCCAGAGATACTGCCTCCCTGTCCAGAGATACTGCCTCCACGTTCAGAGATACTACCTCCCTATCAAGAAATAGTGCCTCCCCAACCAGAGATACTGCCTCCCTGTTCAGATATACTGCCTCCCTGTCCTGAGAAACTGCCTCCCTGTTCAGAGATACTACCTCCCTGTTCAGAGATACTACCTCCCTATCAAGAAATATTGCCTCCCCAACCAGAGATACTGCCTCCCTTTTCAGATATACTTCCTCCCTGTCCTGAGAAACTGCCTCCCTGTCCAGAGATACTGCCTCCCTGTCCAGAGATACTGCCTCCCTGTCCAGAGATACTGCCTCCCTGTTCAGAGATACTACCACACTCTTCGGAGATACTGCCTCCCTGTCCTGAGATAATGCCTCCCTGTTCAGAGTTACTGCCTCCCTGTTCAGAGTTACTGCCTCCCCGTTCAGGGATAATGCCTCCCTGTCCAGGGAAACCTTTCTCTGTCCAGAGATAATACCTCCCTGTCCTGAAATACTGCCTCCCTGTCTAGAGATACTACCTCAACTGTCCAGAAATATTGCCTCCCTGTTCAGAGATACTGCTTCCTTGTTCAGAGATACTGCCTCCCTGTCCAGAGATACTACCTCCCTGTCCAGAGATACTGCCTCCCTCTCCAGACATACTGCCTCCTTGTCCAGAGATACTGACACCCTTTCCTGAGATACTGCCTCCCTGTCCAGAGATACTGCCTCCCTGCCCAGAAGTGCTGCCTCGCTGTCCAGAGATACTGCCTCCCTGTCCAGAGATACTGCCTCCCTGTCCAGAGATACTGACTCCCTGTTCAGAGATACTACCTCCCTGTCCAGAGATACTGACTCCCTGTCCTGAGATACTCCCTCCCTGTACAGAGACACTACCTACCAGTCCACAGTGTAGTGTACTGCACAGCACAGTATGCTACCTCCAAGTCGCTATACCTTGTCCCTGGACGTCATGTTATACCTTGTCCCTGAACGTCATGTTATACCTTGTCCCTGGGCGTCATGTTATACCTTGTCCCTGGACGTCATGTTATACTTTGTCCCTGGACGTCATGTTATACCTTTTCCCTGGGCGTCATGTTATACCTTATCCCTGGGCGTCATGTTATACCTTGTCCCTGGACGTCATGTTATACTTTGTCCCTGGACGTCATGTTATACCTTGTCCCTGGGCGTCATATTATACCTTGAACCTGGACGTCATGTTATATCTTGTCCTTGGACGTCATGTTATACGTTGTCCCTGGACATCATGTTATACTTTGTCCCTGGACGTCATGTTATACCTTGTCCCTGGACGTCATAGTATACCTTGTCCCTGGGCGTCATGTTATACCTTGAACTTGGACGTCATGTTATACCTTGTCCCTGGACGTCACGTTATACCTTGAAGCTGGACGTCATGTTATACCTTGTCCCTGGGCGTCATGTTATACCTTGAACTTGGACGTCATGTTATATAGCTTGTCCCTGGGCGTTATGTTGTGTCTTGTCCCTGGAGGTCACCATATGCCTTGTCCCTGGACGTCCTGTTATATCTTGTGCTTGGACGTCATGTTATACCTTGTCCCCGGACGTCATGTTGTGTCTTGTCCCTGGACGTTACCATATGCCTTGTCCCTTGACGTCATGTTATACCTTGTCCCTGGGCGTTATGTTGTGTCTTGTCCCTGGACGTCACCATATGCCTTGTCTCTTGACGTCACGTTATACCTTGTCCCTGGACGTCAAACCTATGTCTTGTCCCTGGACGTCATGTAGGGCCATGTCCCTAGACGTCATGTCATGCCTACGTTTACGATTGACTATGTAATGCTGTTTGACAAATCGAATATATGTGATATTTTGCCTTCCACCTAGGTACAAGAGCAATTCGGAACGAGTTAAAGGTGAAGGAGCGAGCGTGGAGGACAGCCTGTGAACGACACAACTGCACATCGTGAGTTGCACAGCATGTGTAGTAGGGGGAGGACATTGTGTGTAGTCATTGGGTTGTCCACAGCAGCACCGGGGTTACGCATCAGTTGTATGTCTATACTAAGACGGACTGAACGGGTATCCGCAGTCAGCAGTAATCAAGTTATATAACGGTTGACTTTGAATCGAGTACGGGGCAAACGAACCTCTCGTGGAAAGCTTCATCAACGAATTAACAATCCTCAATTTCAACCATCCAATCCTCTTTATATGGGACCCTACGACTAGCACATGGTTCTGATGACCTATTCTGTCCACGGAATTGCTCGAACAGTGGTAATTGTTGACCAAACTCATATTTTGACTCTCTGAACTTTTATGATCGTTCATGTTGACATTCGTGGGCATTCCGAGTTTGGATTGATACCCGGCAACCTATGCTTGTTGTACAGACGACTGAATGGACCGGATGGTAAGGCTCGATGTTTTGGCTGGTTGTGAGTCATCGTACCCCGACAGCGTGGGGCGTTGCTCATTATATCAATCATTAGTTTGTCTGGCCCAGACTCGAGTATTTGCTGTCTTATAGCTGGAATATTGCCGTGCTAAACAACAAACAAACACTATATTAGTTTTGTTCACAATAGACTGATGGCGGAGATGTCTTATGATTGTGAAAAGGGTTTGTTGCTTTTACTAAACAAGAATGGAACCAGACATATACGTTGTCAAGCCGTATATTCCACACACAATGGACAATATTTCTGATGCTTTTTAATGCAACAATGTTTCAAGAACTATTTGCTCTCAAAAACATGACTAACATCCAATTTGCAGGAAGATCCAATGTCCGTATGCGAATGGTTGGCATATCCTTGGGTCTGACCTTGGCTGCTGTGGCAACTATGGCGGGTGTTGTCAGCTGGCGTCAATCGTCTGCTGGGCTCATGACCTGTTCTGCAAATGCTGCGATTTCGGTGTGTTCATCTGCGGGCCGCTATGTGAAAAAGACCCGGATTGCCCCGTGGAAGAAGGCAGTGGAGAGATCCACGACGCAAAGGAGAACATAACTGGGGTATGAAGTACAGACATATACAGTGAACTGTATCGCGCTAAATGTCAGCGAACTCAGGTACAGGCGTACGAAGCTGAAACCTATTACGTTACTTCATACGGTCAGCGACGAGCTGCAGTTTGTTTCTTTTTGTTCAACGACCTACTGTTTCTTGGATAAGGACGATTAGATTCAGTGTGTGATCTGTCTGTGCCGTACTCACAACGTATGACACGGAATAGTCTAAAACAGTCAAACTCCATAGTCCCGACCCCGTTAATCTAGAACCTCCCTATTACGGCGACTTTTGATATGAACACCAATGACATCCGGATATATACTACTCAAAAGAAGTTAAAGAACACCCGATTTTTTAAATATGACTATAGTTAATCTGTCACAGCTAGTGGGTATTGCAACACACAGCCTTCCACTTATGGGTGTTCTTTAACTTGTTTTGAGCTGTATATTTTACTCAGGACGATAGTTCAGTGACCATTACCGGATCCTGATCTGAATTAACTGGGTTTTAAAAATATCTGTAAACGGTGTATTTACTAGCGATTTATGAATTATTCTTGGTGGTTTATTTGAGATTTATTTATGGAAATGAATGAATAATGAATAAATTATTCCGAATTGGCATCAGTTTGAGGTGTTAGGTGTTATTCCATATTCCGCCGTATGATTTGCATTTACTGGGACAAGGACATGTTGACGAGGATCAAGACCCATCCAATACATTACATTGCTGCAGACAAATGTTGGTTATTACCTCGGAACTGTATTTGTCCTAGGACAGGAGTTCCATCTTACATTACATGTCGGCGCTGTAAGGCTGGAGACAATATTTTAGTGCATCATCCCCAATGCATGTGGGGAGGGAATGTCCCCGTGATTCAAGGTAATACACGAGTATTTTATTATTATGTTGCTAATGGGGGTGGTTACACTGGGATCTATATGTTATTTATGGAAGGGGTGGTGGTAGATCCCTATTACCCTTACCCCCCAACCCCGCCACCCCACCAGGATCCGCCACTACAGACACAGGCGCATGGCGGCAGTCTACTTAAAAGGCTATTGAGTTATATTTCCCTATATTTCAAATGTACACACGTATATATAGCGTCTCCATTTTGGGAACGAGTATGTGACCTTTACGTATCAATGTGATTATACTGGTTTTATATTGCAAAACGCAACACTCTGTATCAATTGTTTACCTCAGACCTGTACATACCTTCTTCCATATTGCCGTCTTCCTCCTTCAATTCGGTCGATTAAACATGTCAAATTTTAAATAATATATTAAATTATATTAACGTACTTTTGCTGAATGTAGAGCTTACAGAATCATGGCAAAACACTAGTGATAACATAGCCCGCCCGATATGTGTAAAAAGAACGTACAGGGATGTCGGGTCGTGGACATTTGTAACACTCTCTCTAGGCCTTGACTTTTTAATCAAAGCAAGGAATACATCTTAGACATTGATTCTTAGTAATTGTGGCAACCTGTATCTGCTAGATTTGATTACACGCAATACAATTTGAAGGTAGACAGTTTGACTAGGTGAGTGAGTGAGTATGGTTTTACGCAGCTTTTAGCAATATTCCAGCAATATCACGGCGGGGGACACCAGAAATGGGCTTCACACCCATTGTACCCATGTCGGGAATCGAACCCGGGTCTTCGGCGTGACGAGGGAACGCTTGAACCACTAGGCTACCCGACCGCCCAGTTTGACTAGGCCTGACCGCAAACGCTCGTCAACTTTAGACCAACACAACACTAAGTACAATTGCTATTCTACCATGAATTTGGAATTTACTCGATTCTGATTGGTCAATCAGAGGCTATTAAATCACAATAAACCCTCTCTGATTGAACCAGCTGCTTTGACGGCCGCATCACCGCGGAAGCTAATATTCATAGAATAGTACTATTTTCAGTCATTGTCGGTAGGCATATTTAAATAATTATATCTACAATTACAGGTTACAAAATGCACAGATGCGGTTACTACAATATGCAAAGGATGTGTGGCAATACAGAAACAGAAAAACAGAAAAACGCGACAGAAATCAAAGAGTTCGCGTTTGATTTAGTCATGGTAGAATGAAGATAAACATACTGTGTTTTCAATGTAGAGCTAGGTTACCTGTAGATTTAACCGCGCTAAATTTAACATTTGAAACCTCACGCTGCGCGTTCGGTTCCAAATTCAATTTAGCGGGGTTAAATCTACAGGTAACCTAGCTCTACATTGAAAACACAGTATGTTTATCTCCTAATTGACCAAACGCTGGTTTGATTCTTGCATGGGAGCAACAGGCAATGTTTATCACAAATCCAGAAGCTATTTATTAAATAGTTTCGTTTTGTTGTGTTTGTTTATTGTTTAGCGCCGCCACAGCAATATTCCAGCTAAATGACAGGGGGGAAATAGTTTTTTCTGACAAATAGATTTTCAGGGTCAGTTGCAATCCCATTAAAATCAGGCTTTGTCGTGTTGGAGTAGAAGACCTCATGTGAATGAAACCGAGTCAGTTGTTACGTGACATCATCAAAGATAATGACGCCATGATGTCCAACAGACAAGTCAGCTAACTGGGTCTATTTCTAACAATCAGATGTTTTGGTTTTTGGTTTGGTTTGTTGTTTAACGCCGCACTCAGCAATATTCCAGCTATATGACGGCGGTCTGTAAACAATCGAGTCTGGACCAGACAATCCAGTGATTAATATCATGAGCATCGATCCACGCAATTGGGATCGATGACATGCATCAACCAAGTCAGCGAGCCTGACCACCAGATCCCGTTAGTCGCCTTTTACGACAAGCATAGTAACCTTTTACGGCAAGCATGGGTTGCTGAAGACCTATTCTACCCCGGAATCTTCACAGGTCAACAACAATCAGATGTAACAAGGCTTGAAACACGTGATGGACGAGTGTGTGGGTAGGGTTTACGCCTCTTGCAGCAATATTACAGCTGTGTCATGGTTAGGAATACCAAGTTAGGAATACCAAGTACATACATTCACACGTCGGACCCATGTTGCCAACCAAACCCGAGTCTCCGTTTGTTTGTTTGTTTGTTTGTTTGTTTGTTTGTTTGTTTCCGCCGCAGTCAGCAATGTTCTTACGATATCAGGGTGGCCTGTCACTAGTCTGTGGTTAATATTACGAACAACGTCCATACCGCCAGAGGGGCGGTCGGGTAGCCTTGTGGTTAAGCGTTTGCTCGTCACGCCGAAGACCCGGGTTCGAATCCAGACATGGGTACAATGTGTGAATCCCATTTCTGGTGTGACCCGCCATGGTATTGCTGGAATATTGCTTAAAGCGGCTTAAAACCAAACTCATTCACTCACCCATACCGCCCGTGTACGGTGTCACGCAATCAACCAACTGGCTGAGCCTGACCTCGGGATCCAATTTAGTCATCTCCTAACTGAAGCAATAGAGTGCTGTGTCCTTATTTAACCAGATCTTCAGGCAGTCCGGGACATTTTAACCCGATTTAGTCCTGTGCCATATTAATATCGATAGTCAATGCAATGTCCATCTGTGGTCAAGAATTTGGCAACACATGGACAGTAATCGTACCCTGTACAGTATTGACAGGATCTCATCAGCCCACTATCGGGGACTTCTCGATCATTGTGTTCCGTTTCTCTAGGAAGGTAGATCCGATTCGTAATCAATAAGAAAAGTCAGCACCTTAACTATCTATAATCTCTGGCCCTGAATGGATGCTCATCAACACCGTCTGGTGCCGCTGTCCAATCGAGTAACAAATCTATGAGTGTGTGTGAAACTGCAGTGTTGACTCCTGATAATTTGTGTCGTGGGTTATTACTAGACTTGCAGACAAGCTCGGATGTACAATCCAAGTCAATTAGACGTCTGGGTAACAAAGGCTTGCGTCCCTGGACAGATGACCTTGGCCTTCAACCGGAGCAAGTCCCGCATGGAGAACTGTCTGGATGGGTTGGACTGGCCAAGGCAATGAGACCTGCTCTAATGTTTGTGTTTAAACAAAATCAGTCTGATGAGACGAACATTAGAGTTAGGTGCGGCTCAAGTCAATTAATAGTCTTGAGAGTTTATTCAAGTGTTCGCAAGGCACTTATTGTGTCTGCTAAATCAAATTTAATGATATATTTCAATCTAGTAGTTAATAATTGTCCCGTTTCGCAGACACAATGTTCATGTGTCAGCTGCTCACGTTGCATCAATTGGGATGTCTGGACCGAGTACGGAAATTGGCACCAGACGTTTGAAAATAGTCCCTGATTAATACAACCACGTGACACCTGTTAAAGCAGGAAGGGAACAAGGACTAGGGTATCCCCAGTTCCCTACTGTGTCAATCTCCTTAAAATCAGATCTTGGTGCTCAGTACGGCTGGGACACTGGTACAAAGTAGCAGTAGAGAGCACTAACATATGATTTTAATGAGATTGACTTTTGACTTGACTCAAATTGGGAGTGAGAGTGAGTGATTGAATGAGTTAGGTTTGATTTTGTTTGTTTGTTTGTTGTTTAACACCGAATTCAGAAATGTTCCAGCTGTATGATTGCGGTCTGTAATTAATCAAGTCTGGACCAGACAATCCAGTGATTGACATCATGAACATCGATCTACTCAAATGGGACACGATGACATGCATCAACCAAGTCAGCGAGCCTGACCACCCGATCCCGTTAGTCGCCTCTTATGACAAGCATAGTGCCTTTTACGGCAAGCATGGGTTGCTGAAGACCTATTCCACCCGAGTTGGGTTGGAGGCTGCTTTGAGTCACGTGTGAGATCAATTTGTTTCAAAGTGAATGTTTACTTAGAGTACTTGTATGAAACCAACAAGCACGGTCAGGCAGTGAGAACTAGGATCAAGATCAGGTTGACTTGACAAATGGATACCACCGACAGTGGATCATGGCAATTTGTCACGACTCTGCATAGGCGCCTCAGACAACTAGGACACCCGCACCCCAGACTCAAAATTATAAGCATATAAATAATGGCTGTGCAAAGTGTCAAATATTTGGAAAGGACTATTCAACAACATCGAGTGATGGATAACCTGTCGCAGGTGAATGGTTGGGGAATGAAGGCTCGGGACGTGGAACAACTTGTTCACAGTGACAAATAATCCTAGTTTCGAATATGTCATCATCCTTTTAAGAAAGACGCAGTGTGAGTGATTTGCGTTCAAAGCAGCTTTGAACAGTATTGCTGTTATTTCACCCTGGGTCAGCTTAATGTGAAAGCCCGAAGTGATGCAGGTCTCAGACATTTACCACTTGGGTGAAACCCACGTGCTTAGTATGGTGCTGACAAACCTAGAAACATAATTGGGGCCAACCAGATTCGAACCCACTATCATAAGTTTCTGGCGTGCCCAAGGGAAGCAACTCTGCAAAGCAAATTGCATGGTTTTAAGAAAGAAATGTATAAATTTACAGCCCTTTGAAGTAGTTTCACTGGTCAACATTTCATTCAAATGGCTTACCATTATCAGGTTATGCCGCCATGAACAATGAATATGGAAATTAATATCCTGAACCTTGCAGACATAAGAGGTCCCAATGCTCCAACTGACCAAACATCTTAGTGAGCAGCTTGACTTTTAATGCCACTTCAATTACTAACTTAGTTATTTCAGGGTGTGACAAATAATTGTGGGACACCAGTCACAGACAGTAACAACTTCAATCAACCCCACTGGCATGGATAGTGTTCTGTCAGACCAAGGATAAAAATTGCCGATCCCACAATCATAGGATCCTGGGATTACCGAGGGATTTGACTCTGCAGATGGAGTTGCAGTGCCTTAGACAAACACAAGCCACAGAGGTCACTTTGCCTCCACAGAGACTCGCTAAAGGTCAGAATTGCAAATACTAGTAATCAAAACATTTTCCACTTGTCCATTCAAAACTTCCGATTTGGCCAAGAGGACTTGGCGATGTTGCATACATTTATCACCCAACAGCATGACACAGCTTCAGCTCTTTATTCAGTGCAATGTACAGTGTGCTTCACTTGGAGGCATTCCTCCATCATAGCTGTATATTAAATACGTTCACAATATTTACATAAGTACACTCCGTATTGCACGTTTAATATTTACATCACACAAACATAACAATAACTCAACAGTTCCTCCCGACATGTTTCCAGTTGCATACAGGGTACTTAGACTTAACAAATAGTCAGGACAAAATCAGTCTGGATGCCAAATTTGTAAATTCTTGAACAAAGCACATCAATTCATGCACAATTGCTAATCAGCCTTTTAACTGAAAAATCATTGTCATTAAATCACATATTGATATATTTAATAAACATTGTAAACATGGTGGCCAAAGCAACCTTGACACGTCTGGATTCCTACAACTGATGCATCAGAGACTATGGGCCTGATCCACTCCCATCTTACATCCATCACTTAAATGCAAGCCATGTGCATGGTTCTGGAGACAAAATGAATGACAAAATATGGCAGCCCCACAACATACAAATTGAACTAGGGAGCCTGTTTCACAAAGAGATGGCTAAACCAGGATAGGACTGCTGTCAGTATGTTAACTGTAAGTGCTAAAACAGCTGTAAAGGGGTGAAGTGTCACTAGTGAGTGAGTATGGTTTTACGCTGCTTTTAGCAATATTCCAGCAATATCACGGTGGGGACACTGGAAATTGGCTTCTCACATTGTACCAATGTCGGATATCGAACCCGGGTCTTCAGCGTGACAAGCAAACACTTTAACAGCTGGGCTACCCAACCACTCCTTGAAGTGTAACAACTAAATACTGTATACCATGCTAACTGGCTCTCCAACAACTGATCAGTCTTTGACAGTCCTCAAACATCAACAGATACTACATAGTCAAGAAGAGCTGTGGCACTGTTGAAGTCAATGACAAGGTTGCAAATAAAGTCAGATGATCATCCCAGGCTTGGCAAGATTTCCACACTTGCTCAGTGCTCAGTGACACCTTAGAAGATTCACATTGAATTCTCACCTAAATAGACTTTAAAACTTACTACAGTTGGACACTATTCACTTTCCTTGGATTATTGGAACCTGTGTACAAGATGGTAAGCTTCCCGTCATCACTAGGTATCATCAGACATCACCAGGCATCATCAGACATCATCAGACATCACAAGGCATCACAATACAAGGCATCAACAGGCATACCAGATATCACTAGGCATCATCGGACATCACCAATCATCACTATCCATCACCAGTCATCACAAGGCATCACCAGACATCACTATCCATCACCAGTCATCACCAGGCATCACCAGACATTACAAGGCATCATCAGACATCACTAGGCATCACTAGGCATCATCAGACATCACTAGGCATCACTAGGCATGATATTAGCTGTTACTCTTCACTCAAAGAAGACATGGATGGACATGTACAAAAGTGCCTACATACATGCCTTTCAGTTGTTTATAACACGGTTGGTGTCAGTCTGGCTCTGTGATACACATGTATTATTAAAACATTTTCAGCACAGACATGTTTAATGCTGGATTAGACTTAAGGTATTTTGACTTGTCATGTAAACCATGCGTCCGTGGCCTAGGGTATCCTGGAGGAGAGACTCCCTTGAGGAGTCCGCTGGTGGGTGGGCGAGTCCGTGATCAGCGTCACCTGAAATGTGAAAAGGGAAAAGATATCAATTTGCAGTTGCAGTAGTTTTGTTACATATCTCAACCCACACTTGGGCTGTTGATTCTTAAGTACAGCAACATTAATAAAGGAGGTGACTCCCGATAGACAAGAAGCCACAAATGTCATCTGAGGAGCCACAATTCACTGTGCACATCCTATGACTGTGGTTTTGAAACTCAGATACACCCTTTGTCAGTCTTACCCGTGCTTGGGTAGTTTTGAAAAATGGTAAATGTTTAGCACTTGCATCACTCCAGACTTTCCTCCCACAAACAGGTGACCCGCTATGATATAACTTGAATATTGTTCAAGGTGGTGATAAAACAAACTCACTCACTTACTCTAGAGAGAAAAGGAATGTTTTTAGCTTTAGAGTTACATGGGGTACAAATACACACAAAAACTGTTGCTGCAGCCTACACAAATACCTTGTTGAACACTCCTCGACCAAAATAGTCGGCGACCACAGAGAAGCCATCTTGTGCCCTCTCCAACTGAAAAACGAGGCAAACTTTCCTTGTAATTGTTCTGTAAGACTGTCTGTAAGAAAACTGCATATCTAAAGGCAGAAAGTCACAGGGTATCAATGATCAACACTTCAGATAATAATAACACTACCATGATAATCATAGCTTCCTTGGTGTAGTGGACAGAGTGTCTGCCCAAAGAGTGGAGGGTCAGTGGTTCTATCCCCAACCGTGTCATACCGAAAGACGTTAAAGGATGCTACATGTTACCCTGCCTGGTCCTCGGCATTAAGGGGCTAAAACAAGGACTGGTTGCCTCGGAGTCGGTACACTTTGCCTGAGGGGGGTATCCATGTTACACTACAGCATGGTATCTCAGTAAGTTGGTTGGTTGTTTCGACGTTTAACACCGCAGTCAGCAATATTCCAGCTATTATGTAAATAAACGAGTCTGGACCAGACAATCCAGTGATTAATATCATGAGCATCGATCCACGCAATTGGGATCGTTGACATGCATCAACCAAGTCAGCGAGCCTGACCACCAGATCCCGTTAGTCGCCTTTTACGACAAGCATAGTCACCTTTTATGGCAAGCATGGGTTGCTGAAGACCTCTTCTACCCCGGATTCTTCACGGGTCTAAGCTAGCACCATAAAACTGGCACGATGCAATATACTGTAAGTGCAATAATCTTGAAAGCAATATTATAGCCCATTTCACCTACAATACAAACAATAAATGTAATGTTTACCTGATTGTGAAAATGTTCATGAATGTCCTTTGTTTGTTCTTGAGCTTGAATGATATCCATAATTTTCCTGAAAGCAGATTGTGAAAAACACAGATAACCAAAATTAATGTCACTCATGTACAGCGCTGACAACAGCTTCCTGACCATTATTCAGAAGCCAGCTCTACAAAGCCTAAAGCAGAAAACATCTGAACCTTTCCCTGTCAGGCTAATCATACATTCCTGAGAATGTAGAAGCCTCAAAGTCGATTGGCTGAACAGAAAGTTCAGTAAAAGAGGCATACATCTTCATGGTCTTACAATCAGAACTACAGGTCCCTGTGCTAGGATTAATTGGTTTGTTCTTTAACGCCGCACTCAGCAATATTTCAGTTATATGACGGCGGACTGTAAATAATCAAGTCTGGACCAGACAATCCAGTGATTGATATCATGAGCATTGATCCACGCACTCAACCAAGGTCGATGACCTGCATCAACCAAGTCAGCGAACCTGACCACCCAATCCTGTTACGACAAGCATAGTCGCCTTTTATGGCAAGCATGGGTTGCTGAAGATCTATTCTACCCTGGATCTTCACAGGTCCCTATGCTAGGAAAGCAAAAGTGAGGCATGTTCAGTCAAATACTGATCAAAGTATACATGGTTCCTGCCACCCACCTATTTTCAGCTGCACATACAGGGCACTCCGTGTCAGTCTCAGCATAGCTCTCAAAACAGCTGCAGAAAGAAACACATGCTGATCACTACTGATGTTTGAGACAGTGAAAGAGTTTTATAAGGCGGTCAGCAACATGACCACAATACAAACGTGATCGTGTCAGTCTGGTCAACGAGTTGGTGTATGTTAATGTGTTAAAGACACAGTCAGCTAAATGACACTGAAGAGGTTGTTACAGAGAGTACTGCAGAAATGTACCCCAGGTAATGTTATACCAAAGGAAATCAGTTTCACCCACCATGTAATAGACTCACAAAGTGCCTTACTGAGACCACCTGACCTACATTTGTGTATTATGACATTGGCCAGGGTACGTGTCTTCATACAAAAGGGACCTGGCCCCATTCAAGAAATCTATCTTAACACAAAGGTGAACCTAACTCCCATACTTTAACATACAGTAGGCTTACGGAAATCATAGTGCCAAGACCCTACGTGGAACGGGGCAACAACAACCTCTCCAGCGGGACCTGGCCCCATTCAAGAAATCTATCTTAACACAAAGGTGAACCTAACTCCCATACTTTAACATACAGTAGGCTTACGGAAATCATAGTGCCAAGACCCTACGTGGAACGGGGCAACAACAACCTCTCCAGCGGGACCTGGACCCATTCAGGATATCTATCTTAACACAAAGATGAACCTAACTCCCATACTTTAACATACAGTAGGCTTACGGAAATCATAGTGCCAAGACCCTACGTGGAACGGGGCAACAACAACCTCTCCAGCGGGACCTGGACCCATTCAGTATATCTATCTTAACACAAAGATGAACCTAACTCCCATACTTTAACATACAGTAGGCTTACGGAAATCATAGTGCCAAGACCCTACGTGGAACGGAGTAACAACGACCTCTTCAGCGGGACCTGGCCCCATTCAAGAAATCAATCTTAACACAAAGATGAACCTAACTCCCATACTTTAACATACAGTAGGCTTACGGAAATCATAGTGCCAAGACCCTACGTGGAACGGGGCAACAACAACCTCTCCAGCGGGACCTGGACCCATTCAGTATATCTATCTTAACACAAAGATGAACCTAACTCCCATACTTTAACATACAGTAGGCTTACGGAAATCATAGTGCCAAGACCCTACGTGGAACGGAGTAACAACGACCTCTTCAGCGGGACCTGGCCCCATTCAAGAAATCAATCTTAACACAAAGATGAACCTAACTCCCATACTTTAACATACAGTAGGCTTACGGAAATCATAGTGCCAAGACCCTACGTGGAACGAGGCAACAACAACCTCTCCAGCGGGACCTGGCCCCATTCAAGAAATCTATCTTAACACAAAGGTGAACCTAACTCCCATACTTTAACATACAGTAGGCTTACGGAAATCATAGTGCCAAGACCCTACGTGGAACGGGGCAACAACAACCTCTCCAGCGGGACCTGGACCCATTCAGGATATCTATCTTAACACAAAGATGAACCTAACTCCCATACTTTAACATACAGTAGGCTTACGGAAATCATAGTGCCAAGACCCTACGTGGAACGGAGCAACAACGACCTCTTCAGCGGGACCTGGCCCCATTCAAGAAATCTATCTTAACACAAAGATGAACCTAACTCCCATACTTTAACATACAGTAGGCTTACGGAAATCATAGTGCCAAGACCCTACGTGGAACGGAGTAACAACGACCTCTTCAGCGGGACCTGGCCCCATTCAAGAAATCTATCTTAACACAAAGATGAACCTAACTCCCATACTTTAACATACAGTAGGCTTACGGAAATCATAGTGCCAAGACCCTACGTGGAACGGTGCAACAACAACCTCTCCAGCGGGACCTGGACCCATTCAGGATATCTATCTTAACACAAAGATGAACCTAACTCCCATACTTTAACATACAGTAGGCTTACGGAAATCATAGTGCCAAGACCCTACGTGGAACGGGGCAACAACAACCTCTCCAGCAACAATGGCTTGTAAATCATCAAGAAGGGGACAGATAATCAGTTGCCATCAGCATGACAATGATTCATGACATCATGGCATAACATTCAATCAGCAAGGATGCCATCATAAATTGTGATGTCAACAAACCTTTAATGTCAATACCGTGTCAACAAAGATATTTCAGTATTGAAATTAAATCCTGCCACAGAAGAATTACATTTATTAGGATTTCGATGGTAGAGATGAACAGGCAGGAGATTCAATGGATCAGCCCCACTCGTATTTATCATTAAATTGATATTGCAGGTCTACAGAGGTCATTTTTATACATACACATACAGAAAAATTAATTTTATTATCAATTGATATATCGTGAAATTTCTGAGTTGATTTGTTGATCAAATTGATCAAGCATCAGAATATTTTGCATTCTAATCAGTTTTTTCGTTTCTCTTACAAGATAGTTAATCAAATATTGTGAGAACATGAACATGTACATAATCCTACCAGAAAACACTTGAAGGGGTAGGAGACTAAAGACGTTGTGTGCGGCATGTGTAGGAATGTGAGCTACTCACTGTTGGTGGGGTAGGAATGTGAGCTACTCACTGTTGGTGGTAGGAATGTGAGCTACTCACTGTTGGTGGTAGGAATGTGAGCTACTCAGTGTTGGTGGTAGGAATGTGAGATTACTCAGTGTTGGTGGTAGGAATGTGTACTACTCACTGTTGGTGGTAGGAATGTGTACTACTCACTGTTGGTGGTAGGAATGTGAGCTACTCACTGTTGGTGGTAGGAATGTGAGCTACTCACTGTTGGTGGTAGGAATGTGAGCTACTCACTGTTGGTGGTAGGAATGTGAGCTACTCACTGTTGGTGATAGGAATGTGAACTACTCTCTGTTGGTGGTAGGAATGTAAGCAACTCACTGTTGTTGGTAGGAATATGAGCTACTCACTGTTGGTGGTAGGAATGTGAGCTACTCACTATTGGTGGTAGGAATGTGAGCTACTCACTGTTGGTGGTAGGAATGTGTGCTACTCAGTGTTGGTGGTAGGAATGTGAGCTACTCAGTGTTGGTGGTAGGAATGTGAGCTACTCACTGTTGGTGGTAGGAATGTGAGCTACTCACTGTTGGTGGTAGGAATGTGAGCTACTCACTGTTGGTGGTAGGAATGTGAGCTACTCACTGTTGGTGGTAGGAATGTGAGCTACTGGCTGTTGGTGGTAGGAATGTGAGCTACTCACTGTTGGTGGTAGGAATGTGAGCTACTCACTATTGGTGGTAGGAATGTGAGCTACTCACTGTTGCTGGTAGGAATGTGTGCTACTCAGTGTTGGTGGTAGGAATGTGAGCTACTCACTGTTGGTGGTAGGAATGTGAGCTACTCACTGTTGGTGGTAGGAATGTGAGCTACTGGCTGTTGGTGGTAGGAATGTGAGCTACTGGCTGTTGGTGGTAGGAATGTGAGCTACTCACTGTTGGTGGTAGGAATGTGAGCTACTCGCTGTTGGTGGGGTAGGAATGTGAGCTATCCACTGTTGGTGGTAGGAATGTGAGCTACTCACTGTTGGTGGTAGGAATGTGAGCTACTCACTGTTGGTGTCAGGAATGTGAGCTACTCACTGTTGGTGGTAGGAATGTGAGCTACTCAGTGTTGGTGTTAGGAGTGTGAGCTACTCACTGTTTGTGGTAGGAATGTGAGCTACTCATTGTTGGTGGTAGGAATGTGAGCTACTCACTGTTGGTGGTAGGAATGTGAGCTACTCTCTGTTGGTGATAGGAATGTGAGCTACTCAGTGTTGGTGTCAGGAATGTGAACTACTCTCTGTTGGTGGTAGGAATGTAAGCTACTCACTGTTGTTGGTAGGAATGTGAGCTACTCACTGTTGGTGGTAGGAATGTGAGCTACTCACTGTTGGTGGTAGAAATGTGAGCTACTCACTGTTGGTGGTAGGAATGTGAGCTACTCACTGTTGGTGGTAGGAATGTGAGCTACTCACTGTTGGTGGTAGGAATGTGTACTACTCAGTGTTGGTGGTAGGAATGTGAGCTACTCACTGTTGGTGGTAGGAATGTGGTTCACACAGGAAGTGTACGGATGGCAGCTCCAGGGGATGGTTACAGATGTTACACTTGGATGCCTGGAATATCTTCGCTCTGAAAAATCAAATTGCTTGATCAGGAGTCTGATGAATTATGACAAATATGTTGAAAAATGAGATTCAAAGCCCAGAAACCTTCTAGATTTCTAACAGTTCCAAATATGCAAAAAGCACATTTGGCTTGGCAATACGAATTTCATATTCCTAATATTTATTAATAACAGAAAAACATTTCATTTCCATTTCCTCTTAATCCTGTTTACCACGGAGTGTGCTTAAATGTTTGGGGAATACCAAGTAAACTACATCAAGATATCTTTGCTGTGCTTTATTCTTTTCTTTCACCTGCAAAATGATATCTTGAATTGTCATATGAAATATTTCATTTTGTCATACCTAAAACACATTTGATCATGTTGAATATCAGCTTGGCTAAAACTATATCAATATGCCATAAGTCATTGTCTTTCAGAGCTGGTTAGATAGGTAACTGAAGATTCACCTGAATACTACCTGCAGGTGTCTGTGAGTACTCTAAATCGCAACAAAAGAGTCTGTTTCAAAGCTGAACATGCCCGAGCATGAGTGAGCGAGTCAGTATGGTTTTATGTCACTTTTAGCAATATTCCAGCAATATCACAGTGGGGGACACCAGAAATGGGCTCCACACAATGTACCCATGTGGAGAATCGAAACCCAGGTCTTCGGTGTGACGATTTAACGCTTTAACCACTAGGCTACCCCACCGCCCCCCCCACCCCAACCCCAACGTGAGAAATACTAACGATGTCTTGAGTTCTTCTATCTGTTGTCTCTTCCTCTCAGTGTCTTCTCTGTACTGTTTAATGAGCCGTTCATCCTCCGCAATCTGGTCGTTTTCCAGCTGAAGCCGCCGGATGATGTAATCCTGTAGCATAAAATACAATGACAGTAGTCATCAACAGTAAAGTCAAAATCAAGTCTGGATCAAGCGTTTTAGGAAAAAGAAGGCAGGGATTGATCCAGGATTCCAGAATATATCTCCTTGCCAGGCAATTTGGGGGAATATCTTTATGTCTATACAATACCTGTGCAGTCATAACATTTCTTATTGGTATATAACATGAATTGGCAAATTAAAAACTTGAGAATATATTACTGACATTTGCTGAAGACTTTGGGCTGAATATTGGCCTCTGAGCTGGTCTAGATAAATCTCTGGCATGGGTGCAGTTCTTGATATAGCAATTTGTGTGGGGGAGTCAATTCATTTTGTCAAAAACTCAGTTATTAGTTATGGTGTTGTTATATGTTTACACTTAGAAGATGTGACTACCGATAACACCTCCGAATATACTGCAAAGAGAGGGGTTTCCCAGTAAACCATATGAAGATTATTCAAGTTAAATAAAGTAAAACAAGGACCATCTTTGAAGAAACTTAAACAGATCCAGCATCTGTCAGCAACAGTCACTTCTCAAGACAAGTGGACACAGCCTCACCTTGACGACGGACAGGGTGGCGGTGGAGTTGTGAGCCAGCGTTTGTATCACCAGCAGAGGGGGAAGCAGATTCTTCTTGTCAATATCTCACACGTCAAGGAAATTAATTACAAGTTTCATAAAGGTCAACTAGACCTCAAGAATGAACTTCTACAATGACAGGTTCAGAGTAACACCACCGCTTTGAACTGTAGTCCACTACTGGAGAAGCCAAACTTGTTTACGAGGCGTGAAGCCAACCATGGATGATAAACAGGATGAATCTGTATTCAAACCCACAGCTAGCAGATCCTGGCACAGCTAAGGGATGCAACTATGCCCAAAATGACTAAGATCACCATACATCCCATCCCACCTTTTACTAATGTATATACATGTAATACAAATGTTACCCTACCAACACATGCAAAGAAGAAACAATATTAATAATTTAACTGCAGTACCTACAGAAACTGTCAAAAAATTTTTTTTTAATTATCTTGTCATATAAAAGATAAAAACTTGTATCGTGCACCTGATACAACATCTTCAGTCTTAATTCATATGAGAAGAACTGTAAATATATGATTTGTTTGTTGTTTAACTCTGCACTCAGCATTATTACAGCTATATGGCAGCGGTCTGTAAATAATCGAGTCTGGACCAGACAATCCAGTGACTGACATCATGAGCATCGATCCACGCAGTTGGGATACAATGACATGCATCAACCAAGTCAGCAAAGCTGACCAACCGATCCTGTTAGTCACCTCTTACGACAAGCATAGTCACCTTTTACGGCAAGCATGGGTTGCTGAAGACCTATTCTACCCCGAATCTTTACAGGTCTGTAAATATGTGAGAATATAATACCAGCTAATGACTGACACCTAGCCTCACCCAAGTCCCCGTAAAGAACTGATAGTGGATTAGACAAACCAGTGATTGATATTATGAGCAACAGTCCACCACCTCAGGTTATGACGACACTCAATCAACCAAGTCACCAATTATCACCTATCCACTAAGTGGCAGCTCACAAGCATATGTTTCTGGAGACAGATTTGGGTTCAAAATATTGTAATGAATCAATAAAAAAATTATGGTTGGCATTTCCGAAGTCCGTAATCCAGGCACGCAGTGGCAGTGGCACAGTAGGACAGGTCAAGGATACGAGACAGGACCTCCATCAGTTGAGCTTTACAGTTTTCTTCCTTCCGGGCAAAGAAAGACAGAGCTTGTACCCACAAACTAGGATCCTGCTGCCTGGAACAGGGAACCCATGTATTCACATCTCCTGTCATACTGTATATCGATGTGCATTAAACTATAAGGCCAGTTTTCCATACCTAGAATTAGGGAGCTTTCAAGGGGGGTGGTCTTACAGGGTTAGAAATTGGCACTAGTCCTATAGTCCCTGCTAAACTGACCAATAGTTAAGGTATCATAAGGACTAGTAGATATTTGCCATTTTTAAGGGTTTTGCTATTTATTATCAAGGACTAGTGGACCAAAAATGTTTCTACCACTGTCTTATACAAAGGGTTGAAGAGTTTTGATGTTTTTCCCCAACACAAAGACATTACTGTGAGCACGTAACACTGGAAATACTTTGATGGCTGCTTCCAGCTGAGTTTACAAGACAATACACAGAGCAATATTAATCTCTGTTTTGAAACAATGCCTAGCTGAAAAGGAAATACATTTTAATCAGTAAATCATCGTGTCAAGTGATGTTTTATCTCAGATTTGTAACTTTATGACCAAGTTTAATTGTTATGATCTTTTCATTTCCCTGAGTTCTCTGAAGGGATGTGATGTATATGTTTTTCTGCGGAAGACAAACACGTTTTTATTGCAAATGTAGGCATTGTGCATGTGCTGGTGATGCACTTCATTCAGATTCACTTTACAGACAGGGTATATGAATTAGCAGTGATTTTGAAGGCTTAAACAGAGGGGGGGTCGCCTTATAGGTATGGTCGCTTTCTAGACGGTGATACAGGGTATTACCTGGTCACAGCTATAGATACATGTGCGGTGTCCCCCCCACTTTCCCAACATTGGTTGGGGTACAGCAACTTCAGGGTTAAGTGGCGGACATTGCACAGTAGTATGTGACAAGTACGTTTTAGTCAGGATTCATGGATATTTTCAATAATACTCCGGTTGTATTATGTTCTATGTATTGATTCCTAGTTGATTGTACGTGTAGGAGTATGTGGCTGCCTCAAGAGGATAAATACCCAGTGCCAAGCACAGGGTAACGTTAATTTACATGTTTGTCGTGTATTGTTATATATAAATATACATACATATCGTAAATAGCCAATATTGTATCTAGCCAAGTGTGTGATCAGTTACTGTTATCAACATAGCAGCTACCAGAAAGTGGCAATAAGTCGCCTATAACAAGCAAGCATAGATTACAGGGGGCCGACACAGACTTAGAATTCCCACTGGGACCAGCATGAGAGTGGAACACCTCAACCACGGAACTACCCCACCCCACTGTAAGTACAAGCACTACCAGGTACTCATCAGTCACTGTAACCACTGGACTCATTCCAAAACACCTTTTCTGCTCTTCAAACTTAACAATTTAACTTCATGTACTTTTGTAATTCTACGTCACAAATAGTTAAAAAATCATATATATATTTTTACTACTAAACATTTGAGAGGGGCTATTTCGTGTTGTTCCGTAGTAAGAGGACCGTATCTTGTGTACTTGAATTGTACTTACTTTTATTAGAATTAAGTGAAGCTGAGTGAGTGAGTGAGTGAGTATGGTTTTACGCCGCTTTTAGCAATATTCCAGCAATATCACGGCGGGGGACACCAGAAATGGGCTTCACACATTGTACCCATGTCGGGAATCGAACCCGGGTCTTCAGCGTGACGAGCGAACGCTTTAACCACTAGGCTACCCGACCGCCCCTAAGTGAAGCTGAACTTGCCCCATGGCAGTATGGGATGCAATTTGTATAACACCTTCTCCATACAACCAATCACACACAACCAGGTCCTACGTGCACTCAGAATATCCCTATCAGATGTTGAGTAGAATATATTGAACTTTACGTCTGGTTAACTAATCGTTGCCACAAGAACTCACCCAAACTTCTTGCAAGCCTCGATGACGTGCACATATTCATCATGCTCCATGTGGTAGCGGAGAATCTGCTGATACCTGCAACAGAGAGAACATCGAGTCGTTTATCTCAGTGTGTAAGCTTAGTAGGTGACCAAAGTGACACATGTTTCAGGACTCTCGGACAGGTAACTCTTTGATGTCACCCTGGATCACGGATAGGTGGAAGTGAGTTTTGGTTTAACACAACTTTGATCAGTATTTAGTTAAGTAACGGTGAGTCAGCTTGTCGTAGACATTCAACACTTTGCTGTCACCCTAGTTCATGGACATGAGTGAGTGAGTCAGGTTTTACACCGCTCTATCCATACTTCAGTGACCTCATGGCATGATAGCCTAAAGTGGGAGAAACACCCAAAGTGACACAGGTCGGCATACTTTGGTTAAAAAGAACAGGACAGAAATCGTGAGGCTGATAGCATTGTAATCAGAGGGAATCTTGGATTCAAACCAATAATTAGTGGATCCTGACAGGTAAGGGAAGCAACTCTTCCCAGCAGCTGCTTCAATAGCTGGGTCAAATTAATATGGTTGCTATGGAGTTTATTGTAAGACATTTGAGCCATTGCACTGTACATTGCACTGTACTCCAGCACTGTAACTGGTTTGTTTTACACCACAGTCATTAATATCATCACAGCTAAATTACCAATAGCGGTAATCTGACCGTGGTTGCTGTTAATAACAGTGAGTTGTGCGATCTTCCAATTGCTTCACACACGATTTTGCCGAAATTAATTAAAACAATATTAAAAGGAATTTTGAATAAAATTAATGAAATAAGTTACAAACATAAGTCCGGATATACATACAACACTTTCTATAGCCAGACAGTGTAATTACATGATTAATTTGCGTACTTCAGTATGGATTTGTTGACATGGTGTTTCCTGTGTTACGTGCTCGCGGTAATGTCTTTCCATGGGGAAAAAAACATCAAAACTCATTATTTCGTGTATCATGCGCACCCCCTTCTACACAGCTGTGTTTTTTGGAAAAAAAGTGCGCACTATACGGTACCTGGCAGTTTGTATATAATAGAGCCTGGACCACTGGTTGACATTCGATGCTAGTCAGTGAGTGAGTGAGTCGGGTTTAATGCCGCTTTTAACAGTATTCCAGTTATATCACAGCGTGTCAGCTTAATGTGGGAGGAAAGCCCGAAGTGATGCAGGTCTCAGACGTTTACCACTTCGGTGAAACCCACGAGCACTGGTATGGTGCTGACAAACCTAGAAACATAATCGGGGCGAAACCGGGATTCAAACCCACAATCATAGGTTTCTGGCGTGCCCAAGGGACGCAACTCTGCACAGCGAATCGCGGCGCCTTCGATGCTCGTCAAGTCGCTAAGCTCTACCACCCAATCTAATGTAATCACTTCTTACCACAAACAACAGAGTGCTGGCGACCTATTCTAACCAGGCTCCCCGTGACCTGACCATAAACCATACTTTGAAAGATTTTCTCGGATACTTGTTAGTTTATGAAACATTTATGAATGAGAATTGCTATCTATCTGACTTACAAGTGAGCTTTCTCATACAGGTAGAGGATGCCGGCCTTGAAGTTGTTCATCTGACAGAGAATCAGGGCGTGGTCAATGTCATACCGAGCCTGCAGCACACAACATTGAGAAAACTTCACACAACAAATCATTGATACAACATCAAAACGGGGCAAACAAATGGTAGTCACGTCAGCAGTAGGATCTTAAAAGGCCAAAAATTCATTGGAATTGTCCTGTTCAACAAAACATAGGATGTTTATGCCAGTCTCCACACTGATGATTTAGCACATGTCTTGCAAGAGACATATTTACAGCTTCATTTATAACTGAGTGGAAGGGAGATAACTCTAAATTGATGTTGATGAAGCTAATAAACAGTTACTGAGAAATCATCAAAGAATACAGCTTCATATTATCAAAACATGTGACAGAGTACCAGGAATGATTCTCAAACTACCATATCTATTAAAAAAACCTGCCATTTCAAGGTTATCTGGTATTTAAGGCTTTTCCAAGCCGAACAAACTGTTCTGAATATGCCAATTGTGTGCATACTTACATCAGGATTCTTCAACAGTTCCAGTGTCTTCCTTTCTCTGTCAACTCGAGGCTGTGGGGAGGAAAAATTGTTTACATTGTGTCAATATGAATCAAAGTACAATTTAATTATTCATATTCAGCAGCCATTGTGACCATACAATTCCCATTTCAGTCCGAGGTATTATGACTCCATCACCCAGGTACTCACTGATATGTCCTTCTCATGCATCATCTGATGGAGGTACAGCTCCAGCAGGGTGTTGTACACCAGATTGGAGGAGTTGGGCTGTACCTGGAACACGGACAACAAGACATGCTCATGGTGTCACCAGGATACCACCGAGACTAAGCTCAACTGTGTACAACATTCTTACTATTTGGTGATATTAATTTCAATTCAGAAAAAAGGACAGTTTGAAAATAGGCACAAAATTACAATAAAATGAAAATAAGATATCCATTTTTAATGGGCCATACGTCTTCAGAAAAAAAAATTCAGAAAATATTCTATGTTTAGGTATATAACCATGATTACACTTTTCATATTTTTTTTTCGAGCCAACTTAAATGTAATTAGCTAATGTACATTATCCACAATGAGTTTATGTGCTTAATTTTGACAATTACATTTTTGAATGTTGGAAATGAACTTTTATAAGCAGATATTCAATGTCATATCGTATGAGTGGTTATGGTTGAGCTTTTGGCAAAAAAAGGTTAAGCTTTTCTGTTTTACTTCTGTGTGTGTATGCGAATGGATTTGGTTAGCTATTGATAAGTGATAGCTATTGAGATGGTATTTCAGGATAAAGTAATATGAAGGGGTATTCTCAGGAGATACCAGACTTATCCATACCTCAACCATGTGCTCTAAGAACTCGGTCAGTTTACCAGAGTTGTTCACAAATATGTGTATGAATTCTTCTGCATTGGCTTTCTGAATGCGTTGTAAACCACCTACAATAACAAAACAAACACATCAGTGGTATTCACAGACAAAACACATATTTTTCATCCATATTTAAATGAGGATTACCAGTTTAACCCTTGTGCATTTGTTTTTTCAACCCCTCTACAAAACAGAACAACTTGCAGGACACCTACCATCCATACTCAGCTGATCCACTAGAGGCTCTGAAATTGAAAAAAGTTTCTTGGCATTATTTATGTGAATACTGCTAACAAATTGCAAGTGATTGTGTGGCAATTTTGATTAAGTTTGTTTCCATAAACCAAAATTAAATTAAGCAGACTACTGTTTCCTGATTGGCTGATAACAGAATGGGTGGGGCTCATGTCGTATTATTGTGCTTAACAATGTCACTAATTTTGTATTGTTCTCTAAGCTTTTTGTATGTTAAAGGGGAAGTGTACACGCAAAAATCACTTTCTACCTTTTTCTAAACAAAACGCAATTTTAGAATTAATTAGTATCTGTGTTTGAAAATATACACTCATTTTTTTCACAGTGAAAGTAGGAAACTCACAATAGTGTGAAAATGATATGCCGTTATGAGGCCTTCGTTTTTCGAGCTAAACAGGCCTGAGTTATCCCCCTTAGATTATGACGTAATTGGTGCCAATTCAACTGGGTCCCTGTCTATTCTCAACGCAAAAGATATCAAGTACCAGTTTGCGGTAAAACAACATGGCCTACGACACTTTCCGGCGCAGTGGTGACTCAGCATAACACTATGCTGGCTGGCATCTGAGACGCTAGAATCACACACCTGTACCTACACCACGTGAAGCGGCTCTAACAAAGCATGATGACGTCATAATGTTTATCAATTGGCACCAATGACGTCATATTGCAAGGGGCATAAGCCATGGTGTTTTTGTTGTGGAAATAGAACACTTGGTAAATGTGAAAAATATAAATCGTTTTAATGCGAAAAATATGTTAATTAATTGTGATATTTTTATATTTTTGTCTATGACACTTCTAGGTTAACACTTTTAATGTGGAAAAAGTACAAGAAAAATAGGTTCATTTCCGTGTGAACTTGCCCTTTAATGATTAAATAAGCAGTCTGTGCAGTTATCATTGTTGACATGTTCATTTATAAGAATTGCCTTTAATATGTTATAAACATATACAACGGTGTGCAGTTTGTGTAAATCCATGCATACAATTTTTTTCCGTTTATACCTCCATAAATATAAAAAATAATTCTCTTGTTTCGACACTATATGGCCGATATATGCCATGGCAATGTCAAATTTTAACTCACACACTCACTTTAAGATTATCATGTGGGATGACATTACCCACAGTGGTAAAACCTCCATACTCTGGTATGGTGAAAAAGAAATCATTATCATGACAAGAGGGTCCCGGTAACTGAGGGGCACAACTCTCAACATCACACTACAGCACTGCCGAGGCAAACATCCCCAAAGTGTAAACAAAAAGTAACACAACAGTGTGTCACATATGATGCTGATCAATATTTTGTTTTATTCCTGTATTTACCTGGAGATGACTTCCAGAAAGTCAAAGATGAAATATGTGACTACCAAAGATTGCTTATTCTGCACATACATTTTTCATAATAGCTTGTTATCCTGATGCTACAGTGAGTGTTTGTTTGTTTGTTTGTTTGTTTAACACCCCACTCAGCAATATTCCAGTCACATGACTGTGCATTGTAAATAGTCAAGGCTGGACCACACAATCAAGTGATTGATATTGTAAGTAACAATTCACACCATCAGAGTATGATGACACGCAATCAACCAAGTCACCAAGCCTGACCACCCGACCCATGTCACCTCGTACAACCAGCAGTCGGGAGCTGGGACTAGCCCGGACTAACCCGGACTAACCCGGACTAACCCGGACTAACCCGGACTTCCAGGGACAGTATGAGTGAGAGAGACGAGAGCAACACTTACTGTCCATGGGCTTGTAGTCGGTGCAGAGTCGCTTCAGCAGCTGAGTGGTCTGTTTTGGCACTTCACTCATCAAAATCTTCCCATACTGCTTCAAGTTGTTCTCAGCCTAAAGTCAGTATCAACAAACATGAAATGCTCACACCACATCGGCCTCTACAATTACATTCAGTATAAGGTCAACACCAGGTGTGCTCAACTGGTTCATAAAATCAAAATGTTTTTTAATCAATCTGCTTTATTTTCATTTGTTTTCCAAACCACTATGGAAACTAAAAGTTCCATAATCACCTTTTGCTGAATTATTTCAAATGAAAATATGACAATTAACAAGGAAACATCTCGTTTCTTTCTTTTTCAGACAGCACTTGGTGCACCCTGTACTCTCCACTTGGATGACATACCTCCTCAAAGTCCAGCTTGCCGATGTACTCGAGCGCCCTGTGATAGTCTTTGATGTCCTCCAGCTGGATCTTAAGGTACCACTCATGCTTGGCGTGCTTCTCTGCCAGCGACAGGGCGTGTTTGTGATATCCAGCCTGGCGACACACTTTGATGGCCGTCTCCACATCAAAATCAACTTCACGGTCCTTTGTCTGAAACAACAAGTGTCAATGGTAGGTATCATTTGAGAGAGTTGTGTTCAGAGCCAGTGGTCTCCTGGGAGTTGTGGCCCTCTACCAAGAGGACTACATGGAGGTATGGTTTGAGTGAGGGAGGGAGGGAGTGAGCAAGCAAGCGAGAGAGAGCGAATAAACACTCTAACCAAAAGGCTATCCCACTGCAACTGAAGAGATTCAGCCAAAAGCATCCATTTATACTGAATTCTATACTGAAATGACAATCTGAGCAATGTAGAGCATGAATTGAATCCTGGCACAGAAAAGAAATGCACAAAAGAAACTCTGCACAACAAACTGAGGCATCTCACATCACTGGAACATTCATTCCCTTTATATAATGTTAATGCAGCATGCATATACTAGAAGTAAGACTGAACTATAGAATTTTTATCTCATTTTATTTTTACGTTAAAGATTATTCAAAATATTAATGTTTGAACAAGTTGAAACCAACTTAAACATTTCTGACACAAATGAATATGAATGAGGGAACAGTTTAAACGGTAATCATTGAAAGATGATTCTAAGTACAAACAATAGAATATTCCACTGGAAACATACAAAACACTGAAAGGCAGAGTTTCAGTACATGATCAAAGATAAATCCCCCATCCCTCTTACCATGATAAACTCATCCAGCTTGGAGACGTCCTTGAGCTTGGTGTAGCAGTTGAGGAGGAGTGTTGTGTGTTCCTCAGTGGCCATCTGGGCCTTGTGTAGAGCCTGCAGGTACTTGGTCAGGTTGTGGATGCGCTGGGCGTCTAGGAACTGGAGGGAGAAGGGTTGATTCACATGATCAGCCGGTACAGTATGTCAGTTATACACAGCACATCAGCGTAAGGTTGGAGGGAAACACAAAGAGATGTTTGTTATAGGCTTTTGCCACGTTTATGATACCCACATGCACAAGAAGATGCTTACAACACCAAAATGATATGCATATTTGTGCAGCTGAGGGCAGAGATGTATCTAGGCATTTGTCTGTGTCAAATCTCTGTAACCATCATTGACGTTTTGAATCAAACATTTCTCAAGTTAGGTTATAACCGGTAAATCATACAATCTTGACATGTTTTATTACGTTTTGCAGAGGTTATTGTCCTGAAAGCAAGAGGTTATTATCCTGAAAGCAATGTTAAAGTTTGTTTGAATTTTAAGAAAATAAGGGCTTCTAAAAACTGCATAATAAACACACTAAGTTCTAATTTGCATGTCAAAACCCTAGACAAGTCCCTGAATGAACATAACTGTGGATCATCCTTGTCTGCTATTCCCCATGTGTACCTCCAGAGACTGGACATACAGTGTACACTGGACACTCTTCTTCTTCCAGTTGGTTCCAGGACACAACAATGTCTACTCTGTGTCATTAGTTGAATGACTATGTTTACAGACATCCTCATGTACACTGCATGAGTTATTGTTGTGAGGGGTACATGACAGTCCTTGTAGGAAGAACACATCGCCTGTGGTTGTGCATGTTGGTACATAGGTGACACTGACAATTGCCCATTGCAGATCAACAAAAGTGGTTTGTTTTAGTTGCTTTCTTGTTGAATGCTGTGTGAAGCACATATATGTAGGCATGGATTAATCTAGGATTCCAAACTAAGTGCCTTTGGCAGGAAAATTGGAAGAAAATACTAAGTTTGCTCAAAATGGGGATTTCACTAAGTTTTCTAATTTAAGAGGTATTTTAACCTTGATTTTTAACATTACATGAAATAATGTTGAAAGTGTTTACTGGAGAATTGTTACTGACAGTAGCTGCAGACTTTTGGCCAAACTCATCTTCCCGAGGCAAGAGAGTTAACTGACTTAAAAAGTCCAGTTTCCACCCTTGCCGAACTAAGCTGGAATTACTGGGCTCGATCGTAGCGCCACCATTGGCTATTACCAGTTATGTCCCTTCTAAGTCTCTCCTATGGACCAATCAGATTCCACCTCTCGTATCACTTGCGTTTGCTAAACACAAAATGGTGGCACCCGGTCAGGACGATCTGATCGATAATCAAGATGTAGAAAAACATCAAATCCTGTGAGTACCTTGATCAAAAACATGAAAAGATTTGTAAAAAATCTGCTGATAATGAGTTGGCGGTGCACATGCTTTGCAAATCCTGCAATCGACCGAAATCTGCACAACAGTTTATGAACAAGATTTTGATTTCGGTACGCGATTTTGATTGGACTATGCATAGACTCGTTAGTCCAGCCAAAATGTTACTCCATAATACCAGCCTAGTTTGGCAAGGGTGGAAACTGGACTTTTGTAGTCAGTTAATTCTCTTGCCATGGGAAGATGGGCCAAACTGGGCTCTGAGCAAATCTAGATAAATCCCTGGAAGGACTCAAAGAGGCTGTAACCTGTGACAGAAATGTATATGTGATGTCTGCTTGAGGTCATAAAACAAACACAACGCCATACTTGCTGTGACATGGTGATCTGAGTAATACTGTAGATCTAAGTCTTACATTTTTCATATCAAGGTATCCAAGAGTTTCACCACATTTTGCCGTACCTTCCTGATGACATAGGATGCTTCCAGCTTGCCGATGGTTTTGATATACTGGTCAATGGCGCCATCATGGTCCCCCTTGCTGTACAGGTGGTCGCCATACTGGGTGAAGATGTCGATCAGGCCGTCAGCATCGTACTGTTGACTCTTGGCCAAGCTGGGCAAACAGATGAAGGGGATGATCAATGAGCAAAGACGGCTTAACACCATCATCAGCAATATCACGATGAATACAGACTGACATATTACTGAGGAGTGAGTGAGTGAGTTGGGTTTAAAGCTGCTTTTAACTCCAGTTATATCGCGGCGTGTCAGCTTAATGTGGGAAGAAAGCCAGAAGTGATGCAGGTCTCAGACGTTTACCACTTCGGTGAAACCCATGAGCACGGGTATGGTGCTGACAAACCTAGAAACATAATTGGGGCGAACCGGGAATCAAACCCACAATCATAGGTTTCTGGCGTGCCCAAGGGACGCAACTCTGCACAGCGAATCGCGGCGCCTTAGACGACTGGGCCACCCGTGCCCCCCATTACTGAAGAGAGGATTATAACTACTGTCATGGCTATGGTCCAAGTGATGACTATAACTTACTTACTCTGGTTGCTTAGTGTTGCTGGGGCTGATAGAGATTTAGGTGAATAATAGGTGAAGTGAAATCAGGCGTTAATGTCGCGTTCAAGATTATTGACCTAATTAGCTCACTCAATAAGACCACGGAGGTTGCCAAGGTCAATAATAAAGGTCAGAGGGTCAATACTATACAAATAATTACTCTTGATGAGGTCAATATGCGAAAACAAGTACCCAAGGACCCGACCCCTGACGGTCGCATATTTACCTTGTCAAGAATAATCATTTGTTTTGCTATACCGAAAATTCAATTTAAAGTTTATTAGGTCAATAAACCGTCCTCTGTTTCATTACCGTAACTAAGCTGCAAACCATGAAATGTTCGAACTAGACGTCAATATTCAAAATCAGAGTCAGTCACATAATTGGGTGTCTACCTTGAAATGTATTAGTTTGCCATGTGATATGGATTAACCAATGAAATTACAAGATTTTTAATCGAGGTATAACAAAGAGAAAGTGTGCAGCAGTAAGTGTCCCAACATGTGGGCTGTCAAATGAAGCTTGTTAAACCTGCCATCCAAGCATGCATGGCATAACAGTGTTCCTTTCAAGATTGTATTAATCCAGCAGTTGTGTATGACATGTATAACATGTATGACAAGCTAACACACAAGATCTGGAATTAGTTTGCCTGTGAAATACGGAGTGAGCAGGAGGCTAAGGCTGACACACATGGCCTGTACTAAGTTTGCCTGTGTAACACGGAGTGAGCAGGAGATTAAGGCTAACACACAAGGCCTGTACTTACAGCAGGGACTGTACTACTCACCTGATGGCCAGTGTGTAGTTATTTTTCTTGAAGAGCATCTCTAGCTTCGTCTGTGTGTCCTTCTCCTGAAGCTGGTACAGCTGAAGACATGATAATACAGCTTCAGGGCCGACACATAATCACAATAATCATAGAAGACGCAAAGCAGAATCTTCATTTTCAAAACAAACATGTTTACCCCATGAAAGAATTGAAAAAACATATCCAGCAAATACATTTCTAGGTCATACATGTATTAGTTTTTTGAGTGTGTTGATGAGAATAGTGAGCACAACAATAATATGAAATCTAAACCCCTCCTAAAACCATTTTTCCTGACAAATAAACTTCAGGAAGCTCTGCTAAGTTTGCATTGCAGTATATTGTCCCCTGCCAGGAATCATCTTCCCAAGGCAAAGGAGTCAACTGACTATAAAAGTCCAGTTTCCACCCTTGCCGAACAAGGCTGGCATTAGGGAGTTATTCTTTGGCTGGAGTAAAGAGTCTATGCATAGTCCAATCAAAATCACGTAATGAAATCAACATCCGGTTCGTAAACCGCCGTGCAAATTTCAGTTGATTGCAGGATTTGCAAACCATGTGTACCGTCAACTTAATGTCAACAGATATTTTCCAAATCTTTTCTTGTTTTTAATCTAGGAGCTCAAGTCATTTAATGGCCCTCGGGAAGTAAGACCCGTTTTATTACAAACTAGATCTTGACTATCGATCCGATTATCTTGACTTGGCACCACCATTTTGTTTGAAGCAAATGCTAGTGATATGAGTGGTGGAATCTTATTGGTCGATAGGAGGGACATAGGAGGGACACGACTCATAAAACACACTGGTGGCGCTACGATCGAACCTAGAAATTCTGGCCTAGTTCGGCAAGGGCGGGAACTGGACTTTTACAGTCAGTTAACTCCCTTGCCTTGGGAAGACGACCAGGAATGTGTCATGTGCTGTACTGAAAACCTTCTCACACAGACTGGTTCCTGACTGTTTTTGAACAGCATCAGTTTTGTGACGCATACAAATCAAACATTCTCCTGATCTATTTTAGTTTTAGCCGACAACCCACTCGGTATAATTATTTTGTCTAATACCTGATAACTATTACAAAGAGGAAATAAAAAATATAATTTGGGATTTGTATTTCAATATGTTCAATGACGTGCAACCTGGAGTCTATTGAACTTGTTAAAATCAAGCAATAACCCCTATCACCATGGTTACCTGTGATACAAAGGGGAAGAAACAACACAAGATCAGAATACCTTCCTATCCCCGGCCAACACGTAGAGAGACCCCCACTCACACATGACATCGATGACATCAGGGTAGGGTGCGGAGTAGGCGATGAACTTGTTCTGGATGTCGTACACTGTCACAGTGTTCATCTCCAGACCCTGGGTGCCTCTGCAACACAATGCAAACTGTCAGTCAGTAGGGTCTCAGCCAGAATACCCCTGTGGTCAAAAATGGCTAGCCAAGCATGTAAACATTTAGTCTTCAACAGAAGTTATGTTCTTTCATGTAGTTTCTTGTTGGTGGTCAATGGTTGGTTGGTTGGTTTGTTGTTTTACGCCGCACTCAGCAATATTCTAGCTACCGGGTATATGACGGCGGTCGGTGGTCAATGGAATCAAGTTTGTTTGTATATTGCTTACAACCACACTCAGCAATATTCCAGCTATATAATGGTGGCCTGTAGATACTCAAGTCAGGACCAGACAAACTAGTGATTGATATTATGAGCACATGCATCAATGGGTTACAATGAGACGAAATCAAGCAATTCACCAAATCGTACCACCCACTCCATTAAACATAATCTGTCAAGCATGGGTTGCAGGGGACCCAGAATCCCTATGGGGATATGAAATCAAGAGCATGATGACAGATAGAATTCTGGAATAACTGCATCTCATGAATCTTCATAGATGTTTAGACCCATGAAGATCCGGGGTAGAACAGGTCTTCAGCAACCCATTCTTGCCGTAAAAGGCAACTATGCTTGTCGTAACAGGTGACTAATGGGATCAGGTGGTCAGGCTTGCTGACTTGGTTAATCCATGTCATCCATGTCATCCTGTTCCAATTGCGTGGATCGATACTCATGATCTCAATCACTGGATTGTCTGGTTCGATTATTTACAGATCGCCATCATATAGCTGGAATATTGCAGAGTGTGGCATTAAACAATAAGCAAACAAACAAATCATAGATGTTTAACTCTACAGCTAGACTCACAAGACTGGGGCACGGGGCATGTTCTTGTTGTCCTTCCCCACTACAACCAGGTAGCCCCGGAACCAGTGCAGCTGAAGCTTCTCCCCCTCGAACGCCAGACACGGACCACGCCCATCTGGCTGGTAGAAGTACACAGCCTGGAACAAGACAACCATGATTGTACAGCCATTAGAAGACAACCATGATTGTACAGCCATCAAAGACAACCATGATTGTACAGCCATCAAAGACAACCATGATTGTACAGCCATCAAAGACAACCATGATTGTACAGCCATCAAAGACAACCATGATTGTACAGCCATCAAAGACAACCATGATTGTACAGCCATAAGAAGACAACCATGATTGTACAACCATCAAAGACAACCATCAACATGGTAAATAAACCACTCGAGCTAAAGAGAAATCTCAAGGAACTACTCTCCTAAAAGACACCTTGAGAGAGTGAATGGGTATGGTCTTACGCCGTTTTTAGCAATATTCCAGCAATATCATGGCGGCGGACACCAGAATGGGCTTCACACATTGTATCCATGTGGGGAATCAAAACCCAGGCCTTCAGCGTGACAAGCAAACGCTTTAATCACTAGGCTGGCTACCCCACAGCCCCATAAGAAACCTTGAGATGTAACTTGCATTATACCAGTAGAAAAACAATCTGTGCACAGATCAATTAAAAATGTCCATGGAAATAACGTCACACGCATTGAACATGCCCCTTGTTGACATGAACAAAAGGCCTATCAGTGGCACTAATAAAAGACCTATCATCATCATCATCATCATCATCATCATCATCATCATCATCATACACTTGTCATCACCATATGTCATCACCAACACTGCTACTGTAAACATGGTAAACAAACCAGTGCTGACGTCACACATGGAGAAAGGTAATAAAGACAATGGTGATGCTGCTTTCAACAGTTGCTTCCTAATGTAGGAGGAAGCCCGAGGTGATGTGGGACACCAACATGTTCCCTCAGGTAACACGGCATCATGACCACCACGGTATGCAGATGTTCCTGGACACACAACCAGCAGATCTTGAAGGTACTGTTGGTAGTGGAGAAGTGGTCTCTGCTACTTACGTCCTGTCTGCCAATGACCAGCTGGTTGTCATGGCTGGCATCACTTGTAACGGTACAGCGGAGTTTCGTGCCAAATGACTCCAGAGTTTCCTTGGGGAAATGAAAGCAAAATCTTAAAAAAACACAACTACTTTTTTCAACTAATCATATATGCTAATGTCATTGAGTATCGATATAAAAATGTATGTACTACACAGATAATAATTAAGTCAGAAATATCCTTACTACTATAAAGTCCATAAAAATATACAGTCAGTTGTAAAGTACCCCTGCATCAGGAGCAGACAATGTTTCTGACAACAAACCTGCACAGCAGGATGCTGTTGTACCAAACAACCTTAGAGCTACAACTGTCGTAAGTCTATATCAGCGTATGGGAGTTACGATCACCTTAGTGCTAAGATCACTTTGTACAACCGCACCTGGTCTCCAAGTCCAACACCAAAACAAACAATCTCTAATTGTTAAGCATTCATCTTCTTGTAACTAATAATTCATGTAACTACTGTTAGTCTTACTAGCAAAATCAGGAAGGTTTGTCAATCTGTCAAGATCTGAGGGAAGAATTCCCGCCATTTTCAAGTCAAGTGAGTGAGTGAGTTGGGTTTAACGCCACTTTTAACAGTATTCCAGTTATATCACGGCGTGTCAGCTTAATGTGGGAGGAAAGCTAGAAGTGATGCAGGTCTTAGACATTTACCACTTCGGTGAAACCCACGAGCATGGGTATGGTGCTGACAAACCTTGAAACATAATTGGGGCGAACCGGGAATCGAACCCACAATCATAGGTTTCTGGCGTGCCCAAAGGACGCAACTCTGCACAGTGAATCGCGGCGCCTTAGACGACTGGGCCACCCATGCCCCCTTTCAAGTCAAGACTTTTTATAAACATATCGTCCATCATCTTCATCACGAATGCTCTCATCATGTTCACTAATAATGTACTCTTGTTACACTTACCCTTTGATCCTTAGCTGTGAGGTTGAAGGCGTTGACAGCTATTTCAGTCACAACAAACAAGATGACGTCTCTGCCAGATGTCTTGAATGATAGCCCAGTGATTGGTCGCGGGTTCTCAAAAACTGTTCGAGACTTACTGTGCCTGAAAATGACAGGATGTATTATTCTTGCCATCAAAAGTGATTACTATCTGAACAGCAATAGCTAAAGCATGTAAAGGGGAAATATATCAAGTCAGAGTTTCACATAAACATGAGCCGGATTAGCACATTGAAAACATAAAGACTAATCACAGGAACAACTTGACATGAACACTCTGCGACTTTGGCCACTAGTCCGAAGCCTGAGCCTTGTAAAATTCTGCTCAATCTGGTAAGCTCAGCTAATAATAGTCCATATAAGAAAGAATTGGTTCTCAGGCAATAAGTTTTGAAAATATAGTGTGGGCAGGCGGTGTGTTTTTTGTTTTATTTCTTGTTCAAACTAGTATGTAACCAAAAAACAATTGTATACTTTGGGAAAGGGCCGCCCTACATAAACAACCATACAAACTGCTATTGACGCCATGACCAAAAAGGTTCGCATGTAAGAGAAAGTAACTGTGTGCTATGTTGGATTGCATTGTCTTTAAGTATTAGGATTTTTTTTAAAAGGAAATAAAAACGAAATGTGCGGCAGACTTTATGATGATGCTGGAGTGCCTGAGACCAAAGACTATTTTTTTTTTTAGCCTAATTATACTGAATTCTACTGAAAATGTTGCTAAGAACCATGTTCAGGCAAGTAGACTGAAAGGTGTTGGGCACAGACAGCATGATATACTTGCTTATAGTATATATCACATCAACAGTTTGTAATGTTCACACTTCAAAAAGCAGGCACCAGCCAAGGATATATCATTAGATTAGTTCCTTTAAATCTAGTTATGTGCCATAACCTTTAAATCTAGTTATGTGCATTAAACCACTTCTTTGAAGTGTGTTGTGACCACATTGAATTTACACCTATGCCACTAAGCATGCTAGTCTGAGACTGATATCTTATGAAAATGACTTCTCTGAAGAATTTCCCACACTGTAGTCAAACACAATGTAAAGAAAGCTGTAACAAATCCCATCGAAGAAGCTAAGGAGTACTTCACATCAACATTATTGACTGTTCATTAGGGTTGCAATGAATACACTATGAGGCGAATATGATTCATATCATGAATATAGGGTAACGAATACGAATATTAATTCACAAATACAATAACAAGTCAGCAGCTGATGTATTATTTGTTATATTCAGTGAAACGATAACAAAAAATATTTGACATGGTTTGTTAACTATTGATATATTATACATTGATATACTGCACTTATCCAGGTACTAGTATCTGCTCAAATGCAACAATGGCCAGTGACCACAATACTGTCAAATTAAATATTATACGAGTGTTATCTTTGAAGAAATCTATGTATATAATATGTTCTTATGGATATTTTTAGGTACCAGGTATGTGAATGCACATGATTGCATATTCATAAATATTCGATTCTAGCGGCCACGAATAACGAATTCAATTCATGAATGGATACATTTCGATTCACTGAATATGCTAGTGAATCGTAACAGCCCTACTGTTCATGTGAATAGGTATTTTTGTATAGAAATAGTAACATACAAATGACCCCTAAGGCAACAAATGAACAAGCGTTCTGTACCTGTCCCGAGTGACATCTCCCTTGTACACCACGACAACTCCATTCTCAAACCCCACTGCCATGTAGTTGAGATTCTCGTGCACACTCACGCAAGTCACCTGACAAAATTGAATAACAGGTCTCAGAGATGTAAAAAACGTAAACATTCAAAGACGAGGGACTAACATTCAGTTCAGGCGAGCTAAAAATAACTACAGTCAGTTTGCCAACAAATGACACTGTTAAATTGCAATATGTACAACAAATAGAAATATTGGATGAAAACTAATGTCACAAATGGACTTAGATGTTTAACACTTTGATGAAAAACAAGAGGATCAGTATCGCGCAATCTCATTAAAATCAGATCTTAGTTTTTGCTAAACAAAGATCTGAGGACATCCCATTACGTCAGAACGACCTTTCGCGAGTTTTGGCCGACCAATGAAACGACTGACAAGAAATTGACATAAGCCAATCAGAAGGCAGTTTTCTCGAGCTTTACGACACTAGTTTCAAACTGGCGACTACGCTTCGAAACCTATTTTGATGTATTCTCGATTAAAAAAATTAAAACTGATAAGAAGAACACTCTAGAATGGCTTATAGATGGCCTAGATTGTATGGATGTAATCATAAAACCCGTAACTGTCGTTCGGAATACCCCGTGTTAAATATTTCGTGGTTGCATGATTAGAAAACACATTCCGACTGTCATTGTCATGATCTGGTAAGCGACGCTCTGATTGGTTGGATGAAAGGTTGTTCCTACGTGACGCTTTATGGGATGTCCTCAGATCTTTGTTTAGCGATAGCGAGAACAAAGATCTTATTTTAATGAGATTGAGTATTATGTGTAATCTCATGTATTTGAATCGACCGTCAGCTAAGGTAGACAACTCTCAACAGATGTGGAAACTTCAAGCATTGGCAGTATTTTATCAATGTCAAACACTCACCGGTGTTGGTTTGTTCCCTGGTATCGCCCTTGATATCCTCGTACATATAGGACTTCCCCTCTCCATCTGAGAAACATAGATTTCTGAAGGCTTTAGAGATTCTTTGAAAATGCAAAATACTTCAATTTGTACATGATGCCAGCTCTGATTTTGTCTTTTTCAACATTTTTAGCTTTGTTAATTTTACACAAAGGACACCTGATAGTCATTTTCAAATCTAATTAAATGGGAAAAGGTCTTACAAAGAATGACAATATAGTCCATAAAATTATATCTGTCCAAGACAAACATTTTGAATATCACTACATAATTGATTTTTTTACCTTTTTCACCATGTTCACTGAAGAGTGAGTGAGTTGGGTATAACACCCCTTTACATGTTAAAGAGTATTTTAGTCATATCATGGTATGTTAATGTGGGTGGATGCAGCCTTTCCAGGTTGTAGACATCCCAGATTGTGTGGAAAATTGCTCATATCAACATGATCAATCTGTCCTTACCAATTGTTTGATAGGTACTACAAAGAAATTGACGGATGACAAAGAAGAGATAATTTATGGATAACAGCTTCATTAGTTACTGTAAGGGCAACGTTTCAGTTAAGATCCTTATACCGTTGTTGGTGTCTGACAATGGTATAAGGATCTATACCGAAACCTCCCCTTTACAGTAAATAAAGAAGTTGTTATCCATAAATTATTTCTACTTTGTTGGGACCAGATTTTATTATTCTCAGGTTGCCTTCATACAGCTGGGATATTGCTGGGTGTGATTTTAAATGACAAACAAACAAACTTGTTGATATGTGGATGTTTACCACTTTAGTTAAATCCACCATCAGAGACATGGTGCTGACAAACCATGAATCATAATCACGAGGAACCAGGGAATCCATCAGATTCTGGGACAACTAAGTGATGCAACTCTGCACTGCAAATTGTAGGACTTATGATGACTGGGCCAGCCGTGCCACCTTTTCGACAAAGAACGTTTACATGATGATGACTTATATAAGTCAGAAGTATCGGATATATTGGGGCATAATCCTCAAGTAACATGTTCAAATCTTACCTTCTCCAAGTTCCATACTTTTATCAGTGGATTAACCCCTTGTTCATCTTCCTGTAAGGTAGAGTCATATGCTCATTGAACAGAAGGAGGAATATATTGACATATGTCAATACATTGCAATACCACGAAGCAGGATTCAATAGAAGCTGTCCTGGTTGAACATGTTGAAATAAAAATGTTAACACTACTATGAAAAAAACAAGATTAACGTTTATTTGTTTCTAAATATGTTCGGATATGCTGTCCCCCGTTTCACATAAAACAAGAAAATATATTGATCAACAACAGTCTTGAGCACTATGTTTTGTGCTCTTCTAAAAGGGTGATGGTTAAAGAAAATCATTCAATATTTCATGTAATGAACTTACCCCTATCGACACCAAGATATTGTGTTGTTTCATCTGATGAAGATGGCTAACTCTAATTTCATAACCCTTGAAAGATGACATTTGTAGCTGTCTGTTGATGAGATAGATGTTGCCATCAAAGTCGCCAGCAATAAGCTGCCCTCTGCCACTGGCACAGACAGATACATTCTTGTCCTGTAATTTGTACAAGATAATACTCATTTTACACATACATATTATTCACTTTAATCATGTTTATATGCATCATATATGTAATAGGAATAGAAGGTAGCACTAGCTCAAAAGACAAGTTGGACCAGAAGTAATTGCTAAAATAAGAGGTTGGTTTTTTATGTCATCCTAACCTGATACGTTTAGTTCTCTACAATGTTGATAGGAGTATTTTTGTTTTGAACCAACTCTTTAACATAACACATAGAACCTGCAGAGGGAGATCGGGGTATCGCAGTACTTGTCATGTACGCTGAATGGAACAAAATGCACTGACTAACCTTTATGATTATTCTCGTTCTCTATATCAGATGTCATTTATTGGATCTAACAATGCATATCTTACTGATGAAAGTTCATTATTTACATTAGTAGCTCCAAGTAAAAGCTGGGCCTCGCGCTCAGTTTGACAAGGGAGAGAACTCCATCGTATCGCGGTACAGAGAAGAGTTGTGTATGGAGGTCCGAATTGGACAAAAAGAGGACATAATTCTACCAACCACTTAGTATGATCATGCCAGATATCAGTGATTTGTCCAGACAAGTGCAAAGACAGCACAAGTAAAACTCTAAATGTGTTATATGTAATAGGTATTCAATGCATATTTACAGAAAAGTAAGAGAAAAATATTTTAAAAATCAACAACAAAATATCAGAAATGATATTCTAAGGTTGGTTATAAAAACAAATTGGATGACAATAATTTGTCACATAATGGAAAAATGTTAAACGTTAACAATAAATATATAAAAAACACTCCTAGTATGCCCAAAGTATGTATTTATCTTTTGGCTTCTAGCGAAGAACGTATTTCTAAGTTTGGCATTATTGCCCTTATGATCTCCCAATAGATTCTGGGCACAGAGCGGGAAAAAATGTGTGAACTTCCGTTACCTTATTAGTCGCCATGAATATGCAGATGATCTAGTTCAGGTCGTTAGAGAAAGTTTACTTGGGGAACTGCGGGTTGGTCGTTGATAGATGGGGGAAATATGTATCAACGCATTAATAACTCCTTACTTACAGCAGACGGAACATTCCGAGGAAATTGAAATTGTTTACGAAGTGAGCACTTCCTGGTTACTGATTTGCATTAATAGACAGCTGCTAAGAGGCGTGTCCCGCGTGAACTACCGGAAAACACAAATGCCGCGATACGATGAATGCCGCGGTACCATGGGGTCCGAGTATATATGTTGTCCAACATCCTTATATGACAAAACACCTGAACTGAAGGTTATAAATAAAAGATGTTGAATCCAGTACAGACATTTAACTTGTAAACGTGAAAATCAGTGCAAAAATTACCTTGAGCTGATCAAAATATTGGTCTGTTTCTGGGTCTTTGACCGTTTCCTTCTCAAAGAAGTTGAATCTTCTCCACTGCAAACATTAAACGATATTTATTACTCAGTCACAAATATTCAAGATTTTCTATCTTTCGAACTGACCCCATACTGCTTGTACGTCAATCGATCTGTGATGCAACTGCAGTGGTTTTGGACTCAGCTGTCAACATGGTGATCATGGTCATATGGTCAAGTGAAAAAGAATAAATCGTTCATTCGCATTTCCCGATTCGATCTTGCGAATATCATCTGCTCATTATCAGCTGTGGACACAATGGCGGGCAAAACACCAACACACCAGGCTATGAGGAGTCAATAGCAGTACGTAATGCTGATCATATATTTAATGTTGCTTTGGTTGTGTCGATATAATACAATTATCGAAAACGCCTACCTGCAGAAAGGCCATGTTGACGACCTTCACCTTCTAAGTATAAGTGGAGCTATCTACAGCCAATCGCGAAACGAAACCTAATTATTTCTAAATATGTACACCCATGGTTTCTTATCAGGAGAATTGTTATAAGAATCATACACTTATATTTTGATTCGCCTCTTCTAGCTAACAAGCTAATAATATCACTTTATTCGAAAACAAATACGTTTCCTCAAAATATTAAACTATTTTCACCGCGACTACTCTCATTACAACTGATATTTATACGTTCTGCAATTGGGGCCATATAATATAATAATTATGCCATACCGCCCGTTCGGGAACGGCTATTTTATTTTATGGTGTACTTGATCTCAGATGGTCTCCAGTTAATTCAGGGCATCAATATTGAAGATATATTTGTATTTTCCAAAGCTTTATCAGACCTCAGGAAAAAAATTGTCAATGAATCTAAAACTGTACGTGAGTTGTTATAGTTATAAGTTGTGTCAGGTCTATTCAAGACATTATGCCCGGAATCCAACGTCCTGCGTTGTAGACGATGTTGCAATAAAACATGTTCGACCTCTTCTATGGAACTCTGTTTTTTATTAATAAAGATGTTTGAAGAACTCCTAGAAACAAAGGAATAAAAAAAAGCTGTAAGTTTGATATCGATGGTACCCATATTGAAATTGACTCTGACTCTTGGGGTTCTATTTACTCAGAAGATTATATAACACGTGTCACGTACAAGCTAGGAGTCAAAGGTTTTCAACATAAATAGGTTCAGACCCTGTTTAATGGGTGGTAGGCTTGTAGCCGATGCAACTTAAACATATAACATTATTATTCCTGAGCCCACCTCTCTATTTTGTATTGAAACACGTTTAAGACAAATACATCAATTGCGGTTGAAAGCGTTGCTTTTCCTCGCGATATCTAGGGTGAACGGGTTGTTTGGTTTAATGTCGCTTTGAACATTGTTTCACTTAGGGGTAATCCATTTCATTTGTATAGGGGTGGGAATTCTTTTTAGAACAATCTATTTTGTCCCTAGCTACATACGACGAACTATTTATTTTCTGAGTTCCATCAAACAATCTCACCACTGCCAACAAACTAATCATTTTGGGCCTATCTCTATTTCAAAACTATTCATTTAACACACGCACGCACGCACGCACGCACGCGAGCACGCACGCACGCACACACACACACAACACGCACACCTATATATTACGGTGTGTCAGCGTGATTTGGGCATCCAAGAATGACCTTCACACCATCGATCGCCATCCTGTGAGTGAGCGACTCGCTAGGGTTTTACGCCGCTTTTTAAAATATTCCAACTGATTGGCATTTCGAGGCTGATCGAGAATAGTGAAAACAGGACACATTTTTCGGAATTTCACTATCTTGGTTAAAACAGCATGGAGTGTCCACAACAGATACCGCGTGTTATAAAAATAGCTATAATTAACAACGAGGTGAGAGACGTTGCTAAGGGTGCCCCCAGCAACATGAAATGCAGTGGCTTTCTTACTGTACTCTTCTTCATTATCAACCGTAACAGTACATCATCATGATGTTTGTAACAGTTTATTCCTGGAAGGCTCAACGCCAGAGTGATGGGGTGCAGATGTCGTGTACCATCACCGATGGTGTTTCCGTGGTTGTGGTATACCTCTTTCAAATTCAGTGAGTCGGTGTCAGATATATGTAAATCCGTGAAGAGAGACTGATGTAATTACAAACATTAATTTGTTTCAGAATATACTAGGAACACATTTTTGCCTAAGTTTTTACCAAAAAAAACCAATGTCCCCTAGGCGCGCTGGATGTGCTGAAGAGATGTGTTGGGAAAACATGTTTGTCTTGAAGCTGTGACGGAAAGACAGGTCTGTCTCTGACAAATATCCCAGCCACCCAACACCACCCTATCATCCTACTGCAAACTACCATCCAACCACACCCTACCATCTAGCCGTCCAACCATCCAACCTCACTCTACCACCAAAATAGTCACTGACTTTACAAACAAACTTATGGCGCATTCTGATATTGCACATTTAAAAGTTACCATTAATATCACAAATTTTTTTCATTCGGACTTTAATTTGCAGTTTCATCCTTGATTTGATTTATTTTCTTAGAGTTTTCTACTAGCCCAATCGATATTTATCTTCGAGCGAATGAAGTATACAAATATACATAGTGTTTTATACGACATTTCAAATGCCTCCAGCAGAAGCCCGTTAACAAAGGTTAGTTGTATGGAAAGTATTACGTGCCGTTGCCGGTCAACGAGCGCCGCGTTTCAACTTGCTTCCTGTTGATAAGATGTCTCGAACTTCGTCAACATTTGGAAAACAGGCCGGATTACGGTCATCCGTGAGATCTTTGGGAGGTTTGTAGCATCATAAACAGTTGATATATGAATTTTCGTGGAGCATGCATTGTTCATTTCTGCATACCAGAACATTTCATCTCATTCATAAAGACCTTTGATTGTGAACAAGCCCGTGTCGAGACTGGAGCTTTGACAGGTGCTTTTCTCAACCGGATAAACTTGGAATCAGACAGTTTCTAAACCGATTGGTTCTTTTTCACTTGCTGACGTCAGGAGATATATTCTGGTGCCTATGTTCTAACATCTTTACCAACTTCTTATTCACACTTTACCGTCATTTTGTCAACATCTATAGGGTCTAGCATAAACATGTCGAGAATATCTCAACCTCTTGGATCTCAAGGTCCTGCTGTTTATGATTGGAGCCGGAAACTTAGATCAAGGAGTCCATCTCCTTCAAGACTTTCAAATACTGAGTCAAAAGGTATGTTTCCTTTCTTTAGTAGCATATACAAGCTGTAGTTCACAGATATGTCTGGACAATAGTCATCACTGTAGTTAACATTTTCTGCTGTTGTCAAGTTCACCATGTTCTGGTTGCTAAAACTGGCCCAAGGCTAAATGGTAAATAGCTGTAGACTTCTTTTAGTAGCACTTTTACTTCATGTGCACAAGCCCAACTGTTTCACTCAAACATACTCCTATCAATTCAAGCATGTTAAACATCATGGTCTCCTAAAGCACTGTCAATATGACTGTGTGACAGTAACATGAAATATCTTAACATGCTCAATTTTGTAATAGTATACTTCAATTTCCCAGTTCTTGCCATGATAATGATAACATAAGACAAACAATGCACATCTATTTGACAGGATATAGCAATACACAGAGGCTTTGGTAGTTGAAAAATATGAGAATGAACATGATGAAGCTCCAACTTAGCAGAAATATGGCACTGCATACATTTGTATGGTTTAAGCGGGTGCAGGCTAAAACGGCACCCCAGCAAAACGGCACCGATTTCTCTGGCGGAAACGGCACCGCATTTGGCGAAAACGGCTACTATGTGTCAGGCGAAAACGGCACCTCTATTTTTAATGAGGATAAGAACAATTTTTGTAGTAATATATACATGGTTTATTTACATGGTTACAGTTATCACAGCATGTTGTTGTTTTCTGACATTCATGCACCACATCAAAATGCCATTGTGAATAATTGTGATCTGACAGCACCATGTTAGGCCTCTTAAATACAGTTTCAGTTTAAATTGAGTAAAGGTACTTAAAACTTCAAAGCGTATAGTGTTTTCACATTAAGTTAACTGCGCCCCTCAATCAGTCGGCGAGTAAATTGGAGTAGGGGTCTAATTTCTTACTTGTTTTATTTCACAATTTCACAATTATTTGTGTTTGTAAGAGACGACGTGAGTTTAATTTCTATTATTTTTCTTCAAAGCATGTCACATTTTCACAATAAGTTGTGTTGCGTATAAGCTAAGTTGGATTATAGTTGGAGTAGAGGCTAATTTCTAATGTAAACTTGTTTTAGCATCTCACAATTATTGGTGTTTGAAAGTTACCATATAAGTTTAATAGCACTTATTTGACCAAGGTAAAAAAAAAAATAAGGTGCCGTTTTCGCCAGGCAATAGTAGCCGTTTTCGCTTAAGTCGAGGTGCCGTTTTTGCCAATCGGTGCCGTTTTCGCTATAACCCGTTTAAGCTGGAACATCACCAAGATACTAGTAGTCAACTGTCATGCTATTGACAGTTTAGCCCAATGCAGATCCTTCAATTGTTTGTACATACCAGTATTCCAGCTTTATGACGACAGTCTGTAAATAATCAAATTTGGACCCGGCAATCCAGTGATTGATATTATGAGCAATAATCCACATTGTCAGGGAATGATGACACACAATCAACCAAGTCACTGACCCTTAGCATCAGATCCATTATGTCACTCCTTAAAACCAACATAAGTTGCTGATGACCTTTTCTTTGAAGGCTGCAGCATTACGGCTATGGTATCTGCTCACTTTGAAATATAACCCAGAATAACTCAATTCACTGCAAGATAAAGGAGGCATGGGTGGTCCAGTCATCTAAGGAGGCACAATTCACTGTGCAGGGTTCCATCTCTTAGGCGGGCCAGAAATCTATGATCATGGGTTTGAATACTGGAGCCGCTCGATTGCATTTCTTGGTTTGTGGTGATATAATTGCAATAGTGCTGGCATTAAATCAAACAGTCACTATTCCGATATTGGTCTGTGTTCTTGATGTTGTCATTCAGCTTAGGGTGACTTTCAAACAGAGTTCTAAAACTAACCATTTCACTAACCATGTTAACAATGCTTTTCATATTTTTCCCCGCAGTGCTCACAAGATTGGTAACATGGAAATGTCTAATGTTGTTTCACTCATGTACAACTTGTGTTCTTGCGAGAAAATGTAGAATTTTTCCACCATGTCTCCCTGAGGCCAAGTTTTCTTCCTTTTTTTTCATGTGTCAGTAGTGTAGTTCATGTCACATGATAATTATTGTATAATATGTCCAATATTTCAATCATTTGTTTCTTCTTTAACCACTGTTAGGCCCCCTAAAGACGTTTTATGTTTCTGGTCTGATTTTCTGATTCACCAACACTGAAATGACACAGGCTGGAACCAGAAATAATGAGAAACATATCCTTTAGGGGTAGGCGCCTTATCATGTTTAACATGCTTATGTATGAGTATCAGAGAGTTGAATTCAATGAAACAGTAACTGTATCTGTATCATGTGTATATACATTCATCATCATTATCCTATCATCTATGCCTGTACACATTAGCTATGGGTATGTCTGCTAGTGCATATATTATAGTATATAGTATAAACATGTATATACTTTAACATGTTTATCATGTTTATGATCATTTCTTACACATTTATTTTGTTTCCACATGTCATGCATGTCGCTATGGTAACTTAAACATGAAAGAATACAGAACATTTCCAGAAGAAAAATTATTTAATATGTTGACAAATGTACAAACACTCAACATCATTGTGGTAAATAATGTCAAAATACAAAGTTAAAATTTAGGGTTAGATTCTACCGCTAGTTGGTTAGTCCAAGACTAGTAAAAATCTGGAAGAACTAGTTGTTTTCTTTGAAAAATCTGATTATGTTATAAAAAAATAACTAAGCTGTGGACTAGTTGTATATGACTATACAAGCCATAGCAACCAGAGATTTCTAGGAAGGCACGTTTCAGACATAAGATGCATTATGTTTTGTAGGATGCCAACTCTCAAAACTATTGATATCTACTGGTATATAAAAACTCAATAAGCCATGATAAGCTGCTATTTCACCAATTTTAGTTTTGAATATTCCGTACTTACCAACTTTGTTGAACTTTTGATTCAGTTTATCATTTCCTTCCCAAGAAAATGACAAACTGAATGAAGAGTTCAACCACCCTACCATGTGTTTGGTTATGTTGATGGAACTAGTTCTGTGTACATGGTATATGATTGTCAAAATGCACATACTGTTGTTTCAGGTGCTTATTTAACGGATGTACCCTCTCGTGCATCCAGCATGCTCAAGAGAGACAGTTCTGTGAACAACTCTCTTCGGAAGAGCACAGGGAACTTGGCAGCAGGCTTTTCTGGGTTTGTTTCTTAAGTGTTCAATTGTGAAATCAACACACTGTGTTTTCAAGGTAGAGATAGGTTAGCTGTAGATTTTACCCTGCTAAATTGAATTTGGAACCGAACACAGCTCTACATTGAAGACACAGTATGTTTATCACCATTTTACAAAATTAAACGTGAACTCCTTGGTGTTAGATACGATTTTGACTGAAGCAGTATGGATCCAATGTTTAAGTTGGTTGTCTATCTGAAATAAGAAAACATTGATAATAGCCAGAGCCCTGGAGATATAGAGGATGACTCCATTGTAGCAGCAGAATATTTGTGCTTTGCAGAAAGATGGACAAGAGCCACAGTAACCTAACTGGTATTGAAGCTGAGTACATCAAGAATCTCCAGCAACAGATCTACTTCCTGGAACTCGAGGCCAACTATCTATATCCTTGACAATTGTTTATTTGGAATCTTTAACAATATTTTACATGTCAATATTAAATCATGGAGATGGTGGAAGACTAACTGACCTGTGTAACATGGCCTATCATGCAACAGTCAGTTTTCTAATTGTCCTTTGTAACCACTGGGCCTGCAAGGACTAAAACTTAGCATGTAGGACCCACACATGCTGAAGTTTGCTCAAATTATTCCAATACAAATTTCAATGTGGTTGCCATGGCTTTTTTTCTAATAAATCTATCAGATATTCAATCTCATTGAAATCAGATCTTAGTTCACGCTACCGCTAAACAAAGATCTGAGGACATCCCGTTACGGGTCGTGTCAGACCGACCTTGCACAAACTTTGACCGACCAATGGAATGACCAATCAGAAGGCAGCTTTCTCGTGCTTTACGGCACTAATTTCAAAGTGGCGACTACGCTTTGAAACATATTTTGACAAATTCTCGATTACAAATTTGAAACCTGAACAAAAGAACATTCTGGAATGGCTATTAGATGGTCTAGATTGTATGGATTCAGTCGTTAAACCCATAACTATCGTTCGGAGTTGAATGGTTAGAAATCACATTCCGACTCTCACTTTCGTAATCTGGTAAGCGATGCTCCGATTGATCGGATGAAAGGTCGTTCTGACGTGATCCCTAATGGGATATTGTCGCGCCGAAGACCCGGGTTGTGTGAAGCCCATTTCTGGTGTCCCCCGCCGTGATATTGCTGGAATATTGCTAAAAGCGGCGTAAAACCATATTCACTCACTCACCTAATGGGATGTCCTCAGATCTTTGTTTGGCGGTAGCGAGAACTGAGGTCTGATTTTAATCAGATTGATCAGATAATTTAAGCAAAGGAAATGTATCACCACATTAAATCATTTGAAAGAAGATAATTTGAAGACTCTTGAAACACATCCTTGATTATCTAATGTATCATTATCTCCTTTCTATTATGATATACCCTGGACCTTGTAGCCATCATATATAGCTTCATTTTGGAAGTGACACCACTAGCTCCATCTCTGTCACTAATAGATTCTTCTTACTCAAGAGCTTGAAATCAACTTCCAAAGAAAATGCTTCTTCTGGATGCTAGTTCTAATTTTAGCTTCGTGTCATTCGAACCAGAATCAAAACAAGCCATAGAGGCAAATGGATCCAGGGTATGTATCATAATAGAATGGAGGTATGATACTCTGGATAATTGAAGCTTGAACAAATGCAAGTTTGATCTTGAATTAAATTAGTTAACAGCGAAAGAACTGAATGTCTTTGTATATTTGGGAAGGCTTGTATGATTGAATATGGACACAGAGCCCCTGACAACACAGACATGAATCATAGAATGCGTGACTGAAGACCTGTCCGTCAGTTGTCAGCAAGTATTCCTGTTGCTTATTGTCATTATTAAGCCATGGCCATTCATACTGTGCTTGCACTTTACTGATCATGCTAGGATGTGGCAGGTAATTTACTCTTTAACATGATAACGGGCAACTGAGAGGTGTTTTTAGCACTTACATTTTATATACAAGTGTGATCATCTTCAATACTTCACAGGTTTTTGTACTGACCAAAATTTGTCAGTGGTCCAAAGGACCAGGACATAGAAAAATTTACTGGTCCTGTTGGATCTCTTCAAGACGAAAAAGGTTTAAGATCGTAGATACTTTATCATGTTCATACAACAAGTGGCTTGATTCGTTGGTTGAATATAGAGACTACACAGCAAGACTGTCATGTGCAGTCATGGGTGATGGAGGAATGTAGTGTATAGGTACCATGAAGTGTTGATGAGATGATGATGTTCAGTGCATTTTCCTTGACTCCTGAGTACAAGAAACCAGGCGAAGAAGGCAACAGACATGCATCCTAAAATGACTGCTGAAGCTGAACAAATGCTCACCAAACTGAGGGTATGTTTTCAATATTGTGATGCTCCCCTATTTCACTGAAGTTAGATGCTCAATAAGTTGTCCAGGAGACAGTTGTCTGAAATTAGTTGCCAAAATATTTTCATATGAAACTAAAAACATTTCAACAGGCAGAATCTGACGGAACAAAATAGTAGCCATGTTGTGAATGGTGAATGGGACACTGTCTAGATATATTATCATGATTTTTTTATCTTACTCTAGAATGATTTTAGATACAGACAACTCCTGAAAGTAGACTCTGCTTATCTAGAATAAAATCGTTGGGACTTGGTTAAGTTCTTCTTATCTTAGTTTATCATTATTTGATATCCAGTAATTGAAATCATTTAAGTAAAACTTGTGAATACCAATACAATCTATCCCAGTCACCCAAGTGACTCAATTATTGGTTTGATCAGTGAAGTATAACTTGGACTGGGAATTTTATATGCTTTTTGTTTCCTCTTGTTTTTACATCTATGCATTCATATGATATGTTGGACAAACACATTCAATTGGCTCAGCCCCTTCACCTGTCACTTGTGTCACTTTACCAATGCTCATCGTATGTGTTGTAGCAAATGCAGTCAGACATGGATGGTATGCACTCGCAGATGAGGCAGAAAGAGTCGGGGATGGCCATGGCTTATGCTGAGAGGGAGAAATTTGAAGAACAACACATGGCTGATAGAGGTAAATGCTTCAGTTTTTGGTCAAGTGATTTACATGAAATGCTCTCAAACTTAGACCGGTTGAACCAGTGGTAGATAGTGTGAGCATCAATCAGTGTTGTGTGTATGATAAAACAGAGCTGGTCTTCCCTAGTGGTCACTGACACCTGGTGTCCATACTCAGCCTTCAGTATGGCCACATAATCACTGACTTACCATTGACTATTACTGACATCTCTTTCAGAGGCTTTGGCCTCACACCTTCTCAAAACGACTCATCGCATCTTGTTGACAAAGTGTGTCCGTCTTCCTTTTCAGACACATGGCAGCGAGAAAAGCGATTGCTGACAGATGAGATTATCACCTTCAAGAAGGAGAAGGATCGATGCCAGAGAGAGGTGTCTCGGAAGGACACACAGCTTCTGGAGGCGAGGTCGGAAATAGATAAAAGTGCTTCTGCCATAAAGAATGCAGAGCTTCAGATCACCACTCTGAGGAGCCAGGTTGGTAATTGGGCACATATCATCTGGAATCAAAACTCTTCATCACCACCACCCCCCACTTTACTTCTCCCCACCCACATGTGAGTGCTGTAGCAGTAGTGAGTCCTCTGCTTTTATACTATTGTTGTGTGTGCTGTTACTAAGTGTAGTGTGTCCTTCCTACATGTGAGTGCTGTACCAGAAGTGTAGTCTGTAGCGTGTGCTGTACTGATGGCTATGTGTCCTCCCCAATGCAGCTGGATCAGCGAATAGAGCAGCACAAGCTGACACAGCTCAACCTGGAGGAGAAGAGATCTGAGCTGCTGACGGTAGAGACACAGCTCAGGGAGCTGGAAGAGAAGTACTACAGCAGCACAGTCACAATACAGGACAAGGTCACACAGGACCTCAGGGTAGGTCACAATACAGGACAAGGTCACACAGGACCTCAGGGTAGGTCACAATACAGGACAAGGTCACACAGGACCTCAGGGTAGGTCACAATACAGGACTAGGTCACACAGGACCTCAGGGTAGGTCACAATACAGGACTAGGTCACACAGGACCTCAGGGTAGGTCACAATACAAGACAAGGTCACACAGGACCTCAGGGTAGGTCACAATAAAGGACAAGGTCACACAGGACCTCAGGGTAGGTCACAATACAGGACTAGGTCACACTGGACCTCAGGGTAGGTCACAATACAGGACTAGGTCGCACAGGACCTCAGGGTAGGTCAATACAGGACGAGGTCACACTGGACCTCAGGGTAGGTCACAATACAGGACAAGGTCACACTGGACCTCAGGGTAGGTCACAATACAGGACTAGGTCGCACAGGACCTCAGGGTAGGTCACAATACAGGACTAGGTCACACTGGACCTCAGGGTAGGTCACAATACAGGACAAGGTCACACAGGACCTCAGGGTAGGTCACAGTCCCTACACAGGACGGGTATTTGTGACAAACAGGGTTTTTACAGACACAAAATATTGCATCTAACATTAAAAATGAGAATTCCCAAGGAATGCAAAAATATGTACCTGTCTGAGTGCTTGTGTAATTGTACCCAAGTATGCATGCACGTACATTTAACTCTCCATGATTATCTTGTCACTCAGTCACGAAGTCTTGTTTCAAACCCAGGTGATCCCATCACTTGTTATCACAAGGCTTCACGGACACTGGGTGTTTTGTTTGATGTTGGTACAGTGATCACACAGGGGATACCTATTTTCATGTCTCGGATTCCCCAAAAGCATGACCAAGAGTCCCAAGGACTCGCAAACAGAAAGGTGGAAGGCATACTTATCTGTCCCATTTCTGGTTTTAGTGGCACCACAGTGCTTATGACATATCATTATGGCATGTCATGAATGTTCTTGGAGTCATGCAGAGAATTAATCCTTCCAGGAAGAGATCCGCTACCTGAGACAGAAGCTGAAGGAGACAGAGCTGGCGGCACAGAAAGATCGCTACCTGAGAGATAAGGTGTCAGAGGACAGCTCCCATCTGGTGAAGGAGAACGCCATGCTCAATCAGCAGAACTCCGAGATACACAAACAGATTGAAAGGGTAAGACTGTTGTCTGGTGTCTCATTACACTGTCTTCAACATATGGTTATTATATATGATAATGTAACAGGAATCAATGTTGTGATTCTCTTTACTTATTCCAATTACTTTAAGCAGACCCATGAAGATTCCAGTGAAGAATAGGTCTTCAGCAACCCATGCTTGCCGTAAAAGGTGATTATGTTTGTCGTAAAAGGCGACTAACGGGTTCAGGTGGTCAGGCTCGCTGACTTGGTTGATGCATGTCATCAATCCCAATTGCGTGGATTGATGCTCATGATATTAATCACTGGATTGTCTGGTCCTGACTCGATTATTTATAGACCGCCGTCATATAGCTGGAATATTGCTGAGTGTGGCGTTAAACAACAAACCAACCAACTAACCAACCAACCAATTTAAGCAAATCAAAGCATATTTACCATGTTAAATATGTTAAATATTCTACAGATGGAAGTACTTCCCTGGGCAATGCAAGATAGATAGGTTGGGAGTTTGACAGAAGTTTGTAACAAGCTGTCATCCTCTTCAACCATGTCAACTGTGCTTATGTTCTCAAGTATGCTGTGAGAGGCAGTCGGGTAGCCTAGTGCTTTAAGCGTTCGCCCTTCACGGCAAAGACCCAGGTTCGATTCCTGACATGGGTACATGTGCTTGGATGTATACAGGTCACACACTATTGTCAGAGCTGCAGTAGGGAACAGAAGTGCTTGGATGTATACAGGTCAAACACTATTGTCAGAGCTGCAGTTGGGAACAGAAGTGCTTGGATGTATACAGGTCACACACTATTGTCAGAGCTGCAGTAGGGAACAGAAGTGCTTGGATGTTTACAGGTCACACACTATTGTATTTGAAGACAATGACATCGACACCAGATGTCACAGAGGTCATGTTGGGCAAAAGAGTTACTAAAGTAGCTGTTAGATTGTCATTCATTTCCCATTAGGACTTTGTTAGTGAGACATTGTTCATCATGTAATGCAGGATAAGCATATAAATAGCCATAATGTGTTGTTTATTTGATGAGTTATGCTGGTGATGTTGAGTATCCATGTTATCTGTGGTAGGAACGTGGCTTGAGGGAAAGCAATGACCAACGCCATCATGAGAATATTGCGGAACTTGTGAATAGTCGCGACAAGGAGAAACAACAACAGTTTGAAATTGAACAGCTACGGGAACAACTGCGACGAGAGTCTGAAAAGGGTCAGCATTACTTGGAAGAGGTAAGACATAGTACAATCTCATCAAAATATTTTACTCCAATACGGCATCTCCCTGCATGAAGATTTGACTGAACACTCCATTGTCCGTAGGAGGTTGCATCAGGTGAAATTTCTGATCAGCCAATAAGCACCAAGGCTTCTAAATTCTTGGTGTGAGTGAAGTAAGCATTCAGCATGTTCAGAGCAGTATATGATAACATCTCTCTCTTGAAAACGATAATAAATGGACAGCTCCAAATGGAAGTAATAAAAGCTGTGATATTCTGTTGTATAATTGCAATTTTATAATCCCTATTGTTTCTGAGCACCATGGTATCTAAAAGTTAGGAACGTATGTGTTCTGTGTCTGTATTTGTTTGTTAACATCTAAATTTGTGAATCAAGGTGTAAAAAAAAATGACTGCCTGATCTGACCAAATACTTAAGGCGGAAGGACCAAAATTCAATACATAATCTTGGAAATGACTCCCATACTTTAACATAGGCTTACAATAGTCGTCGCTTTGTGCAAGTGGGCCTTGGTGCCTTGGTTGATTGCATGGCATTGTATCCCAATTGTGTAGATCTATGCTCATGATGTCAGTCACTGGTTTATCTGGTGCAGGATGAAACGACGAACAAATCTTATAAGATTGCATTTTAAGATTGCTAATGAAATGAAATGCTACAATGAAACTCCTGATGGACGATGTAGCATGTTCCTTATTGTGTTCTTGAGATTATACGACCGATTTCAGTTATGACTTCAGGAAAATGTATGTAGGCCTCTTGACTTTTTTCTAAACGAAGAAAAAGTGCTGCTGTTTTACAGATGTGAAGTTATTATTTCTGATATGCTTCTGATCTTTTGTAACAGCTCACAAAGAAAGAAACAATACACAGCAGCACCGAGCATCAGCTGAGCTCTGTCCACAGCCGTGTAGGAGAGCTGGAAGGCATGCAAGTGGCTACTGATGCAGAGAACACCCAGCTGAGACGAGACAAGTTGCTCCTTGTGGACCATGTGGCGGACCTTCAGACCAAGGTAATGCTGTAGTTGACACAAGATCCTACCTGCAGGCAATCATGCAAACAGAGAGGGCCATGATTTATTGCTTTTTGTTTGTTTGTTGTTTAACGCCGCACTCAGCAATATTCCAGCTATATGATGGCGGTCTGTAAATAATCGAGTCTGGGCCAGACATTCCAGTGATTAATATCATGAGCATCGATCCACGAAATTGGGATTGATGACATGCATCAACCAAGTCAGCGAGCCTGACCCCCAGATCCCATTAGTCGCCTCTTACGACAAGCATAGTCGCCTTTTACGGCAAGCATGGGTTGCTTAAGACCTATTCTAACCATGATTTATTGAGCTGATAGTATTATAGAATGTTTTGGGATTGGACTACACTCCATTTCTGTCACCACTGTCTTTCGTTATCATTATGCTATTATGTGGATGTGATATTTCATTTCCTTTTCGATTAATGCTGCACTAAGAAATATTCCAGCTATAGAGCGGTGGTAAATAATCAAGTGATTGACATCATGAGCATCGATCCACACAGTAAACTGCAATCAAGTCACCAAGGCTAGCCCCACAATTCATTTAGTTCTCTCTTACAAGCATAGGCAGATTGGAGCCAATTCTCACCCAAAATCCCCACTGGTTAAAATGGTGATGGTTCAGCACCCCAATTGGGTCTATGTCTACACCTCTCTCACTGAGATCAGGCAGGCTTATAACAAGCAGTCATATAGCTGGAATATTGCTGAGTGAGGCGCTAAACAACAAACAAACAAAGCATGTAACAACAAAGGGAATCACTGGGGACTAATAGGGATTCCAGGACAAAAGTGGTCCCCAGTACCTTGTGCTTGTTGTAAGAGGAAACTGAAATGGAGGTCGGGTCATAAGGCTCTTTGATTTTGCTGATTGTGTGGACAGATGGGCAGTCATGACCTGTCTTCAGGGCAAGGGAGATAATCAACATCAAGTCGTTCCTGTAGCGATGGCAGATCCTCGGAACTAAGTACTTGAAATTGTAAGGTGGTTAAAATGAGGTTACAATGTGTGACCTGGCTGATTGTATATCATTGCACCCAGACAGCATGGATTGTTTCTCATGTTATCAACCACTGGTTTCGGGTAGGATTATTTGCCATGTTAACAGGCAGCTATGATATAGCTGTAATGATACTATGGCTTAAGCAGTATTCACTCATTTACCTCCCACCATCTGTTACAGCTGGAGACGAAGGACCGGGAGGTGTTGCAGCTGCAGCACGAACTCGTATCAGTGGAAGCGCGTCTCAACGAGTTTGAAAACGAGAATGACCTCGAGCATACTGTACAGAGTCAGAAGTGGGAGGAGTTTGGGCGGCTAGCCGAGAGTATGCGAACACTGTCTCACTCCATGGCGGCACAGTCCGTCACCCCTCACTCCAGTACCAAGATACTCCGATACTGAAGCTCAGCACACATCGACACAGAGCACAATATTACTCTGCCATCTATTAAAGTATAGTCTGTATGAAGAGTTTTCGCAATGTTATGCATCTTGACAGTATAAATGAGGCATTATTTTTATTTATGAATGAAGGAATGAAATAGGATATTTTTCTATAAAGTGAACATACATTTGTTGATTGGCAAGTATTTCTGGATCATGTTCATATGCCTTCTTGAGTGTATGATCTAATTATTGTGGATTTCTTGTTATGTGTATATGGTCAACTGTCATTGTTAAGGCGACTTAAGGATATCCGCTGGTATGTTAATCTGTTCAGTAAGTCCTAATGCCCTGAAGACTAGTTCTGTTAGGACATACTTAAAGTCAATAAATTGCCAATATATTCTAGCCAAAGTTCTAGACTGAATGTCAAATTGTAAAAAATAGAGCATTTCATTTCGTAATTCAAAAAGTATATCAACTGCTATTGATGACTTTCAATTTGAATTTTTACTCTTGTAAGTAGCCTTTCCCAGTGCCATAGAATATATCATATACCGGTACCACTAATTTAACACTTATCCTTAAACTACAAGTTGACTAAGCATCCATAAAATGTCTATGGTAAAAACATGAATACATAGTAACTGACCAGTGGACATCATTGAGATAAATCCATATTTTATAAATCAATCAGATTTTTACTTGGAGTAAACTGTTCGTCTTTTTACTTCAAAATGTTGTAATGACTCTTTTACTTGTTAATGGAAATGTTGAATTATTAGAATATTTTCATACATTCCAAATATGAAAATGTGTAAGAAAATGAAATAGTTTTTCAGTGAAACCCTGTTATTTGAGACAATATTATCCAGATCAAGAAATTAATGAAGGAATCGTGGGTACTGAGTTATCTCCCTTTAATTATGAACAGCCCAGAATCCTGGTTGATCTTGATCAGACGTGTTTCCAGACGCTTTTAACATAGCTCAAGTGTCTCAGTTAAAGAAGTTTAACTGCATATTTAACAACATTGCTGTGTTCAAATTTTATTGTGATTGAAAAAGGGTCTGGATGAAGGAAAATCAAATATAAGAAACATTTATGTTTTTGTTATTGTGCACTACATGTTCTTTACCAAAGATATATCCACTTGATGTCAGAAAAGTAGGCAATCATCAGTGCCTGCAACTAACTTGCTATCTTGCATGCTCTATTGCTTGGCAACATCCAAGCTGTTCACTAGGGGTAATTGGCCAGCTTGTTAGTAAACAAAAACTGGTAACACGTCTTCTCAAAATGTTTTCTTATTCAAACTGCAAATCCTTATTTGATACCTTTTCATAAAATAGTAAACATATTTGGTATGTGATTATGAGAAGTGTAAGTTTTAAGAATATTATTTATTTTTAACCAGTGTTTAGCAGTGTGACTAGATCCTACAGAGCACATTGGCTGAGAGGGACCACAGCTTACCACTGACTTGATCTGTTGTAGTTACTTTCTTTGTTATTTTAATCAGATTTTCCGTCTTCTGTTGTTTGTATTCAGTTTCCGTCCATTATTTTATTTATTTATTCCAATATCTGTGATTATACATGATATTACTTATGCCAGATTCAATCTGAATATTACTCAAATATGTATAGGATTTAGTTTGTAATCAATTGCCATGACCTTACAAGTCAATATACTGCCCTGAACTTGCTAGTTACTTCATGCTAGTTACTTAGAGCATGATAGATTCACTAGTCCATGGATAATAGTCTCATGTATTAGACTATTAGAATTAATATGACATTAGTGCAGTATGCATAGTATTAAGATGTGGATTTCAATTTACAAGCTAATACTGACTTAAGATATTTGATATAATGAATAAAATCATCACAAAAAATCCAGGACTTTATTTCATTATGACATCAACAAGAATGTCAAGGTAGCCTTCAAAATGAGCATATAGTCAAGTCTCGTTAATCCGACACTCGTTAATCCAACAATCGACTTTATCTGACACAAATGATGGGAACTTTGACCGACCAATGAAATTACTAACAGGAAGTTGACATTAGCCACTAAGAAAGCAGCTTTCTTAATCATTGCGGCACTAGTTTCAAATTAGCGACTTCCATTCCAGACTATGATTCAAAATTGACTGATTTTGAATCAGTCATACAGTCCCTAACAGTGGTTTTGTGTTAAACTTTAGTGGTTGTATGATTAGAAAACATATTCCGCTGACAATGTAAAACAACAATATGAATATTTCATTTTTTCATTTTCCTACGTGTTCATATCGTTATCTATCATGTAGTTGTTCAATTTTCGATCACAAACGTTTATACTACCTAATTTCGTTTATCCAACATACTCGTTAATCCGACATAATCATATGCAACCAACAATGTCGAAAACGGGGCTTGACTCTGCATTGTTGCTACCACCATGACTTCAAAGGTCTTATGATCATGTTTGTATAATCAGTTGTAACCATGTCTTGAATCAAGCTCACTTTTGTCAAGTATGTAAGAATGTTTCCATGCACTGCATATCTAACACTAAAGGTAGTCATCATGCAGCCATTGAATGAAGACTTTGCATAACATAAGCACAGGGTACTGTACAATATTTATTGATTATTTGTTTGTTTGGAGACAGATACATATAATCAAGATGTAATTCTGACTTGTTCAGAATGAGAATCCATGGTACAGGTCACATGGTACTGTCGTTCTTCCAGTCTTTTAGTTTGACTCGATGACTATCTTTAAGAAATCAAAATTTCAAATTCAAATCAGATTCTATTTATATCAAAAGTACATTTCATAAATGCAAAAGATACACTCTTACCACATCAAATAATATCAATCAGAGATACACTGATTACTTCTCATGCCTATCAATGTATGTCAAGTGAATCATTCTCTGCTTACAAACTACTGAGATACATCGGCATAGTACTGATCTTCATGCCACAAGTGTAGCAACAGAAAATATCCTCCTAGTATTGACAATCACTATGGCTTTTCCATGGTGTGCGTCCATGTTGGTTTTCGCTTTTCAATGAAAGCTTTGATGCCCTCGATACCATCGTTCAGTGACAGATTATCAGTCATCACTCCTCCAGCGATTCTGCAAGGGGAAAAGTTTCAGAATCATTTTAAAATACATTCAAACAAGGTGTTACATGTATCTAGATCATTTCTGAAAATCAAACATCTATGAGAAGGAATGTTACATCTTTGGCAACCAGGAACGGATCGAAGTACACATAAAGATGTAAGACTAAGTCTTGGTTCTCAGACACCAACTGCATCATCACAAGTCCGCCGCACGATTCGTTTTTATTTCCTTTATTATTTTTCTTGAACACACTAACCTGGCAGTGAAATGCTACAATACTTAAGAACATCATGATTTTGCCAGAATTATTGTAAACAAAATTTGGTTACATGCTAGCTTGAACCCAAAATAAATAAACACAACACTGCCCGCCTGCACTATATCTTCAAAAGCCATTGCCTGAGAACCAATTCATTAATTTTTTTAAGCTAATCATTGACTATTCCTTTACTCTTTCTTAAGAGTGGCCTTATCTGCTTGGACTCATGTGGCAGGTTCCAACCTACATAGTATTTGTTTGATTTGTTGTTGAACACTGTGCTCACGATTATTCCAGTAATATGACAGCAGTCTGTAATAATCGAGTCTGAACGAGACATTCCAGTGATTGTTTGTTTGTTTGTTTGTTGTTTAACGCCGCACTTAGCAATAGTCCAGCTATATGACGGTGGTCTGTAATTAATCAAGTCTGGACCAGACAATCCAGTGTTTGACATCATGAGCATCGATCCACGCAATTGGGATATGATGACATGCATCAACCAAGTCACCAAGCCTGACCACCCAATCCAGTTCTAACCTAGTTCTCTGCGACATTCATGCTTGTTACTGTAATTAACAAATAGTAGCAAGTGTTAAAGCTTTGGACATAGCTATATGGAATGATGAAGGTCTAGGAAAAGAACATTATCTTTCGAAAATTTTAGCGTAAATTAGGTTCTACTAACTTGTAAGCTTTGCTTCTCTCCAGATTCATCTGAGCATAGAAGGTAGCTTTCCCTAGGGCCGTCACACTTCTACTTGTCTCACAGATCCTGTTGGCAATCTTCATTGTCTGGGGAAAAGGCACACACAGTGGGATATCATTTCTACATCCTCAGCAGTGTTCACTCGTTATGATATGGCTGAAATACTGCCGATGTGACGTTAAATATTAACTCACTCACTGAGCAGTATTCAAAGTAGCTGCCTGCCTGGATTCCACTAGCCAGGTATTTTCAGGTGGAAATGTGATAATTAAAGTCAAGAATCCTGTCTGTATATTTCCAACTCATTAGACACCATCATGACAATGTTTGTGAAGTGCTGTGCAACGAAATTTAGACTTTCACAAATGCCATTGTATACAATCATTGATATTTTATTGTGCCACAAACAGCAATATTGCAGCTAAACCACAGCAACCTGCAGATACATGTGTGAATATAACAGTGTGGACCAGATAAATCGTTAGTTGACAACATGTACATCCATCCATGTTTTCAGTGCCTCTCACTGTTGGTGAGAGATCTTTGCTGCAGGATTGTAGCCTGGTATGTGTTCACAAGAGACTGGAGGATGGGTGACTCAGTCATCTATAACACATCTAATTTGTACAATGTCCCTGTTTATAATTCCTCGTCAGCACAATATCTGTACCAATGTGGTATATGTCTGCTATGTCTATATGTGACTGCTGCAGATTATTTCACACATATCCTCCAAGACTTAAGCTTGCACAGGGGCCAGCAGTCTTATCACCACAAGTCCCTTGTCAGAGTTTCTAGGATCATCTCATGGATTTGAAACTCAGTTTTCCCCGAACATGAGACTTGTCAACAGCACAACTGTGACCTTGACCAAATTCATCAATATCAACACCCTGGGCCACTTCCTCAGCCCACCTACACTCAGTGATGTGACTTACCTATGTTCCTAGCACTGTTAGACTTGACTCATTCCTACAACCTGTGCCACTTCCAGCTTCCCTCCTCAGCCTAGCTACACTCAGTGATGTGACTTACCTATGTTCCTAGCACTGTTAGACTTGACTCATTCCTACAACCTGTGCCACTTCCAGCTTCCCTCCTCAGCCTACCTACACTCAGTGATGTGACTTACCTATGTTCCTAGCACTGTTAGACTTGACTCATTCCTACAACCTGTGCCACTTCCAGCTTCCCTCCTCAGCCTACCTACACTCAGTGATGTGACTTACCTATGTTCCTAGCACTGTTAGACTTGACTCATTCCTACAACCTGTGCCACTTCCAGCTTCCCTCCTCAGCCTAGCTACACTCAGTGATGTGACTTACCTATGTTCCTAGCAGTGTTAGACTTGACTCATTCCTACAACCTGTGCCACATCCAGCTTCCCTCCTCAGCCTAGCTACACTCAGTGATGTGACTTACCTATGTTCCTAGCACTGTTAGACTTGACTCATTCCTACAACCTGTGCCACTTCCAGCTTCCCTCCTCAGCCTAGCTACACTCAGTGATGTGACTTACCTATGTTCCTAGCACTGTTAGACTTGACTCATTCCTACAACCTGTGCCACATCCAGCTTCCCTCCTCAGCCTACCTACACTCAGTGATGTGACTTACCTATGTTCCTAGCACTGTTAGACTTGACTCATTCCTACAACCTGTGCCACATCCAGCTTCCCTCCTCAGCCTACCTACACTCAGTGATGTGACTTACCTATGTTCCTAGCATTGTTAGACTTGACTCATTCCTACAACCTGTGCCACTTCCAGCTTCCCTCCTCAGCCTACCTACACTCAGTGATGTGACTTACCTATGTTCCTAGCAGTGTTAGAATTGACTCATTCCTACAACCTGTGCCACATCCAGCTTCCCTCCTCAGCCTACCTACACTCAGTGATGTGACTTACCTATGTTCCTAGCAGTGTTAGACTTGACTCATTCCTACAACCTGTGCCACATCCAGCTTCCCTCCTCAGCCTACCTACACTCAGTGATGTGACTTACCTATGTTCCTAGCAGTGTTAGAATTGACTCATTCCTACAACCTGTGCCACATCCAGCGTCCCTCCTCAGCCTACCTACACTCAGTGATGTGACTTACCTATGTTTCTATCACTGTTAGAATTGACTCATTCCTACAACCTGTACCGTAAGCTATTCATCCTTACCTCTTCATGAAGCTTGTCCTCTTGCACCACTCTGCTCACAAGGCCATGCAACAGCGCATCTGGAAATCAAACAAGGAAACAACGTTATCTCTATCCCCCGCCACAGGGCACATCAGAATCTTATTTGTTCATATAGTAAAAATTTACAGCACCAATTCTTTAGCTCAGTCTTGACAAGTATCTCTCACAAAGCTTGCAAACTTTCATGTAGGAAACCTGTCTCCATTGAAGATAGGATGCACAGAATCTAAAAATATGTAACAAGGAACTTAATTCAGAAAGAAATAATTTATGGCACTACATTTCTTGTTAAGTATCGCTTAGAAAAGCTTGCAAAGTTCCATTTATGTAACTTCAGATGTTTCTGAGAAAACTTGTCCCCCTTTCATGCATCATGCAAAAAGATGAAAAGCATGAAGTAAGGGCCTAAACTCCGTAATGAATAAATTTCAGACTCCAATTTTCAAACTCATACGAGATCATGACCAGTAACATTGGTGTAGAAAATTTAATTTCTCAGCTTAAATTGTTTCGGCGAAAATTTGTCCCATTGAGAAGTGGACATATGGACGGATGGATGGAAGGACAGATAGACGAACAAACTCTGTTGCTATATCCTCCGGCCCACTTCGTGGTGGGGAAAATAGCATCTGTTACACCAGGGAGTAGCTTCAGTCTGACAGATGTAAAGTCAGGCAGAGTAAAATGTTTCTTTGTAACCTCCTATCTTCAAGCCTGAGTGGTCTTAGGTAGGTCAGCTCCATACCCGTGGGTTACATCAAAGTGATAAACGTGTACGGCCTGCATCACTTTAGGCAAGTCCTACATATCTCTACAGCTTTGAAAGTATTAAGATATTGTGATATCTCTATATTAATGCGAAAAAAAAACATCTGGCATCAGTATGGCAAGCCGTTTTCACATTTATTACGGAATTACAGATATCTTCAATTGTTATAAAGATATCGGTATTTTATTTAAAGATATCAATAATGTTTTTAAGATATCAAAATATAATTAAAGATATCTTAAATTCACTTCTGATATCCATAATACAATTACTGATATCTTATACTGATATATGTTACAGTGATATCAACAAATTAGTTTGTGATATCTCTAAATGTGTTTAAGATATCATTAAACAATTACCATCCTACTGTAATTAAATATATTAGAAATAAATTCAAGATATCTTAAATTCAATTCAAGATATCTTGAAATAAGTCATACATATCAACAAATGCATTAGAGATATCTTTAATTCAATTAGAGATATCTTTAATTCAATTAGAGATATCATTAATGCTGACCGTTACTGATATCAAAAATCCAATTAAAGATATCATTAATAATTTTGATGATATCTTTATATCAATCATTGATATTAGTTATCTAATTTAAGTAACATTATTAATGTAACATCTTTAATAATGGCAACAATTGGCGATATCAAATTGAAGGCTGTTTAATTATTGATATTTGTATTTAGTTTCAAGATATCAGGAATTGAATTACTGACATCACAACAAAAGATGACATTTTGATATCTTTAAATCATATTTTGATATCAATAATAGAATTTAAGATATCAGCAATTCTTTTCAAGATATCAGTAATACGCTTCACCATATCCTTAATTCATTTCGTGATATCTTAAATTGTATTGCAGATATCTACAATTATCTGTATTTAAGATATCTTCAATTCCATTCAAGATATCTTTAAAACAATTGAAGATATCTGTAATTCCGTAATAAATGCCATACATCAGTTTCACATCAAGCATCAATGTCACATCTACCATCCTTTCACCTTGAGCAGAGATAGGCTCCCCTGTGAACAACATTTCCAGCGCAACCTTACGAGGAACAGATCGGCCAATAGCAACAGCAGGCGTGGAACAGAATAGGCCAACGTTGACACTGTCAGACAGAGAGAAGCACCACGTATATTTCTTGTTTAGCATAGTCTGAGTCTGGACCAGATAAACCAGTGATTGCACATTGATCCATGCTGTTGGGGTACAAAAACAAGCAAACAACCAAGACACTGAGTCTGACCACTGCTGTTAGACCCACCTTATGACAAGTCTCACATTACCTCAACAAGCAAACAACCAAGACACTGAGTCTGACCACTACTGTTAGACCCACCTTATGACAAGTCTCACATTACCTCAACAAGCAAACAACCAAGACACTGAGTCTGACCACTACTGTTAGACCCACCTTATGACAAGTCTCACATTACCTCAACAAGCAATCAACCAAGACACTGAGTCTGACCACTACTGTTAGACCCACCTTATGACAAGTCTCACATTACCTCAACAAGCAATCAACCAAGACACTGAGTCTGACCACTACTGTTAGACCCACCTTATGACAAGTCTCACATTACCTCAACAAGCAAACAACCAAGACACTGAGTCTGACCACTACTGTTAGACCCACCTTATGACAAGTCTCACATTACCTCAACAAGCAATCAACCAAGACACTGAGTCTGACCACTACTGTTAGACCCACCTTATGACAAGTCTCACATTACCTCAACAAGCAAACAACCAAGACACTGAGTCTGACCACTACTGTTAGACCCACCTTATGACAAGTCTCACATTACCTCAACAAGCATCAACCAAGACACTGAGTCTGACCACTACTGTTAGACCCACCTTATGACAAGTCTCACATTACCTCAACAAGCATCAACCAAGACACTGAGTCTGACCACTGCTGTTAGACCCACCTTATGACAAGTCTCACATTACCTCAACAAGCATCAACCAAGACACTGAGTCTGACCACTGCTGTTAGACCCACCTTATGACAAGTCTCACATTACCTCAACAAGCAAACAACCAAGACACTGAGTCTGACCACTACTGTTAGACCCACCTTATGACAAGTCTCACATTACCTCAACAAGCAAACAACCAAGACACTGAGTCTGACCACTACTGTTAGACCCACCTTATTACAAGTCTCACATTACCTCAACAAGCAATCAACCAAGACACTGAGTCTGACCACTACTGTTAGACCCACCTTATGACAAGTCTCACATTACCTCAACAAGCAAACAACCAAGACACTGAGTCTGACCACTACTGTTAGACCCACCTTATGACAAGTCTCACATTACCTCAACAAGCAAACAACCAAGACACTGAGTCTGACCACTACTGTTAGACCCACCTTATGACAAGCAAACAAAGAGACATGCAACAAAAAGTAATTATTTGACACAGTGTTCCAAATGTATCAAGTATTGCAACCAGTGACTTGGAAAAAAAGTGCCTCTGATTAGTTATAAGATTTGTTTTGTTAATGAGGACAGCTTACGGTGCAACATAAAGTTATAAATGTGTCCTGAATGGATTCCCATGTCCCTTAAAGTGCAATGCAATCATACATTTAGTTCAGTGGCTCAACCCTATCCTCCAGACAAGGCCTAGTATTGAGTACTACACTAATGGGATTAGATAGTGTTGTGAAAACACAACAATGTACTGTTGACAAGTAAGTAATATCAAGGAAATTAGTGAGCAATTGTTTATTTTTATTTCTTTATACATACAAAATTGTAAAAAATTAGTATGAAAAGTCTAAAATTTTCTATGGCTCTGTATAAATTGATAGAGAAACATTTCATCTTACAAATAATGCAAAAGTTTCTATTTTCGCTCACTCTCACTCACTCATTCAATGATGGTGTCATTGACCAACTTAGTATAAAAGGTATGACCACTCATCACAACACAAACAAATCTATGGCTGAAGTCGCTCACATACCCTGGTGTGGCAAATCTGGAGGTGTCGGTGGCCACAGCTATATCACAGGTGGCAACCAGCTGACAACCCGCTGCCGTGGCCAGCCCTGGGGGGACACAAACACATGGCACAAGTGAGGATCAGTGGAACAAACAGACCATATATATGAATAAGCAAATTATTTAGGCATCACTTGTAGAAACCCATTACTCAACCCGCTGTAGGTTAAGAGATAAGTACAAAGTGTCCGCTTGGGAACTGTTTTACCAGAGCCCTCGCAAAATGTTTTCAGATTTACGTATAAAATAATCTGACCATGCATACACTGAAGTTAACTGAAGTTTTATCTTTATTCAAACATATAAACGTCGCAAAGTCAGAAAAAAAAGCAAACATTAGTGACTTGTAGTGTAATTATGGAGTTATAGTGAATGATTGTCATTAAACACTATATCACGTGACTAACCACAGGTCTGTGTTGACCTGTGGGTACCTGGGTCCTACTCAGTACCCACCCGACATGAGTACCCAAATTATCTGCCACAGCCCTAGTAGAAACAGCCGTCAAGTAAAGTTGTAAGGTTACAAATACAGATGTACCTTGCCTTTAGGTTTCAATATTAGAGAATATGTGTCTCTCATTGAGGCCAAATATTGATCTCAAAATAGAGGTGTTTTTAAGGCAATTCAAAGATATCAAAGCTATAACACCACTTCACATAGCACAAGCATGAAACCTGAAATAACAGAGTATTAAAACAGACAACTAACTCACCATTCACCTTGGCTATAACAGGAACAGGAAGTTCCTGCAAAAAAATAATTATGATTAACACAACATGGTCAACAATATCAAGGAGTGAGTGAGTTTGTCCTAAAGCTGCTCTGAACAGTATCAGCTTATGAGGGAGCATGGGTATGGTGTTGACAAACCTAAAAACATAATCAGGGCAAACTGGGAATCAAACCCACAATCACAAGTCGCTGGCACACCTTAGTAACGCAACACTGCAGAACGAATGGCGTACCTCAGATTACTGGGGCAACTGTGACCCATGAAGTTGTCTCCCTTGGTTGAGTTTGTGGTTTGGTTGTACCTAACAGTTTATTTCCAATCATTGCGTTATGTGTGTAGCAGTGGTCAACATGTTAATGTATACACACTTTGAAGGCTACATTTGGCATTCCCTACAAATGGTACAATGATAAATGACAGAAAAAAAAGTGAAACGCAAAGGATTTACATAAATTCTTCTTAAAACACATAAAACAGAATATTTTAACATACTACGTACAATAAGTGAAAAACTGGTATTCCATGATCAGACATGATTAAGGTCACTCAACAAGTCTGTTTACATATCACTCTTCAATATAATTGTATTGTATGATATGACATGATACTTGCATCGTGGCACAGTAACATTTACCTCTACTGTGAGGTCTTACCTGTATTAGCATCATGACTTCAGAGCAGGTGTTAAACACCTTCTGGTGATGTCTGCGGCCTTCTTTGGGAGTCTACATAGAAGACAGGAGTATTACTGATAAACAGCAATGAGCACAATGACATAATGGTCCGCAAAACAATCCACAGTCAGGGTCAGGACAAGCTGACCATCAACTAACGCTGGTCATGCTACATGAGCATCACTTTCTATTCTTAGTCACATGACCATCAGGATGTCAATTTTGTCACTTCTGTCTGCAAACACAAAGTATGTTAAAAGATACTCTTCCACTGGAGTGCATGATAGTCATAATTATGTGTATTTAGATCGTTCATGGGGTGGGGGTGAATGCTAGGGGATGAGGGGAAAAATCACAGAAAAAAACATCTATAGGTGGTCAGTATAAATCTGTTTTCCAAAAAATAACCTGAATATGTGTTCATGGCTGCAGTTGGTCAAGCTGGTTTTGTTGGATCTTGTTTTATGTACTGTATGCAGATTTGGGCAGAAACAACTCTTAAGTCAGCTTTCAGACGAACAGAAATATATTTCTTTTAAGATAATCTTTTTCCACTTTTCATATTCTGATGATCAGTGGGTAAGTAACCAACTCAAAACAGTAGGGAATGACATGCGCACCAGCTCTTTCAGGTCGTGCCCTGCAGAGAAGACTGGCCCTGTATGTGTGATGATGATCACCCTCAGGTCCTCCTTGTATTCATCATTCGTCAGGTCATCCTCCAGGGCATGCAGCATGGCCAGTGACAGGGCATTCCTGAAATAAACACAAGTTGTATGAAGATTTTCTCAACAGCTCAGCAGATCGTCATAATGGTACAAAACTAACTCCAACAGTTGACATAAAAAAGAAGCTCCCCAAAATTTAGCTCAACACTGTTTTCAATGAAGTAATGTTAAAATAAACCACTTCCTCTTTATTGGACCCATTTTCAGAGAAATGAAGTCACCTGACTAAGTCATCACATTAGTTATAAACATTAACATTAATTGAGAAATTTCAGTTTGGCAAGTTTACTGACATTTGTTGCAGACTTGGGGCTGAAGAATGGCCTCTGAGCTGGTCTAGATAAACTGTGAAGTTTTACTGGTTTAGTGTTATAACAGCCTACTCCGATGTCTTTCCTGGTTAGAGGAAGCCAATGAATGATGCCTAACCACCGGAAAACGTAACTAGAAATAATCCTTCAGTCACATTTGCTCTACGGATAGGATACGGCGGCCGTAACCCCCCAAAATCAAAAGATACCTGCGGCGGCCACAGAGGATCTACCATGATCTACTATGGCCTCAGGGTCGCCCTAGGGCTGTCCCTATCTTTTACAAGCTGTAGGGGTCGCCATGGGATTATAGCGAGGAGTTATAACTTTTGTAATTTCTAGGTTTGCCGAAACAATTAGACAACTAGACACACCGCAGCCATGCTGTAGAGCAGTTCGACGGCGACCATATGTCGGGTGTACAGTGGCCTTGCCTTTGCCGTGCGGCTGCCCTGTGTAGCGGTAGTGTCAGTCTGGCCGCATGGTCACCAAATGGTTCCCCTGCAGCCACCTTGTGGGCGCCTTGCATCTACCTTGATATTTGTCAAAAACCTACGGCTACCGTAGGGACGGCCTAAGGCAACCGTGCATCATCACTTCAAAGGCCATACGGCAGCCGCAGGTTTTCTGTCTCCACAAATTCAAAATATGCCATGCGGCTACCCTAACATATGTCACTGCTACAGTATGTGACCGTGGGAATATTGCAGCAGCCCTATAATTGCTATTGACTGTAGATATTTTAGACCCCATGGCCGCTGCGGCAAATGTGACTGTGGCATAAATACACGACAGTGGAATTCCTTTTTCACACAAGACACCAGTGTTTAGTGAGTGAATTAAAAGTTTAAGTTACATTGGCAGTATTTCAGCCACATCATACATGGGACAGTGGGAACGTACGGTACTAGGGCTGGGACGAGTCCAAATTTACTACCCGGGTACCCACCCCCCTATTACCAGACCCTACCCTGGTACCCACTGTAGGGCTCAGGAGATGTCTCAAAATGTCCGATTGGGAACATTTTTAGCATAGCCCTGGCAAAACGTCTTTAGATACATGTATTAAACAATCTGGTCATTCATACACTGAATCTGAATTAAGTTATATCTTTATTAAACCATATAAAAAAATCAGAAGGAATGGTTGCTAAGTGAGAAAGAAATGCGAGCATTAGTCACTTGTACTGTAACCATAGAGTTCTTGATAATTTTTGCCATTAAACAATATATCACGTGACTAACCACGGGTCTGGGTAGTCCTGTGGGTACCCAGGTCCTGCTCAGTACCCACCCAACCCGGGTACCCGAGTTACCCGTCCCAGCCCTATACGGTACCTTTGCTACCTTTACAGTTCCCCAGCAGAATGTACACCATCCCTTCAGCCAGAGCTCCAGATTACTTTTTGAGCAACTGAGTTTTTACTCTAGGGTTTCTATTTTAACTGGCTTATTACATTTTTCATTGGGTAACCAATATTTTTTCACTCATCTATTCATCACTCTATAGGGTTTTTATGAAAATGAGTACTAATTTTGAGATTTAAGAAAAAATGAAATAATGTTTCAGATGTATATAACGGCTCTAAATATAGGCTTGACTTGGAAAGTAAATTAGCTTGTAAAGCTTCATTGGGTATTTACTCATGCTGTTTTCAAACAATTGAGTTTTCCATTTAATGCATGTGTTTCTGTACGCAGGTTAATTGAAAGCAATTGGGTTTTGAATAGTTTTGAGGGGTATTTTACGCAAATACACAGCTTATCCGTAGCCCTGCCTTCAGCTGCTGGTGGGGGCACGGGTGGCCCAGTCGTCTAAGGCACCGCGATTCCCCGTGCAGAGTTGCGTCCCTTGGGCACGCCAGAAACCTATGATTGTGGGTTCGAATCCCGGTTTGCCTTGATTATGTCTCTAGGTTTGTCAGCACCATACCCGTGCTCGTGGGTTTTACAAAAGTGGTAAATGTCTGAGACCTGCATCACTTCGGGCTTTCCTCCCACATTAAGCTGACACGCCGTGATATAACTGGAATAATGTTAAAAGCGGCGTTAAACCCAACTCACTCACTCAGCTGCAGGCAATTGTTGGCTATTTGGCAATTTCATATTCAGATGTAAACATAGATCAATACATTCAGTATGAATTATATTACGGATTTGGTAGAGGAAGGACAGTGTCATATATTGTCAGAATATTCATTACACAGGTTCAAACCTTTTCTTTGGATTGTTGAGACAGATCGTCCTGATACCATTCTCCTGTGTTGTCTGAGTCAGCTGTTCATGTAATGATGCCAGTCTTGGGGTTTGGGAAAACTTACGTATAAACTGAAAGTCAAGAATGGTCGTAAACGTGAAGTGAATTACTCAAAAACATCCAAAAACATGCTAAGAAGTATCATCCAAATTGTTCAACATTTGTTAAAATCATGTTTACTGATCTCTTAAAACCAAGGAAGATCCGGGGTAGAAAAGGTCTTCAGCAACCCATGCTTGCCGTAAAAGGCAACTATCTTTGTCGTAAGAGGCGACTCATGGGATTGGGTGGTCAGGCTTGCTGACTTGGTTGATGCATGTCATCGTATCCCAATTGTGTGGATCGATGCTCATGATGTCAATCACCGGATTGTCTGGTCCAGACTTGATTATTTACAGACTGCGTCATATAACTGGAATATTGCTGAGAGCGGCGTTAAACAACAAACAAACCAAATCTTAAAAATCAACTCCAGTGGTTGTCACACGTAATCAAAAGTTAATGTTGTCATAAGAATGTTTTCATAACATTAATCTGCTATTTTGAAGACCTATCCTCATGTATGTACTATTGTAATGCCTCTGAAATTGTAAAAAAAGGGACAAAACCCTTTTCAAATTCCATACTCACACCATACAAATCTGACTATCATAAGCCTGTGTTTATGAATCCATGTCAAATATTGATGACACCAGGTTTAGACACTAAAACGTGAGCTCATCCTTCCCCATGGGATGTATCACATTGTTACATACATGTACAATATATAGGTAAGAGCCTGGGTTACTGACAATAAACCATATGCACTGGCTCACACTTACTCTTCCTATTTGGTATTCATCTCAAAGTTACAAAGATATTTTTAAGATGCAAATCAGATGGGCTTCGTCTGTAACGCATGTGAATTTTTGGTCGATCTGGTTCAATGGCAAATAGATGGAGCAGATGAATATCTCATTGATAATATCTTATCCACTTTTTGTCTTGATTAAGACATCGATCAGAAGTGCCATTTGTTTGTTTGTTTGTTGTTTAATGCTGCACTCAGCAGTATTCCGGCTTGGCCTATATGAAAGCGGTCTGTATATGTAATCTGGTGTGTCTGGACCGGATAATCCAGTGATTGATATCACGAGTATTGATCCATAAAATTGGGATAGGATGACATGCTTCAATAAGTCAGCGAGCCTGATTACCTGATCCGGTTAGTCGCCTCTTAAATGACAAGCTAGGCTTGTTGAAGATCTATTAATTAAAACCAGGATCAACCCATTTATTAAACTTATGCATGCCATGGTTTCTGTATAATGGTAAGCACTGTTAGATTCGTATACATCATACAGTTTGAGTCAGCTGACAAACGAGGTGGGAACTGAACGACTGGACTTGACTTGGAAGTGCAAAATGCCCAAGCAAAGTTCATCTTTAAACCAATATTTTTATCCTGCTTCAGGGGCCCTAGACCAACACACCACCTGGCCGTTCCACGGACGATCTCGCCATCACAGCACATTACAGCCTTTGTCAGACAAACATGGCGTTTCTCAGTCGGTCTCAGAAATATGGAAATCTCTCACTTGGGCAAGTTGCAACACATCTAATGTAAACACTGCCACTGGTTTCGTTCTTTGAGGAGAATTTTGCAAGGTGAAGCTGAACGAGACCTCGACATGTTTTCTTACAATAGATGCGCAGTTAATATATTTTTATCAATACGATATTAATCTTTACAAAAGAAAATGATTATATACTGAAACAAAGCTTGCCAATGTACCTGTCGTTTACACACCCCTTGCAAAACACGTGGGGAGAGCACCTGCATAACACGACTTGTCAACATTATCCGGCCGTTCCGATCTGTAACGGCACATACAATTGGTGGAAGCTTACACAAAACGAACCAATGGCTTGGCGTAACTCATTAACGGCATATTACTGACCTGTCAATCATTTTCATACAATGTCCACAGCAACGGGCTGTTATGTCACGGTATCAACGGACGCTTTATGTTATTTTGTGCTCTACCAAGGGTAACATGTCGACAGGTCAGGTATACACAGTACCCGAGTGTTTCAAGCATACCCTAGAAACCACCGCCACTGTAGAAATCGGATCTTTATGATGTGATATCACCGAGGGATTTCTATCAGGTGTTGTCTGGTACTATCTGATTGGGAAGATGTGGAGCTGCCAGTATATCGCATGGGCAATATTGTTATTCGGGGCAATTCTTGGGATTGATTCAGCCTCGCTAGCAGGTAAAATTGTGCTATAACTATGATTCTTGGATTCGTCACAAAGAAAATCCACCAGGTCTCGTGGTAAATCCAAACAAAAGCCGTATTTATTAAAAATTAAATGCCATATCGACCAGTTCCTCAATACTGCGCCTGTAAACAATAACAAGCACCAATTGTACTGAAGATATAGGAATTCCCCGAGTACGCGGAATATCTAATCAGTATATCTAGTCTAGTATAATTTCTCAGTAATGAATATAAAAATATTGTTTTTGAAATTGTAACCGCAAAAATAATTAGCTGAATTTTTTCTCATGAAAATAACGGATTTCCTGTTTTCGACGCTTGTTTTCATGCAGTATAAAAATGTTGTAAAACAAACTTTCGCCGAATGATAGTATATATTATCGATAACTTGTACCAAAGAGAAAAATTGAATTCTGTTATTATTTGATTAACTTAAGGTTTGAATCTCTTCTTACCCTTTTTATCGTGAGAACCGTGAACCAAAGGTTAATGTGTCCTATTTATATACATGTAGTTAAAATTTTACTTTAATGTGGAATGAAAAGAGAAAAACACTTTCTTGAGATACAAGGATAATGAAAAGTTGGATGTTGAACCTCTGATTTAATATCATGCAATATTTACATTTAATTGTGTTATTATCAATGCATATATGTTTTGCTATGATTGTTGAGCCAAAGAAATAACAATCATAATGTTTTTAACAAATGTGTATTCATACTTCCCATTTCTCTTGTTATTTAGTTTGTTTAATGACTTGATCGTGTGTCATCGTGCCTCGATGGCGTGAATCATTGCTCGCTCTAATTCCATGCAGTCACGGGTTTGCCTTTCTGCATGTATAGCCTCTCATTCAGATCCTGAAACAAACATATCTAAAAAAATCCCATACAAGCCTACAATAGTTTGGCAAGCTTTTTATGCCCCCGAATCGATTATTTACAGCTGTAGTGATCGAGCTGGAATATTGCCGTTAAGCAACAACCACTTACTAACGTTTCACACTACGGTGTATATAAAGTGCTGTAACACGAAATGTGAGAAAAAGTAAGTTTACTGGAATTGTGCCTAACGCATTTAACATAAACCTTGTTTGCTGTTTAACGCCGCATTATATGACACGTGTGTTGTATTGCCGAAAATCGATTGAATCTAGATGAGAAGAAAGCATGAACGTCGACTTAGTCGATATTCGATTATGCACATCGTGTCGAGATGTTTGTATTGCAATACATACACCGTGCAGCATCACATCACGATTGCTTTTAGTACGTTATATGTCAGAAGTTACAATGCATCAATATGCATATTATCATCAGGGTACTTACATCTTCAGCAGGATCGCTATATAGAGGCAAAGTTATCGGCAATAAATTCGGGAAATATTTGAAGTACACATATTAGTATAACATTAGTAATTATTATTATGCAAGATTAAGATAACCTTTTAAAGATAAGAACGTTCTTTCCGAAACGCGTGATTTTAATGAGATCTTGTACTCCGATATCTCTGTCTCAAGATCTTATGATAGTGCCATTGAAGGTCGCGACAGGTAGGCCCTAATCAAAATGTCAGCTTTCTAAAACGATTCAGCTTCAATTCTTTAGTGCCTCGATTCGGAAATTTCGATTTTTGCAAAAGAAAAACACAAAAGAAGACAAATACACCCATTTGATTGTAGACACCATCTAGGGCGCTCAGAAACGACATGACGCATACATTATCCACAACAACAAAATATCTGGACTTTATGTTTTTGAATTTGGAATTCCTCTATTAAATTAGTTTTCGAGATATATAAAAATCAGATATGCTTGTTTGAATGCTCCGGACAAGTTATTCGGTTTGCTGAGTTGCGTCCCTTAGCCTTGTTAGGATCCGCTGTTCATGGTTTTAAATCCCAGATAGGGTCCGATCATGATCCTTACATGGCTTTCCATCATACCGTGTTTGAGGATTTCATAACAGTGGTACATGTCTGACACCTGCATCACATTTGGCTTTCCACCCACATCACGCCCACGCGCTTGGATATGATTGAAATACTGTTCAAAACGGCTTCATAACCACCACAACCAATATTACTTACTGTTATGTGTTTTTTTAAGTACTCATGTGTGTATCAGAATTGTAATCGAATTTAATCCCTGGTTTCGGGCGAGGCGTTAATATCCCATAGGGAACGTGTTGGACATCTATGATACAAAAGAGGTTCATGCCTATGTATATATGTATAGGTAATGCATCAGCCATGTGTCACCTTGGAATAGCATCTATATAACTACATGTATATATATTCATCACCACAGCGACAGTATACAGTAGCAATCGCAATAGTAGACATATATCACCGAAATTATACAGAACACTATTCAGAAACCGTTAAGCACAAACGTTGTATAGAAATCCTGTCCCCTATACAAATAACTTTCATTGTATATATTCCCAGCCATATAAGCCAGTGTGCTCTAGGGGAACTATGTGCACGTGGGAAAGCATTTATATAACCAAGAGAGGCAGATTAGCGTGGGATATATTTCAAAACGTATACACTGCCAAAGCGCCCACCAGGTAGGGCAGAATGAATTTCAATATTTATGTCCACAGCAACGTTGTTAATACTTGATCTAAGCCATAAATTATCACTCCCCACTCATTCTGTCTTGACTCTGGACATTTTAAAGTCGGTGATAGTTAGAATATGTTATAGTCAGCACAGTAGGCAAACGGGTGCCCGGCGTATATGCTTTTGTAGACGTGGCTAAATACATAACGCCTTATGTACCATAACATTTAGAAATGGGCTTCACACATTGTACCCATGTCGGGAATCGAACCCGGGTCTTCGGCGTGACGAGCGAACGCTTTTACCACTAGGATACCCGACCGCCCATTTAGTATATGAGGATCACACACAGAGACTATATACCGATATATGGTCTCTGTCACAAATGTCTTAAGTGAAACCGCTCAGTGGTTAATTTTATTATTATTATTATCAGTCTCAAATTGTTTTACTATCAGAAAATGTAAGAAATACCCACAACCATATTTGTTCAAACACTCAAAGGCAAAGGTAACGGTGCTGCTGCTCCTATTTATATTGTCGCGATTCTAAGAAAGACACAGCTAAAGATTCAGCCTTGCGTTGGACATGTTAAGCTTTCTGGGGTTTAATTTTGATGAAAAACCTAAGATTGTATTCTTCAGTAAGTTTAGATTACTATAGTTTCTAGTAATATATGGGGGCACGGGTGGCCCACTCGTCTAAGGCGCCGCGATTCGCCGTGCAGAGTTGCGTGCCTTGGGCACGCCAGAAACCTATGATTGTGGGTTCCAATCCCGGTTCGCTCCGATTATGTTTCTAGGTTTGTCAGCACCATACCTGTGCTCGTGGGTTTCACCGAAGTGGTAAACGTCTGAGCTTTCCTCCCACATTAAGCTGACACGCCGTGATAAAACTGGGATAATGTAAAAAGCGGCGTTAAACTCACTCACTCCAGTAATATATATTCATCCGAACAATTCTCGTGTTCTTTACACACGTTATGGTGAAACGCCTTTATTGTTATTCCCTATTACAGATGTAACTTGTTTTCAAAGAAATGCAATGCAATATTAGGTGTGCTTTTTTCCCCGAACTACGCAAAAATCAATGTATCAAAATCTGACGTGACAAATTGTTTGATGTGATCAATCTTTAAAGCCATTATTTCATATCATCATAGTTTAAATTATTTCAGGCATCAATAAATGTATGTGAAGTCAGTTACGTTTGCGTTTTAATTTTATGCTTTGGTGACGTCGGTGAATATATTGCCAATGTTAAACTTTCATATGTATTGTTCTGTTATAGCCGAGAGGGTGTCAGAGGCTGTTTCTATAACTCTCTACCGGCTTGAGGCAGACGATGTGAGTATGATTATAGACATGATAGATGCTGGAGGGAAATAACCACAGCATAGACACACATTATTCTTAACTTTCTTCAGATGAAAATTTCTACTTTCATCATCACATTTGATCAGTGTCACTTCAGTGTTAAACTTGACTGTACGTAAATCAGGTGGGGTGCAATTGGGTTTAACGTCGCGTCCAAGATTATTGCACTTATATAGCGACGTACATGTACGTGCATGTGTGTGTATGTGGCTGCTTGTACTAGACCGATTTATAGTGCTAGCTCACTGATATACCATGGCGCAGTTCAACATGAAAACCCCACTCAGACACAGTATACTGACTCCGAGCCGACCTGTCCTTGTTTTAGCCCCTTAATGCAAAGCGCCAGACAGGGTTACATCAATTACCATCTTTAAACGTCTTTTGGTATGACGCGGTCGGGGACCAAACCCCGGACCTTCCGCTCTCCGGGCATCCTCCCGAGGCAAGAGAGTTAACTGACTTTAAAAGTCCAGTTTCCACCCTTGCCGAACTAGGCTGGAATTCCTGGGCTCGATCGTAGCGCCACCAGTGGCTATTACGAGTTATGTCCTTTCTATGCCTCTCCTATTGACCAATCAGATTCAACCTCTCGTATTACCTGCATTTGCTTCAAACAAAAAGGTGGCGCCCAGTCAAGACGATCTGATTGATAATCAAGATCTATATTGTGATAAAACGAGTCTTACATCGCGAAGTGCATCAAATCACGTGAGCACCTTGATTAAAAGCATGAAAAGATTTAGAAAATATCTGTTGACACCGAGTTAGCGGTGCACATGTTTTGCAAATCCTGCAGTCGACCGAAATCTGAATGACACTTTACGAACCGGATTTCGATTTTGGTGCGCGATTTTGATTGGACTATGCATAGACTCGTTAGTCCAGCCAAAATGTAACTCCACAATACCAGCCTAGTTCGGCAAGGGTGGAAACTGGACTTTTATAGTCAGTTAACTCACTTGCTCTCCGGGCGGACGCTCTACCACTACGGTCCGTAAATAAGGACAACACACTGTCTTTGTATCTAATATGGATCCCAAAAGGGGACATCATCGTGATGTCGCCCCAACAAAAGCAGGCAAAAAGTGTTAAAATTTGCCAAAGCGCGACTTTTGTACATTTAGTCGCATTGTCGAGGTTTGAATAATATTTTTGGGTTGTTGTTTTTTTTTACCAAAAGGCGATCAAGCGACAACACAACATTTTTCAAGGTCATCGGGTTCTTGCAGTTTGGCTAATTTGGACAAAGCGACAGTGTCTCTTATAGTATTCAATAGTACCTCTCCAGTAAAAGTAATTTCTTTACTGAGTGATTTGCAACTTTCGACACACTGACCATGTTGGAAGCCCAAGCCCGGTGACCAATCTTTGTCGGGAGGCGAATAAATGGATAAGGCATGTCATCGTAACCCAACTGCGTGGATCGACGCTCATGATGTCAATCACTGGATAGTATGGCCCAGACTCGAATATTTGCAGACTGCCGTCATGTACCTCGACTTTTGCTGCGCGCGGCGTAAAAAACAACATACCAAAAATTTCTTGACTGGTAGATTTTCTATGGCAAATATTTGTTATTTTCGCCATGTATTGTTTTACTAAATAATTAAACTTCGTTTTGTTTCCGTATCTAACCCGCAAGTTTTCAGCTCATTAGATTTGTCCATGTACTTTTACATGAGGTTATTGTGGTAATAAACTATAAATATTTGTTGTTTTCAAGTGGTCAAGTAAATCCGCAGCCTTTAAAACAGTTGTGGCCGATGGCGCCAATGTATACTGTGAAGCATACCCTTCGGCCTGTGGCTTCCTCTACTGGGACAGCAATGCCGCGTGAGTTGTCTTTCAACTGAGTTACCTCCCTTAGCAGTTTGTCATGTTTCTTTTTGTGTTTTTTTTTCATATTGATGTGTTTTGGTGATCGCGTGCTATACATATCTTACCACAATTGTCAAAACATGTAGTTGTTTCATTACGGCTACAGCAGCACGTTATTTGAACTGTACAACTACCATGAAACATTCAAGATTGCGATCAGCGATAGTACCTCGGAGAAGCCACATATCACTTACGTCGTGGCTAAGGAGGCGGACATAAAATAATTTACGTTGTTCACATTATCTTCAAACAAATAAGCACGTGTTTTTCAAATGATTTATTTTCCTGATAGTAAAACCTCAGATACAATGAATATTACAAATACGATCTCTACGATGTAATGTTTAATTCTTTTCCAGGTTTGGCGGGTCGTTGGTGGGAGAAAACCAAGTTGTCGTGGACGCCAAGAATCTCAAGGTCAACTTCTACATACAGTTCCATGCTCTTGCCAATATCTCATCTGTCTCCAAGACACAATTTGTCTTGAACTATATTGCATTTAAGAGTAAGTATGTCAGCACATATCACACGTTACCCGGCCCCTCTATAATTGTAATAGGGGAAAGTGGCAAAGTCGTCTAAGGCGCCTTAGTAAGCTGTGCAGAGTTGCGTCCCTTGGGCCCATCGGAAACCTTTGATCGTGGGTTCGAATCCCAGTTCGCAATGATTATGTTTTGGGTTTGTCAGCACCCTACCCGTACTCGCGGGTTCACTAAAGAGGTAAACGTCTGAGACCTGCATCACTTCGGCCTTTCCTCCCTCATTAGGCTGACAGGCAGTGACATAACTGGAATACTGTTAAAAGCGGCGTTAAACCAAACTCACTCACTCACTCACACATTGATACTGTTATCCATGCGATAACCGAATCCGATGAACTTAAGGCTCGCGTAATAAAATTTGTATTCCTAATATGGGATTTTTATGACACGGAAACACATTCAGCTAATAATGTCTATATAATGTCTGTATCTCCACAACGTATTAGATCATCCTCACCATGCTCATCCTCATCCTCATCCTCATCCTCATCATCATCATCATCATTGTCACCTCATTATTGCCAGAAGTCACCCAAAGATCTCTCGTTGCAGCCATTGTCCAGAGCGTTCGCCTTGATATCGCTTCGGCAGTTGGTGCGCCTGTGACGTATGTAGACACGGAGTTCTACGGCATCCCTCCCGCCAACCTAGCCAACCGGGTCATCATCCCCGTCGCCGTCGTCGTCTTACTCGTCATCATCGTCATTGCCATCGCACTCCACTTGTGGAAGTAAGCTGCCTACAAACATGTAAACATGTCTCTACACTGAAGCTATCTCTGTAACTTCTACCACTGACGATGTGACGTCTGCCATTATCACTACTGTCCACATGATTTCTACCATTGACACTACTATCCACGTGACTTCTCCCATTGACACTACAAACCACGTGACTTACACCATTGACACTATTCTCCACGTGACTTCTACCATTGACACTACTATCCACGTGACTTCTCCCATTGACACTACTAACCACGTGACTTACACCATTGACACTATTCTCCACGTGACTTCTACCATTGACACTACTATCCACGTGACTTCTCCCATTGACACTACTAACCACGTGACTTACACATTGACACTACTAACCACGTGACTTACACCATTGACACTATTCTCCACGTGACTTCTACCATTGACACTACTATCCATGTGACTTACACCACTGACACGACTATCAAACTCAAACTCAAACTCGTTTATTCTCAGAAAAAACACCCACTATCCATGTGACTTCTACCATTGACACTACTATCCACGTGACTTCTCCCATTGACACTACTAACCACGTGACTTACACCATTGACACTACTAACCACGTGACTTACACCATTGACACTATTCTCCACGTGACTTCTACCATTGACACTACTATCCATGTGACTTACACCACTGACACGACTATCAAACTCAAACTCAAACTCGTTTATTCTCAGAAAAAACACCCACTATCCATGTGACTTCTACCATTGACACTACTATCCACATGACTGCCACCATTGACACTACTATGAATGTGATTTCTACCATTGACACTGGCACGATGTGACTTTTACCGCTGGCACTACTATTCATGTTATACCTACCATTGACACTACTATTGACACTTACACCACTGACACTATCAATGTTGAATCTACCATTGAAACCTACCACACAAACACCCTTTTCTACCAGCGTTGGGTTAAATGGGTCCCAGGCAACCCACGCTGGTCGTATGACGCGACTAAATGGATCGGATGGTCAGGCTCAGTTACTGGGATGATTGCTTGTTATATCATCAATTATTTACAGGCCGCCGTCATATAGCAGGAATATTGCTGTGTGCGGCGTTAACCATTTAACTGTACCTCCAGCCATTACCATGTCTACGTTAACTGTCCTTGGTGCTACTGCTGTTATTGCTGCTCCTGCTGTCCAACATTGACCTAGAAGATGGCAGTCGCATGACTTGATTGTTTTGTAAAAGAGTTTGAATATGAACATCAATGTAAGTTCTCAACTGTTTTTCAGCAAACGACAGAAAAAAAACAAAAAGAGTCGTGCGAGACGTGATCTGACGTCAGCGAAGGTGACGCCCATTCACACCACACACGGCGCTACTGGTAAACACGCCGACACTCACAACAACTTGAAGTGAGTGTCTAGATGTGTAGCACCTGTTCTGCTAACATTTAACTTTCCTTCCAGCGAGGCTATAGTGAGTGAGTGGACTTGGTTTAACGCCGATTTAAACAGTATTTAGGTTATATCACGGCGTCCATGGCTATAGACGTCTAACATATTTTTAACCTACTTTTTTTTCTTTTTCTTTTCTTTTTTCATTTCTATGGAAGTATTGCAGTTAAATTTAAATAGTGATGTAGACATTGAAACTGCAGGCATATATTACTTAACTTGTTTGATACTCAGTGATGTGAAACTTTGTTTCATTGATTACAATAGTTGAGACACAGTTGACTGGAAATCTGTTGCTGGATCGTTGACAAATACCGTATTCGACGTAATATGCGTCCCGCTCTAATAAGCGCCCACGGCGATATTTGCTGATATATTGGCTTGTAAACAATCCTAATTAGCACCCCTTCCGATTGATCAATGTACACAAGACTTATATATTCGTGTATATGCACACTCGTGTGTTATATCCACCCTTAATTATGGGCAATTACATTCTGGAAAAATATATCTGTCGTACATAAACATTTCAGGCTGTCACCATAAACCACGAAATTTATCTTTCAACTCTGTTTTTTTTCCACCAAAATAATGTTCTAATAAGAGCCCCCTATTTCTAATTTTGAGAGCGCCCTGAGCGCTTATTACGTCGAATACGGTAAACTTAATATTTGGTAAAAGTTCTGTTTTTAACTTCTAATAGAGTAAAGTGCAGAATTAGTTTTCTGAACATATTTTATTCGCTTTTTTCACTTGTCTTGTTACAGGTTTTCCAACTGTAGTTTTGTATGTAGTTAGTATCCCATTGTTATAATAATGATCGCAATGGTAGACTAGTGGTAAAAGCGATCGCTCGTCATACCGAAGACCCACGTTCGATTCTCCACATGACTACACGGTGTTAATCCAATTATTGTGTACCCCGTGTATAGATATTGCTTGAAGAGGCTTAACCCATATGTATTCACTTCTTGTAGAAATTAAATGGCAAATAAATGTAATCATTTCTAACTCTAAATCTAGGCTTAGCTATAGACTGAAATATCTTTTCAGTTGAATTCTTGATTTAATGTTCCTTTTAGCATACAATATAGTTTACAAATTAACGAAGAATAGCTTATACTCGAAATGTGTAGATGTGTAACATGTTCGTGAAATGACGTTCATGTTACATCCTTAGAGGCATTGCAACTGACTGAATGGTTAGACATTCTACATCCCTATGAATAGAAGACATGATGTAAATATTTACTAATTTCTGATTTGTAACTCATTGACACTACTTTGATAAAAATGGCAATATTAGGCAATAAATATCCTTTTGAAATATTTACGTAAGAACACCACATGTTACATTTTTGGATATGTTACATGTTACATTCAAAGGTTACATTATTAACAGTTAACGAATCAAATTATATTAGTCTGCAAAAAAACTGCTATAATCTGTGTGTTACGAAACACGTCTTCCTGTATGACGTCCTAGTGTGATGGCAGTGTTTTCTCTCTCACACACACACACACACACACACACACACACACACACACACACACGTTCTTGCGATGGTTCTGGATTAGGTTAGAATTGGTTCCCTGTAACCTGTGTTGGTCGCGACAGGCGATCAATTGGATCGATCATTTACAGGCCGCCCTCATTCAGCTTAAATATTGCTTAGTGTGGGGTCTGAAAAACAAATCAACAAACAAGGCAGTGTTTTTATATTTAAACTCCATTTCTAGCAAAAGAGCGAAACGAAATTGTTCCGTGATTGGTCATATAGTGTGATGCGGGATTGTTGGTGTGGAGTTTTGCTGGTCAAAAAAGGAACAGTAAGGAAAAGATAGTTTCATATTTTGAGCAGTAATCACTGTTGCCATTGACGTTGGTTTGTTGTCACGTTGTCACGTTGTGTGTTTGCCTGCATGGAGTTGAACTTATATGTTTTATTGCACTGATTGAATGTCCTGAACACTCTTAACAAACTGAAGTGCAATTCCCGTTGAACATGGCTGATGGCTTCTGATTACTTTCAAACATTTAATACAGCTTGATCCTTAAAACCACGTACACATCAAGTTGATACAAAAGGTTAAGAATTTATATCCGTTGAATCAAGATTTGATCAATACAAGATTTGGTGGATGACTTAACAATCTGTTTTGGTGCTAACTGTGTTTGTCATTCTTTACTACAATTTACACCCATACCTTTTATAGCCATAAGTTTGACCCCTTGGTAAATCCGGGACGAAACAGGTCCCTTGTGCTCTGCGCTTTTCGTAAGACCCGAGTACCGGGGGTCAGGTGCTTCCAGAGTCCACGTGACCGCTGGCGTGGATTAACCACTGACTTGCCTAGTCTAGACTTGATAACGTTTTGGGCCCCGTGATATAGCAGGAAAGAAATTGCTGACTTTGAATAGTATTCACATTTTCACTTAACGAGCTCTTCACATGCAGGTTATACTACGAGATACGGAGCGTACTCTAACATGGATAATTTGTGTTTATGTTCTTGTCTACCTTGTTTCAGCGGAAGTAATGTAAACAACACTGAAAAGGGGGCCCACCAAATGAAGGAAATATTACCCAGCACCCCACAATCGCACCCACAGAAACTCCCCCCTGTAAACGGGTTCATGGAAGATGAAACACAGCACCGAAACGCAGCACGAGCCGTATCTGTAGAAGACACTGAAGGTGAACACCGGAAAGACAAGAAACGGAAGAAGAAGAGGAAGAAGCGTCATCACCGGGATTCTGAATCTGGCTATGACCACAATCAATCGGACAACGAAAACACCCGAACACACACGATTACGTCTCAAGAACGTCACCAGTATGGTAACGACGTGTACGACAGCGACCCTTGTTAGTTACGATACAAAGACGATTGTTTGATGATGTTAATTTTTTAAATCAGAAATGTTACAGAACCTGCGTTCGTAGTCTGTATTCGGAACAGTTAGAAAAACACGTAGCTTTTCTCTACAATGAATATAACCACCATTACATGGGCTGTCATAATCCAAATAATATGGGTATGGTCAAGTTGGTCAAAGAGATGGTTTGTAAAAAATAATATGGGTATGGTCAAGTTGGTCAAAGAGATGGTTTGTAAAATTGGTTTACGTTTATTTAGGTTTAATACGAACTATATATATTTGGGTTATTATGAGACAGTGCTATTTATCATAACGACATGAGCTTAGGGCATTATGTAAACTTATATTTACTCGTAGTTTTAATAACTAGTATTTTGTATTCTTAACCTTGCTATGTACACTTTAGAATGTACTGTATTATACAGCGTAACACTAGCAAAATCATATGGTGACAAGAAAACGTAAACGATACAAAATCGGTAATCATAATTTTTAACGTTAGATACGCCTGAACTTTTACCAGTTTATGAATCTCAAAAACACTCATCAATGCTCATTTGAGACACTGCGCGCCGAAGTCGTATCTGACCTGAATATCAAGGAATCGTGGATAGTGCTGCCATGAAGGTCAGAGACTGGAGGGAAACCATCTTTGCGTATGTTTGTTTATCTTGTCTTACCTTTGTAAATATACAGTGCTGTTTATAATTTATGTTTTTAATGTAGCGACCATTCTGTGTTAGATCACAACGATTTGTATTGAACACCTCACCAGCTTTAAAAAAAAGTTTATTTCTCGACTCTTCATACATCCCCCTACCCCCTCATACGTTTTTACGCTGTTGCTACAGTTTATCCTGTGTATATAACGGTAACCATGTCATCATTTATCCCGATACAAAGGTGACCTGCAGTAGCTGTGCGGTATTCAGTAGCTTCAGTTGCGGTATTCAGTAGCTACAGGTGCGGTATTCAGTAGCTACAGGTGCGGTATTCAGTAGCTTCAGGTGCGGTATTCAGTAGCTTCAGGTGCGGTATTCAGTAGCTACAGGTGCGGTGCGGTATTCAGTAGCTACAGGTGCGGTATTCAGTAGCTTCAGGTGCGGTATTCAGTAGCTTCAGGTGCGGTATTCAGTAGTTACAGGTGCGGTATTCAGTAGCTACAGGTGCGGTATTCAGTAGCTTCAGGTGCGGTATTCAGTAGCTTCAGGTGCGGTATTCAGTAGCTACAGGTGCGGTATTCAGTAGCTTCAGGTGCGGTATTCAGTAGCTACAGGTGCGGTATTCAGTAGCTACAGGTGCGGTATTCAGTAGCTACAGGTGCGGTATTCAGTAGCTTCAGGTCCGGTATTCAGTAGCCACAGGTGCGGTATTCAGTAGCTTCAGGTGCGGTATTCAGTAGCCACAGGTGCGGTATTCAGTAGCTTCAGGTGCGGTATTCAGTAGCTTCGTGTACCTATACACTACGTTCAGGACCAAAAAACTGAATAATTTGTTCTTCTGATATGTTTCCACAAGAGACCACACGAAGGCCGAATATTATTTTCTTTTCAAGACTTACAACATTTCTTATATTAATATCTCATGGACTTTGGAACACAAGAGATCAGCTGTTACTAATTGGTGATTCTGGGCCTAAAGGGTAATGTTTCTTATGTAACTATACCTTTTTGTAGCCTTTTTTAGTAAGGTACTTATTCAAATACGAACATGTACAGGTTAATGGAGTCAAGACCATTATCGCCCAGTTTCATCAAAATCAGACCTGTTACTTCGATACGATACCTCTTGACGTGAAGATCCTCTACGCAGAGAGGTATCGCATCGGAGTAACAGATCTGATTATAATTTTGATCATCATCGAAAGCTAATCAGAAAACTCTGGAGGACAAATTATGAAGTTGTTCTGGACACGTATAGGAATTTACATGGTCATAAGGGAGTATCCATCTGATTTGTAAGATTTGGGGGGAGGAGGGAGCGGTACTAAATTTACCGAGAACCATCAAACAATCTATTCATTTTCACTATCAACGCAAAAAAATGACGTTTGGGTATTTTCCCCAAAACAAACTACTCATTTTTTCACCATTGTCAACAAAAGATTCAGTTTTTGCACATTTCTGAACAAAGTATTTATCTAACTAAAACCCTACCCACCTCCCCAACCCAATCGAAGTCAAATGGATGCTCCCTTAAGTGATGTAAATAAGTGCTGAACATGGATTGATTACGTTTACAGTCATAAACTTGTCGGGATTATTATTTCAAAGACAATGCCATCTACGCTTTAATGACACATCCGTATCTATGACAACCTGATGACGTCACTAATAATCACATTATGCAACATGATTATTGAGAGTCAGTATTACTATTTATCCTTCATATTTTGTTTTCTTCTAAGAATGGAATTGATTGCCTTTGTACACATGTATGTTTTTTCACCATTAAAGGGGAAGTGTACACGCAAAAATCACTATCTTTCTTTTTCTAAACAAAACGCAATTTTAGAATTAGTTAGTATCTGTGTTTGAAAATATACACTCATTTTTTTCACAGTGAAAGTAGGAAGCTCACAATAGTGTGAAAATGATATGCCGTTATGAGGCCTTCGTTTTTCGAGCTAAACAGGCCTGAGTTATCCCCCTTAGATTATGACGTAAATGGTGCCAATTCAACTGGGTCCCTGTCTATTCTGAACGCAAACGATATCAAGTACAAGTTTTCGGTAAAACAACATGGCCTACGACACACTCCGGCGCAGTGGTGACTCAGCATAACACTATGCTGGCTGGCATCTGAGACGCTAGAATCACAAACCTGTACCTACACCACGTGAAGCTGCTCTAACAGAGCATGATGACGTCATAATGTTTATCAATTGGCACCAATGACGTCATATTGCAAGGGGCATAAGCCATGGTGTTTTTGTTATGGAAATAGAACACTTGGTAAATGTGAAAAATATAAATCGTTTTAATGCAAAACATATGTTAATTAATTGTGATATTTTTATATTTTTGTCTATGACACTTCTAGGTTAACACTTTTATTGTGGAAAAAGTACAAGAAAATTAGGTTCATTTCCGTGTGAACTTGCCCTTTAACGACATTGTCATTGTAGTCTAGTCTAGTCTAGTCGGTATCTAGTCGTGTACGTGTACTTTGTTGTTGTAGATATTTTCTAAACACTTACATTATACACATATTTTGAAAAAATAAACTGCTCCCTTCCAAGCTTTGATTCAATTTGAGTTGTATATACGCTTGTATTAACTATCAGAAGTACAGTGAAACCTTGTCAATTCGAACAAAAGAACCCCCTCTGAAAATTGTTTGGTTCGACATATTTCCGGATTATAGTCTCAAGTGTACGGAGTCGTTATCATTGCACGGCTAGGCACCGTGCTTTATTTGTTTTTGGTTTGAGAGAGTTGCATGGGGATGAGTAATAGATGAAAAAATGTAAACACACCTTTTAAAGAAACTTTATCTTTGTCTCAGATGTATGATATGCAGATTAATTAAATAATTATGAAATTCTTTTTTAAAACATTCTTGACTGTAAATTTGTAAATTATCATACAAAACATGCTTATGTTAGTCGGCAACAATCATCAGAGGGAGATAGACCTGTCTTAGACTGGTTTACCTGCCTTATAGCGCTTGCGCTCCTCGCCTGCACCTGCTAGGATTCGAAGGGCAGGGTGCAGTCTAGCTCTCTCCCACCTTTTTCACCATGAACATTTCGTTGTGGTGAAACGATGACCCATTTAAGCGTAGCGAGCCCTACCTGTCGAGAGGAACGGGAATAGGCCTACAGCATATTGCTATGCGGGTAACATGACCCAGGTTCCGTGTTAATCCGAAGGAAAACGGTAATACTATACTCGTTTAACTATGTATGAATTGTCCCACACACGCAGGAAGATACCCTATCAGCTGAAGTAGTGTGATTAAATGGAAAAAATGCTTGACCTCGTTCTTATCAGTTTATCATGTAGGTCAAGTGGGTAACTTGTCAAGTCAGCGTCAAGCCGTGAGAGAGAGAGAGAGAGAGAGAGAGAGAGAGAGAGACTATATGAAGGCGACCTGTGAATAAGCGAGTCTAGACCATTATGACCAAAGATCCACGCTATCAACCAAGTCATGGAGTTTGACAACCCGTTCCATTGAGGTCGCCTCTTGCGTCAAGCCATGGGGTGAAGGGGACACATTCTACAACGGGTACCCCGGGTATAACTCGTATGAATGGCATTCCGACCCTATGTGAAGTAACACTTTTACCCTTTTCCATCTGACAACTCTGTCTGTCTGTTTAAGTATAGACAGTGTGTTTTTCACTCAATACCAGGTTAGGTTATTCCATGGTCAATTTACGGTGCTTCAATCCCATTTATCTCCATGTTTACTGGAGGAGAGACAATAAGCACATGTTCGCCGCCTTGATTGCAGTGTTTGACGTATTCCAATTGCAGATACTCTATATTTTCAAATTAATCAGTATCCACCCAAAAGTTTACACATAACAGTGTTTTTGTCTTCCCGACGAAGGTAAACTAAATCTTATGTCGTCAGAATAGAAATGTCAGGTGAGGTGAAATGGGGTTTGACGTCGCGTCCAAGATTATTGCACTTATATAGCGACGTGCATGCACGTGTGTGTGTGTGTGTGTTAGTGTGTGTGTGTGTGTGGCTGTTTGTACTTGTTTGAACTGATGCCGATTTTTAGTGCTAGCCCACTGAGATACCATGCCGCAGTTTAACATGAATACCCCACTCAGACACAGTATACGGACTCCGAGCCCATTCATGCCGAGCGCCAGACAGGATAACCACAAGTACCATATTTTAACGTTTTGGTATGACGCGGCCCGGGGATCGAACCCGGGACCTTCCCGCTCTCCTGGCGGACGCTGTACCACTAGACCACGGAGGAGGTCCAGAATAGAAGGGAAGTAAGACTTTGACTGTTCACCTTGTGAATTTCAACCCACCCATTATGATCACTTGACAACAATATATTTCGATCACCATCTGTGGAGTTTCAGCAAAAGAGGTCCAGCATCTGGAGGAGACTTGATACTTTGTCAGTCCATCACTGGTCCATCACTTGATTGTCTGTTCAATGCTCCATTGTATACAAGCTACCGTCGTAAGGCAGGAGTACTGCTATGCAGTCAGACATCTAACAACACTTACTTTTTATGCAAAGTATGTGAGTGGTGGGTGCTACCGGTACAGGAGGACATGCTTACCTTTTTCGCGAACACCTGGTGTCATCACTGACGTTCAGTGAACTATTCATTTAATGCTCACCGCAATCTCATTAAAATCAGATCTAAGTTCTCGCTGCCGCTAAACAAAGATCTGATGATATCCCATTACGGGTCACGTCAGCACGACCTTTCGCGAACTTTGACCGACCACTCAAATGACTACCAAGAAGTCGATATCAGCCAATTAGAAAGCAGCTTTCTTGAGCTTTACGGCACTCGTTTCAACCTGGCGACTTTCATTTCAGACAACGCTTGAAAAATTTGTTGACACAATTCTCAATTAAAATTTTGAAAACTGAACAAACGAATATTCCTGAATGTCTAATGTATGGTTGAGATTGTATGGCAGTGCTTCCCACGTACTGTGCAAAGCCTCCTCAGTTCAAATATTTACCCCAAGGAAGCGAGAGATAGACGATACTTTTGACGGAATCAGTCGTATGGGCTGTAACTGACATTCGGAATACCCCGTGTTAACTTTTTCGAGATTGCATGATCAGAAAACATATTCCGACTGTCACTTTCATAATCTGGTAAGCGACGCTTTGATTTGTCGCGCGAAAGGTAGTTCTGACGTGACCCGTAATGGGATGTCCTTAAATCTTTGTTAAGCGATAGCGAGAACTAAGATCTGATTTTAATGAGATTGTGCTCACCGCTACCTTGCCTTTGGCCCAATAGTGTCTGTTTCAGCGGATTTCGAGACTGGGTGTTCTCTAGCGTTGACGATATATATTTATCTGACGCGATGACCTACAAAGAACTTTTGCGTATTATAGAAATACCAACGACACTGTAGGTCGCTGCGTATGCCGTCGCTGTCGTTATTGGCAAGGCGACTACATACACATGGTTTTTTTTGACACAATGGGGCAGATCATGTTACTTTCTGAAGACAACAAAATCAGATAAAAGTTTGCAAATGGTTTACTTAACCAGGGTTTTGTAAAGCATTGCCTACTATCCATGATGTCATCTGTAATGAGACCCGTTGGCCGTAGTCTTGCTTCGGTAGGCATGAATAACTTATAATTAACAGTATGTAGTCTGTACATATATTTGCGTGCATGTTTCAACTAAGCAGCATGAAGTAATATTATACAAACATAGATGAGACAACTATCGTAGATTCTCGCCAGTTCGACAGTCTTACCAAGAACGCACTATCTATACACAATTGAGTACATTGTTTTTTAAAAACGAAAAAAAAGAAACCTGCAATACAATGATTATTCTTTGTTGTTGATTGTTAATTCGTGCAAATAGTAAAAAGTAAAGCGGTTTGAATTTAATACGAAAACAAAATCATTTTAGTCATTTTTCAGCGTAGATAATGTTATAATGTGTGCACAAAGCAGGACGGTTGTGTACAACGGGAAACTGTTTTTAAAGGACGCGAATCACTACTGAAAAGAATTAAACTGCTGTCGGAAATGCCGTCTTCTTTGTAAGGGTAGTAAGGAAAAGGTTGGGTGGGGTGGGGGGTGGGGAGGTGATAATATTTAAAAATTCAACATGCTTTACTGATCCCATGATTTTAATAATAACTTTTTTCACAATAATACATTCGTGTGTATTTGTGTTTATTATATATTTTGGAGACCATGCGCATGTATTCAAAAAAGGCCAGTAGTGAATGAATGAGCTTGGTTTAATTGTCAGCTTAAAACGAGATAGGAAACTCTAGAGTAGCGTTCGGGGAGGGTGCTGACAAAGAAAGGATCATAATCAGAGATAATTTGGGATTCGAACCCACAAACTCATATTATGTTTTCATTTTGTTTATTGTTAATGCTGCAGTCAGCAACATTCAAGGCGGTTAACAGTTGAGCCTGGCACGACTAGGGGACATAACTCTGCCACTGAGCCAGATGACCATCCGTGTCACTAAGATAAACATAGTAGGCAGATGCAATGTTAACTGTGCCTTCCCAACCTTACTTATACGGAACACAGAGTGGTGTTGAGGATCCCTAGAGATATAAACAGCAAAAACTAATAACAGCAACTGAAACACTAACATATTTAAATTGTACCATTAAGCACGTAAACATAGAGTGGGGGAATATGTCAGGTCACGCTGATCGTTGTACGCCCAACTATCGGCGTATGTAAAACAGTTGATCAGAATTATACAAGACACATTTCAGAAAAGCCGTCACTGAGATCTGCTACTTAAAACAAGTAATTGTTATTTTGCTGTTGAAACCGCAGATATATTTGTGTGGTCAATACGAAAGGCCATAATTAGTTGAAAAATCAAAATACGTATCGATATAGCATATGCTAACTGCATATCAAATTACATGCATGCAGTTCGAACCGGTTAACCAATAGCAGCTGCTATGGTTAATTAATACCTGCCTGGCGGTTCATTCCCGCTTCCTGGTTGTTCTCAGCCAATGAGAGGCATGCCCACAACTCTGGCCACTATATATGAGCTATATGAGATTACCACAGGGAAACGGGGCGACACTGCAGCAAACAAAGCTAATTAGTCACTTTGTCATAATGAGGGTGGAAGGAAAATATATCCTTGTCGTACTCCTACTTTGCTTCTTACCTGAAAGAGTTACATCAGGTAAGCAAGTTAAATCAATGTGATGTGCTTTTTCTGGTATTGTATATGTAAGCGTGAAAGAGTTACATCAGGTAAGCAAGCTAAATCAATGTGATGTGCTTTTTCTGGTATTGCATATGTAAGCGTGAAAGAGTTACATCAGGTAAGCAAGCTAAATCAATGTGATGTGCTTCTTCTGGTATTGCATATGTAAGCGTGAAAGAGTTACATCAGGTAAGCAAGCTAAATCAATGTGATGTGCTTCTTCTGGTATTGCATATGTAAGCGTGAAAGAGTTACATCAGGTAAGCAAGCTAAATCAATGTGATGTGCTTCTTCTGGTATTGTATATGTAAGCGTGAAAGAGTTACATCAGGTAAGCAAGTTAAATCAACTTGATGTGCTTCTTCTGGTATTGTATATGTAAGATATCTCAAAAGAAGTTAAAGAACGCCCGATTCTTTCATATTGTCATATCTTAACTATAGCAATATGAGAAACCCGTATTCTCTTAACCTTTAAAATAAGTAGGATCTTGATATTATATTGCTTTAATATTTTTTCCAATTGGAATATAAAGTATGTGTTGGACATTTTAGGATCCTCTGACTGCGAGGTAGAGTGTTGTAGGGGGTGCGAAGTCCACTTCACTGGAAAAATAAGGTATATTTCACCACACACTTTATTTACTTGCCGCAGCATTTTTACCTTAAAGGGAAACAACTCTCCAACTCTCAGTCGTCTGGGCGGCAACGTTTAAAACTAGGATTCGGACCAACTCGTTGACAGCATACGTTTACTAAAGCAGACGGAATACATCCATATCTGGGCGTGAAGTGCCTATCTAAAAACAACATACTTTGCTCAAAGGATTAGCCGATAATACGTTGATTGATTGTTCATTATTATCTAACTCAATCGATTTTTTAAAGACCCGTGGACATCATGAACATAGTTGTCACGTGTGATATCTCAGCTGACCAATGAGACATATGACACCTATGTGAAACACCTGAAACAAACTCTCGTGATCAGTTGAGAGACGAAGACAGGTAATAATATCCCCAACGCTAAATATATATACTTTTTTTTAAATATTACATTGTAACAAATACACGTGAAATCAAACAGGTTTCTTTGTACAGCTTCAGCTGTATGGGATATTGGTCCTTTATGTGGACATTGAAGGATACATTCCCCGAACAAGGTGAACTGGCTGATATTATACATATAACTTGTGGGTTGTAATTATGAGATTTGCGTTTTCTTTTCTTTCATTTGCTGTGGCAAGAATGCGCGAGACCTTAACGGTGACTGATCAAATTGTTCCATACGTAAAACATATCCGGCAATAGATGTCAGTTGTTCAAAAGTGCTATACGCTTATGGTTATTATTATTTTAAATATATAAAGTAAACGTTAAAACAAAATAAATTCGATATGGGAACATTTCTGATAAAATAAAAAGTTTCCGATACAATTCATTCGATCACTGCATCAAGATTCTTTGAAATTATATTATTGGGTATTTTTTAACCGTATCTCCTGTATATTGGTGGAAAAAATGCGTACAGCTGATTTATATTTCCGGCTTACTTTACTAGAAATTACACGTGGTAATCTTTATTTATGCAAATAAAACAATGCCTAGCAGAACGGAAAATACAATTTAAATGGTAAATCATCATGCGTGGTGATAATTTATCTCAATTTTCACATTTTGATTTACCAAGTTTGTTATCACCTGTCCGTTTGCCTGAATTCTCTGAAGGGACAGAATGTAGACTTGTTTTATTGTACAAAATATATGTTGACCGATAGCTTCACCCATTCAATTGGGTATGCACAGAAACACACAGTTTGACTGCAGTTCTCCATTGTATACCTCTGTAATCATATACAGCTTCTCATTCTCGCGCAACGCAACGCAACGAAAATAGCGCCGAACACAAGTCAAACCAGTAAAAAGTATAGTCCATAATAAGCAATTTTGAATCCGCGAAGAAAAAGCCGATCCATATGTCAAGACTTTCAGACTTGGAGTGTTGTTTCCCTTTAAATAAAATACAAAAATAAAGTGAAAAGTTAAAGTATTATGTGAAATCTGATTAACGACGTTTGTCTATATTCCATCAGCAAATAGTTATTGTAGTACACACAAGTCTGTTACGAGATCGAAGTTCAATTGGAAACCTTTCTTCACAGCTAATTATTGTTATCACTGCATCATCTCATGTTGTCACAGCAAGAAACATGCGACCCTCACCGAGCGGAGGTCTCGCTCCAGCTCATACAGCACGTCCTGTGGCTTCTGGGCGTGGGGCTCCTGCAGGAAATACCGGTAAGGATGAGGAGTACGCTCATTCGTGACCAACTCGTGTTATTCCGGGACAAGCCGAATAGCGACTCGTGCCCATCTCATGGCCATTTCTGCGACCGGGTTCCGTCTTAGCGCAAACGGGCATACCTAAAACAATTGTCAACTCGTTGAGTAATGGTTCACATATATTTCCCCATATATTATATATATTTCAGATGCAATTTAAAGCACATCGGGACATGCGGAATTATACAGTATGATTGACCACATTTAACTGTGTCTTGGGTATATTTTTAGATGCAAGACATATGTTAAACCAAAAATTGTTTCTGAGGGATTCTTTGACGAAGAAATTGAAATCATACGCGCATTCTGATTGGTTTGTCGTATTTTCGCACATAACATTCATCGATAGGGGGACGAGTCCTCTTGCAGGTTACGGAAAGGGGCGAGTGGTGACGAATGGAGTACGCTCTGAAAGTCCCATTCGTCACCACTCGCCCCTTTCCGTAACCTGCAAGAAGACTCGTCCCCCTATCTATGAATGTAATGTGCGAAAATACGACAAACCAATCAGAATGCGCGTTTGATTTCAAGTTCTTCGTCAAAGAATCCCTCAGAAATAATTTCTGTTTTTACATATGTCTTCCATCTAAAAATATACCCAAGACACAGTTAAATGTGTTCAATCATACTGTATAATTTCGCATGTCCTGATGTGCTTTTAATTGTAAATATAAATGATATATGGGGAAATATATGTGAACCATTGCGCAACGAGTTGACAATTGTTTTATGTATGCCCTTTTGCGCTAAGACGGAACCCGGTTGCAAAACTGGCCACGAGAGGGGCACGAGTCGCTATTCGGCTTGTCCCGGAATAACACGAGTTGGTCACGAATATGAAAGTCCCTGTATATATAATACGTGTACATTATAGGCTCGAGTATGCTACACGTCATTCGTTTACTTCGTGTATCGATTCATTTATTAATTGTGAAACACAATAAAAAATATGCATAATGAGTTTTCTGGCCATCGTGTTACACTTTTATCCTGCTGTTATTATTTAACCTTCTCGTTTTATTTATTTATCTGTATTCAATTGCTGTTATTGTTAATCCATCACTTACCGAATATGTTCTGTACCACGTTCATTATTCAGTCTGGGGGCACGGGTGGCCAGGTCGTCTAAGGTGCCGCGATTCGCTGTGCAGAGTTGCGTCCCTTGGGCACGCCAGAAACCTATGATTGTGGGTTCGAATCTCGGTTCGCCCCGATTATGTTTTAGGTTTGTCAGCACCATACCCGTGCTCGTGGGTTTCACCGAAGTGACCTGCATCACTTCGGGCTTTCCTCCCACATTAAGCTGACACGCCGTGATATAACTGGAATACTGTTAAAAGCGGCGTTAAACCCAACTCACTCACTCACTCACTCATTATTCAGTTTTGCTTGGCACGGGTATAAGGATCTATACTGAGACGTCGCTTTTACAGTAAAATAAAGAAGTTGTTATGCATAAACTGTGCCTACTTTCTAATAATCAAAGTTCTCATCCCTTTTACTTACAAGACCTTCATGTTTTACGTTATGTTCCAGTCGGCAATACTACATCCACACGGACTACAAGACACTGTATTACAGCACCGTAGGGATGAAGTGTGACCCGAGCTGTCAATGTACCGACAGAGTTTCTATGCTCCCACCTGCTATATCTGCTGCCTCCAACTCAACAACATCCGGCGGAAAATAGTTCCATCTCTCCAGCCTCAGACTGAAAGCGGTTATCACCCCTCTCAAAGTGGACCCTTCTCCCCAAATTACGACTTGAAGTAGTGCTTCTCTATAGGTTCCGATTTTACGCAGTTCCATATCCCTCTCTAACAGCCAACTCTCGAAACTCCCGACTTGGTCACCTGAACGTGCATGCAATCATTAGTGTTTTCACACACCGCGGAAACCCACAGCTGTCTATGTAATGTTAATGCAGCAAACAGATTCATATCAACGTTTACATTTGTGCATGCGCTGTCATTTAAGGTCGAAGTACAACGAAGCTTCAAATTGAGACTAAAAGAGATAAAAAAAGAGAGCTAAAATCTCCGAGCTTGTGTTTGGTTTGTAACCAAAGTCAAGTAGAAAAATTCTCACAAAATATTCTGTAATGTACTTGATAAATATAAGATTATATTTGATATTTTTTAAATTTTAGTAGTAGTAGTGGTAGTAGTAGTAGTAGTAGTAGTAGTAGTAGTAGTAATGCACGGTTTCTATTGAGATAGAATCATATTTTCTTTCTTTGTTTGACTTTTTCTGATTTCAGTGTTACCATGGGCACTTCATGGTGTTACGTCCACACTTGATGTTCCAACTATCTCTAATACAGCTACACTGTTTCTTTTGTTTTGTTGTAATCTATTAAAGATATCTTTTGTTCAAGTTTGAATCATATCGTCTTTCTTTGTTTGACTTTTTATGATTTAAGTGTTTCGTCTACACTGGATGTTCCATCTATCTTTAATCCAGTTACACCGTTTCTTTTGTTTTGATGGAATCTTTTAACGATATCATTTATATCACACAGAAGATGAAACCAGCACCTAGACTTCCCTTGGCAAACGTGTACCCCAGCCTATATCAAAGCCTAGTTTCTACCCTTGCCACATCAAGGCAATTTATCTTGGCTCGACCCTGGCGCCATCTCGCGTGCAACACGAGTTGTGACCCTTGTAATGAAAACGCAATATCCAATCAAATCGCTGGTCTTATCTCGTATAGCTTCCCAAAGATGGCGACGACCATAGGCGACGACCTAGTCGATTAGATACAGAAAAGATTTTGCGATTTCACCCCTGACACAAAATCAACGGCAATCGTTAGGGGGTGGGGGTAGGGTGGGGAGGTGTGTTTAAAAGATGGAAGAGACATATTCATGTCAACAAAGACAGGCAGCGGTAAATCACTTTTATACTAAGGTGTACCAGTCGTAGATGTTGATTTGGTGAAACGTTCCCTGATTGGACTATCGATAAGTGCGATTGTCCAATCATATTTAGCAAAGAAAAGTGGGCTTGATGTGGCAAGGGTCGAGACAAGACTTGTATAAACAGGCTAGTGGACGCTTTCGCCTGCGGAAGATGAACTTAGCATAGAACAGTACATCAGTTATATCATGACATGTCAGCTTAAATGTCTGAGGAAAGCTCAAAGTGATACATTTCGCAATGCTAGCATGAAGTAACATTCTTACCATTCAGACAAAGGGCGGTAGGGTGGTCCAGTTGTTTGAGCCTTGGCTCGTTACGTTAAAGACGTGGTTCGATTCCTAACAACGTCCCATTCTAGGCGATCTCCTCTGGATATTGCTGGAATATTGCAAAAATGGCGAAACACCCTATCCACTTACATGTATGAGATTCATAACACATTCAGCTGTGACAATCAATGTACAGGAATATAACAGAAGCTTACCTCACACTGTAGAGAAGTGTACATATACACTCTACCCCTTCTTCTTGGCCAAGACCGCCTCCGTGGTCTAGTGGTAGAGTGTCCGCCCGGAGAGCGGAAGGTCCGGGGTTCGATCCCCGACCGCGTCATACCAAAAGACGTTAAAAGATGGTACTTGTTGTTACCGTGTCTGGCGCTCGGCATTGAGGGGCTAAAACAAGGACTGGTCGGCTCGGAGTCAGTATACTGTGTCTGAGTGGGGTATTCATGTTAAACTGCGGCATGGTATTCTCAGTGAGCTAGCACTATAAATCGGCAGCAGTCCGGACTAGTACAAGCAGCCACACAAACACACACACGTACATGCACGTCGCTATATAAGTGCAATAATCTTGGACGCGACGTTAAACCCCATTTCACCTCACCTCTTCTTGGCCATGTTTTTTTCAGGTTTGATACTACACTACCGTACAGGGGCGGTCGGGTAGCCTAGTGGTTAAAGCGTTCGCTCGGCACGCCGAAGACACGGGTTCGATTCCCGAAATGGGTACAATGTGTGAAGCCCATTTCTGGTGTCCCCCGCCGTGATATTGCTGGAATATTGCTAAAAGCGGCGTAAAACCATACTCACTCACTCACTACCGTACATTGATAATATTAGACTGTGAGTGATTAAAGCCAACTTCAAGTATGTTTAAATCTCACGAAGATAGAATTACCTTATTTATAGAATTATGGTGAGTGAGTGAGTTAATATTTAACGTCACATCGGCAGTATTTCAGCCATATCGTGACGAAATATAAGACAATTTATTCAGTATAGAGGCCAGTGGCCCAAAATACAGACATATAAAGGTTTCACTTCTGAGCGCTATTTTGCATCCACACACACACACACACACACACACACACACACACACACACACACACACACACACACACACACACACACACACACACACACACGATATATAGATATAGATATAGATATATATATATATATATATATATATATATATATATATATATATATATATATACAAATACCGTATGTAGCATTCTTGGAAAATAGGTAAATTAAGTGGTATTTTAACATATTTCTTATTTTTTGCACATTGAATAGGTATACACTTATTGTTAGTGTATTTTGAGTCTTCATAATATTTATGAATATGTTAACTGCACTTTCATTTCTGATGTATTTAATAATTTACTTTTTTTCTAATAGAGGTATATGCATCACATACAAGCCATATCGTGACGAAATATATAATAATTGAACATCCAGTTGACATATTTTATGGTTCCATTGCAATTTCTTTCTCTTTTTTGGGGTCATAATTAATGTTTCTACCTTCTGAAAAAACGTTTCTTTATTCTGGAATTAAAAACTACTATTTTGTATGATTTAATATCCACAAAATGTATTTACCCATGTCATGATATACGCTTGCAGTGTCTTGAAATATTTCTGTTTTACGTTATTTGAAAATACAGTAATGAGAATGTCATAAACACTTTGTTCATTCCTTTATGAATTTAGACTAGAAATACGTTGCTGATAAGGTAATAAATATTTTAAATGTCTATGGAATATTGTGAGGGACAATCTTGCGATCTTGTAATCCCGCATCTTTTGCACATTTAGCTGGTTTCCAAAGATCGAGAATGCGAAGATGTTCTTGACATTATTCCTTACATGTCAGCTGTACAGCACGGGCAGTTGCAGAACTACCGTAATACATTAGCTTAAGACGCATTCACTAGAAATTCTATTGTCCCAGTGCCATGATTTGTTTGTATGTTGTTTGACGCCGCACTCAGCAATATTCCAGCTCTATGACGGCAGTTTGTAAATAACCGAGTCCGGACCAGATAATTCAGTGATTGATATCATGAGCATCAATCAGTTGGGATCCGATGACATGCATCAACCAAGTCAGCGATCCTGATCACCCGATCCGGTACATGAAGTTTTGTCGACTCTGACAACAATCATGGCTCAGCGCAATGAGTGAGTGAGTGAGTTAATGCTTTACGTCACATCGGCAATATTTCAGCCATATCGTGACGGGCCCAGCGCAATGAAGATCGAGCGTTCACAGCATGAGCTATGGCTGATTTGTGTCGTGTGAGTGAGTGAGTGAGTTTGGTTTAACGCCTCTTTTAACAGTATTCCAGTTACACCACGGCGTGTCCGCTTAATGTGGGGGGAAATCCAGAAGTGACGTAGGTCTTAGACGTTTACCACCTCGGTGAAACCCACGAGCACGGGTATGATGCTGACAAACCTAGAAACATAATCGGGTCGAACCGGGATTCGAACCCACAGTGATAGGTTTCTGGCGTGCCCAAGGGACGCAACTCTTAGACAACAGGGCCACCGATCAAATAGCAGTGATACCAGGTGTTCGGGAAAAGATGAGCGTATCCTGCTGCTACGGTGACACACCTCGCAAACACCTGCAAAGGCTAGTCAAATTGTTCACCAACAAAAACACAGGAACAAATGGTATAAGTGAAAATAAGGAATTGCATCGGACATCATTTTTGTCACTGATGCGTCAAATTTGGAAATGTCCTCAACATATATTCCATAAAATTTATTTGAAAGCTTTACTTAGGCCTTTAATGTTGTAACCTTGATCAATCGACTTTTGAAAAAAAATTGTGTGCCACTCTCTAAAATCTTGGTAGAAAGAGCTTGCTCGAGTTTACCTCGAAAGTTGTAAAATGTAGACACCCGGGGCTGGAGCTGCTGAGATATAGTTCGGCGTAAAGGGACTGAGTGAGTATGGTTTTACGTCGATTTTCGCAATATTCCAGCAATATCACGGCGGAGGACACCAGAAATGGGTTTCACACATTTTACCCATGTCGGGAATCGAACCCAGGTCTTCGGCGTGACGAGCGAACGCTTTAACCACTAGGCTACCCGACCGCCCCTACATAAAGGGAAAGATGATTGTTTGAAAGTTGAAGTCATAATTCTTGCCATACAGTCGACAATTTTGGCACTCTAAATCTTTATACATAGATCTAAATATGAAACAGACGAGGCGGCCTCACTGGAAGTGAACTGATCATTTGATGGTTATCGAATAATATAAGCTAGTCGGTATACCTGATATGCCAAATTAACTTGTTTTGATTTTGTCAATCAGAGCAGAAATTACTGTCCATATGCATCTAAAAACAGATCAGCAAAAAGGGGGTCACAATTGGCTCCAATGTCTTTATGTCTTTATGCCTACTTGTCTTTATGTCTTATCCCCAAATTATGCATAGATGTTATCAACCAGTGAGTGAGTGAGTTGGGTTTAACGCCGCTTTGAACAGTTATTTCAGTTATATCACGGCGTGTCAGCTTAATATGGGAGAAAAGCCTGAAGTGACGCAGGACTCGGACGTTTACCAATTTGTTGAAACCCACGAGCACAGGTATGATGCTGACAAACCAAGAGGCAGAATCGGGGCGATCCGGAATTTGAACTTACTTTCATAGGTTTCTGGCGTACCCAAGGGACGCAACTCTGCACAATGAATTGCTGCGCCTTACACGACCAGGCTACCTGTGCCCCGTTATCAGTGAGGAGATCCAGCATTTCACATATTGTTTTCTTAGTAAATCATGTCAATTGCTTTTGTTTTTGATAAATTGTCCTGAACCTCTGAAGATAGATATATAACTATATTACTCAAAGTTTGCTAGGTACAAAGTTTTCATGATATAAAAAAATCATCAAACCAAAAAAAAAGATTGAAATGGACAGAAGACAGGTTTCTCCTGAATGCAGCAAGACGTCATCACTGTGTGACTGCGACCACACTTAGAACGCCAGTGGCTTTAACGTTTCTACTCAGACAGTGCGTAAACGTCTCAATACCTTGGGAGGCAACTCTAAATGGGTTTGTTGCTAAGGATAGAAAAGTTGTTCTGGAGAAATGGAAAACTGATTATTGCTCATTGTATAATGCAGATCCTACTGACTCGTTTGATGAATTATTTTATGAAAATATTTTATATGATGTAAATAGCACCTCTACTAACCAACAGCAATATGACGTTAGCAGTCTGAATGCTCCTGTAACACGGGAGGAGCTAGTTAATGTTATTAACCGTACTAAGCTTGGTAAGTCCCCTGGTATTGATCAAATCCCAGCTGAGGCATTGAAAAATAACACATGTGTTGCTCTATTACTTAAAATTTTCACTTACTGTTTTGAGTATAATACTTGTCCGGACACTTGGCAAAAAAGCATGGTAACCCCTATCAAAAAGCCAGATACTCTCGCCGACGATCCTCTCAGTTACCGTGGTATATCGTTGATATGTATCCCGTGTAAACTCTATTCTGACTGATTAAATCTCCGCTTTACAAAATGACTGAACGACAACGAAATTCTTGCAGAAGAGCGAAATGGCTTTCGCGCAAAAAGGAGCACAACTGATCATCTGTATACACTTTACTCAGTCATTAACAATAGAAAGGCAATTAAGAAATCTACTTTCATGTGTAACATTGACGCTATGAAAGCTTTCGACCGGGAGAACCGTAACTGTCTGTGGTATAAACTGTTAAAATTGGGTATTGGCGGAAAGTTTTATTTTGCAGTTAGATCGATGTACGAAAAAACTAAGTCGTGTGTGTCGGTAAACGGTCATCTCACAGACATGTTCCCCGTATCAAGCGGCGTAAGACAAAGGTACGTCTTATCCCCCACATTATTCTCCGTATTTATTAATGATTTGGCACATGAAATGAACAATCTTCACTGCGGTATAGACATCGACGGTACAATGCTAAGTTTATTATTATATGCGGACGACATTGCACTTATAGCCCCTGACGAGCGCCCTCTCCAATCTGTGTTGGACTGTGTCGCGGACTGGTGTGAAAATCAACGTAAATAAAACTAAGATCGTTCATTATAGACTTCCGGTTGTCGCAAAAACTACCTATTTGTTTAACTGTGGTGAAAGTTTGACTGACATCGCTCCGAGCTATAAATACCTCGGGCTTTGATTCCAGGAACATCTCGACTTAAATTATACCGCAAAAGAAATAGCTAAATCCGCGGGTAGAGCGCTCGGCGCTATAATTAGCAAATTTAAAGTAATGGGTGGATTGCCGTTCGAGGTTTTCAAAACATTGTACGATAATCTGGTTCAACCGGTGTTATCCTATGGTTCTGCTATTTGGGGTAATCGTGAGTTTGGATGTATTGTCAACGCGCCTGCTGACGGGGAATTAGCTCTTGGGGAATAAAGGACAAAATCGACATCACTGTCCCGGAACGCTTTATGCACAACATGTAAACAATAAACAACAATTGCACAATGAGCGGAATACCTGCTCTGACAACACAAACACAGCGATGAGCGGACCTTCCAGCTCAGGCGTACAAGAGGTGAGCGCATCTCCAGCTCACCTCAGGGCGTTTCCTACGAGCGGCACATCCTGCTCGAGGTCGTCCCTACACCAGCACTCGGAATACCAAGCCTGACTAACACCCTAGTAACTGTGTAATGGTAGCACATATATAGTACTGAACAATGGAAATACAATGACGTTGCTCTGGACAGCGGACTTCCGGGGGTGACGTACCGACACAACTCAGGGGATGAACAATTAAGGCAATAAATGTCATACTATAAATAACAGTAATTAACGGGAAGTGATAAAGTAGCCCAGGTTGGCTGTCAGTCAATATACAATGAAATGTTGGTGAGGATTAACAACGGGGATTAGCGCCTAAAACGTAATGACAATTAAGTTATGGAGACATGGCTACAGGGTAATTTGCCTATGGAGTCAAATGTACTTCAGACAATGGTAGTCATAAATCAGTCGCTATGACAGTATTAACGCTGTCCAAAATAAAGCGTACTTGGCAACTCGCGCAGAAATGGGGTGGCTATCACCTCTTACGAAACAAAGAATCGATATCTCACGTTTTTGGTCAAAATTGAATAATGCAGCCCCCAAACGTTTGATTTGCCTCATTAAAACCTGGTCAAGAAAATTCAGTAAATCCTGGGATAACGCTGTGCTAAACATGCTTAATAGTGTACAGCTTCTTGGTTTAGATGTTTATAATGTCTCACCGAGAGATTTACATATTATTAAAGAAAAACTGATTAGTATTGATGGTGAAAGGTGGCATAGTCCCTTATAGAATGATTCTGGTCAGCCTAACGGTAATAAACTCCGAACATTATTTAAGAACACGCTTCATACTTCCTTTTATGTCTACAATAACTGGAACAGGTCAAACCGTAGCTGTTTAGCTAAACTTCGTTGTGGCACTCTTCCGTTAGAAGTAGAAGTTGGGCGATTCATTCCCTATAACACCTCTGTCAGAACGTACCTGTAAGTTTTGTAACTTAGATAGAGTTGAGGACGAAACGCACTTTTTAGTTACTTGTGATCTTTATTCAGACCTAAGATATAACTTATTCCATCAAGCGTCTTTAATTAACCTATCGTTAGTGGCTATGACTCCTACTGACCAACTCGCCTTTCAATGCAATGCGATGAATTATCGGCAAGCCTTGCCGCTTTAGTGAACCGGATGTTTCAGCGTAGAAAGCATTATTACAATAACTAGTAATATGCCATAGGCACGGGCGCACGCCGTCTGTCTCGTATTGCTATGACTGTTGCACATGTAGTTGTATCTATCCATCGACCCCTTAATAAAATATTTTCTTCTTCTTCTTCTTCTTCGTCTCAGTGAGGCTGGTCTCCGGTCACGGAGGGCATGCATTCGCATTCCACTGACCCGACATCACAGGCAGGCACGTTTGGATTGGGCTGAAGAACACGTCAATTGGACAGACTAAGACTGGGCCAAAGTACTTTTCAATTATGAATTGAGATACTGTCTAGACTTCACAGATCTGGTGCAATCGGACCGGACTTCTAATGGACGAAAACGCACGGCCTCATCGTGTTTGGGTCGTTGATGCTTAGTTAGAGCAGGAGACAAATGTCCGCCTGGAGTGGCTAGCCCGGTCACAAGACCCTATCAAACGTTCATTTGTGCCTCGTCACTTAATCATCACTCGTTAAAATCACGAAAATGTTAACGCGATTCATAACAAATGAACAATGTATTATGACTCTCAGAGACATGTTGAAGAGTCTTCCATATACCTTTCAACTTTTCACCACGCTGACTTGGTTGATGCATGTCATCGGATCCCAATTGCGTGGATCGATGCACGTGATATAAATCTCTGGATTGTCTGGTTAGACTCGATATTTACAGACCGCCGTCATATTGCTGAGTGCAGCGTTAAACAACAAGCCAACCAACTTTCTTGTATGCAATATGGCTATTGTCATGTGTTACTCCTACAGGTTTTATTTGGCCACGTTGAATTAGTCAGTCTCATAGTAGATTGCCACTGAAATTGTCAACTTTTACTGGTTCAGACCAATTGGCTGCCCAGCAAAACTGAAACAAGTGAAACAAAACCCGAGTTTAAGATGTATATCAATCTGAGTGCTGCGTTAAACAACAAACAAACAAAAACCTTGTCACCACATGCGCTCTCACTGTGGTAACTGCTGTGGTGTGAAAGTGTGTCGGACAAATAATGTCATGCACAGAAGGAAGATGAAACCACACCAGGCAGGTATCTCCCAGACCTGAGTCATTTGTCATTTGGCGTTTTTACAACCCAGTCAAGAAGCTACTTGTCTATAGTGTAAAGGATAACACCGATGACTGTGATGGCCACCAACTTTCTATTGGCACTTCTAGGTAAGTACAAGACGTGAAACTTTACCTTGATATACTGGCTCAGCTCCATAGGGACGACTTGGCCTAATCGACAGGGTGTACTATAGCAAATAATATTTTATGTACATCTTAATTCTACATCTCTATTACTGAGATCAACACAGCTGAGGAATGCCTACCCTAAACATACATGACAGGCAAATACTATGTATAAGGCATGATACTCAATAGTACGAGGGGCGGTCGGGTAGCCTAGTGGTTAAAGCGTTAGTTCGTCACGCCGAAAACCCAGGTTCGATTCTCGACATGGGCACAATGTGTGAAGCCCATTTCTGGTGTCCCCCGCCGTGATATTGCTGGAATATTGCTAAAAGCGGCGTAAAGCCATACTCACCCACTCACTCAATGGTACGAAACCGAAATTTGTTCATATGCATATGTGCGAATTTACTCTGGGCGGTACAATCTGGATTAACGGGGTTCCACTATATTTCTAACTCTTTCAAATGCGTGCTGATTTTATTTCCAAATCGACTGCAAGGGAATACATTCGAGATTATGTTTTCATTCAGTGCTTTCATTCGTAATATTCTATGGCGATCTTCAGCAGTTGAACTATCTATGGCCATCTGTTGCCCGCCGAAGAACCACTGCGCCGACGACGTCTGTCACAACACCGGCTTCTGTAAACATGGATGCGAAGAAGGCTGGAACGGACCGAAATGTGACACCCAGACTGTGTGTCCAAACTGTCAATGGGGGCACTGCAACAAGGCGAGAGCGTGCACCAGCGGCTGCCTCGCTGGTTTCTATGGTGACACGTGCAACAAGACATGTCACGAGCACTGTAAAAATAAATGTGACTTCAAGACCGGTGTCTGCTTGGGAGGCTGTACACCAGGATGGTATGGACCATACTGCGGAAACAAATGTGGAGAAGGTTGTATCCAAAACTCGTGTCATCGGTGGCACGGCAAGTGTCAGTGCCGCTCTGGATGGTTCACAGAACGTTGTAACCAGGAATGCTTTGGTTGTCTCGGTAGGGTCTGTGATCATCACGACGGTAGGTGCAGGAGAGGATGTAGAAGTGGCTGGACAGGGGCCGCGTGTTCTACCAACATGTGCGTGAACTGTGTCAACAGCGCATGTCCGTCATGGACATCCGGTGCGAGATGTCATGGCTGCGTTTCCGGTTACCGTGGTCGAACGTGTGAAGTAAAATGTGCCGACAACTGTGCCATCTGTTCACAATTCGGCAACACGTGTCGTGAGTGTAAACTGGGGTCATCTTGTAACACCGTGTCAACAACCAAAGTTTCGTCAACCGTTACCAGTTACGGGGTCTCCAGCAGCAACAACACAGTGACGTCAGAGAGTAAGACTCCAGTTCCCAACACGGGACGTTCAAATGTGGTCCAACATGAAGCAACAGGGTGGGATGCATGTGAGTTTGAAATAGTTTGTGACATTCATACATCTATCACGGACATAAAAAATTGTAAATGATTCCATGACATTTGAGTGGCTAACCAAGTAATTGTTTTCCGTTTATGTTTCAATAGACCGAAAACAATATGCCGATAATGGGCCGTGTAGTGCCGCCGATTTCGTATCCTTGTCTACAGTTGTTTGTTTATTGCTTAAACGAGCAGTTTGTGAAGTTATTTTTTTGAACTTATTTATTTCTAAAAAATTCCTTCAATTTATTGTTGTTGCGTTTATGGAGGTGTAAGTGTAATAGAGTATATCCGAGTTTTTATCAGACAATCAGGAAAGAGAAATTCGGTACTGGCCAACATTTTTTAAGTTTATGGAAACATAAACTTTTAAAAAATCGTTTGGTTAGCCTATCAACTATCACTTTCAATTAATTAATAAACCTTAGAATGAATATATAATGTGTCAGCAGACAATCACCAATCCAAACAGCCGGTTCTCGTTATCTAGGCTTCCACTATGTTTGCTTGCTTGTTTGTTGTTTTACGCCGCACTCAGCAATATTCCAGCCATATGACGGCGGTCTGTAAATAATCGAGTCTGGACCAGACAATCCAGTGATTGACATCCTAAGCATCGATCCGATGACATGCATCAACCAAGTCAGCGGCCCTGACCACCCGTACCTGATAACAATAATCTAAATCGGAATGGGCGGGTGGTTGTTTTTTGTGTCAAATGTAGTATAATATCAGAGGGAAGAGTAGTTCAAGGTCAGTGATAGGGTTGTAGGTATAGCCTAGTGGTTAAAGTGTTCGCTCTCCACGAACGAGACCCGGGTTCGATTCCCCACATGGATAGAATGTGTGAAGCCAATTTCTGGTGTCCCCCGTCGTGATATTGCAGGAATATTTAGGCGGTCACTTAATCGAAAGGTCACGGTGACATATTATACATTAAACACATTTCGTATTTTAGACTCCTCTTCCGCGATCAGAAGGACTAGTTTCATTTTCGCTTGTATCCTCTTGGCCTTTGGACTGTTTCTCACAGCATGGTGTGCCCAGCAAACGTGGTATGTTGGATGTTTAAATAAAGAGTGAGTGAGAGTTAACGCCGATTTTAACAGTATTTCAGTGATACCACGGCGTGTCTGCTTGATGTGGGAGGAAAGTCCGAAGTGACGCAGGTCTTTGACGTTTACCACTTTGGTGAAACGAACGCGCACGAGTAGGTTGCTGACAAACCTAGAAACTTGAACATGGCGAACCAGGATTCGACCCCACGATCATCAGTTATATGCCTGAAGGCCTCAATTGCGGCGCCTTCGACGACTGGGCCACCTGTGCCCGCGGAAGTTTATATAGTGTGTGAGTAATGTATCATCACCAGGATGAATTTGGGATGCGAACCCATAACCAGATGATTCTGCCAGTTTGATGATGATTTCAATAATCCCAAATAATTGAACATGCTATCCTGATTTCAAAGAAAATTGACATCTCCCCTTCATCCGTTATGATGTACCGTTAATATGTCATATAACGTGGCATGCTTGCATTTTGGCCAGTTGGAAATTAACAGGAACTGTTCTGCTTTAGTTCAGGGTAATTTTACAATGTTGTTTAATGGTTGTACTTCCTTGAGGAAAATATATCTCTCGCTAAACATTGATGAGTCACTAATTCTCCCTTGTTTTACTTTTAAATATAAATACATCTCTGTACACATGTGACCCTTACAGAGAAACCCCGTTATTTCAGTCACTGTTAATCCGCAACCATGTCTTTCGACAGATTACAGTTGCGCCTATATGTAAACTAATCATGGGAACGTGTCTACGTACTTAACATTCGTTATTCCGGACAAATTCACGATCACCGTCCGTATTAATGGGGTTTACTCTATGTTTCAGGAGACTATCGCAGATGAAACCAAATAAACGAACGGGTTTGGATTATATCTACTCTGTGAATAACGCACAAAGGCATTCTCAATCCGGATTAACGCATTTACATGAGGCTGACGTCTACTATGACGTCATCCACACCAGTCTTGGTGACATCAGAACCCAGCGTGATGGACGTTACCGAGACATCCCAGTTCGTTATGAGTCTTTGAGATACACGCACAGTATCAATGATAATGACCTGCAATAAAACTGGTCATTGTAGTTTTGAATGTGAATGTGGTTTATATTGCATGTAAGATTCTTTCACTTGAATTGTTACGTTAATGCATACAGGTATCCCGGTTATATTGTGACAGCTCATGATCACTGACATACCATGCCGCAGTTTAACACGGATACCCTACTAACTCACATTATACTACTCCGAGACTACGAGTCCTTGTTTTATCCGCTTAATGCCGATTTCCCGGCACGATAGGATACCAACAATTTACGGGATTCAACCAGGGTCCTTTCACTCTTCGGGCTGACACTCTTTCCACTACACCACGGAGGCGGTATATTGTTTTTAAAGCGTCACAAATAGCGTTACATTGAGTTAACGTCTCATTAACGTTGTAACTACAAAATATATTAGCTTGTCTGTGAAAAAACATCGATATATCATAAACATAATTTTATTCCTGAAAATAGTGTTGTGTTATATTAGTATACTTTATATTTTCTGGCCATTGGTATTTTTTACAAGATGATGATATTCCAATGTCACACGTACATGTGCATTTACATTAGTCATGTGTTAGTCTTTATGATTATCACCGCGAACAGTCTTTCCCTGACCAGATGTGGAATCATAAAATGTTGAACTGTATCTGGATAAAAGATGGAATGGACCATAACAACATCAGTAACAACTGGACAGTGTCCTCTGCTTAACAACAACATTCACATGTTCATCAATCAGTTAACCTTTGATCGTAAACTGTTGGGTGTAACAGATCGCCCACAGTTTGCTGCAACGCTTAACACCGAGATCATGTATCGATATGTATCAATACAAAGAATACACAAACGTACACATAAGGGTGACTCGAAAGTAATAATTCGTGTCGTGCCAGGATAACACTGATCGTTGTTCGTTATGTCAACCACTGGTTTGCCAAGCACATCCTTTTTACAGAAAGCCGCATAAAGCTTCGATATAACTGCTGCATAATGCAAGATTCACGATTGATTATGTAGTCCGAGACGTATGAATCAGGTCCTTCAAACAAGACGTTACTGGTATGCTGGGTTAAAACCCGCCGTGATATTGCTGGAATATTGCTAAAAGCGGCGTAAAACCATACTCACTCACTCGCTCACTCACTGGGTTAAAAATAAATCATTTACATACTTAGGCGTCTCCACTTCACAAAACATTTAGACCAAGACTGAAAAGTGGTTCTAAAAGACAGGGCCTTGTCTTTCTTCAGTAAACCCGCACGGACAGCGTCATCGTCCTGTCGTCATGATGTCACATGTACACATGTTTTATTAACTCACAATCCAACTCGCTTCTTGTGCGAGTGAGCAAGTGAGTTTGGTTTTACGCCGCTTTTAGCAATATTCCAGCATATAACGGCGGGGGACACCAGAAATTGGCTTCATACATTGTACCCATGGTGAATCGAACCCGGGCCTTGAAAATATGCAGGATAAAAGTTTGTAAAGGCGATGGCATCAGGATTCTTCTTTAACGTTTGCTGTAACATCTACCTCTCCTATGATTCGATCAAACACCTTTCATACATTCAGACAGAAGGGTCAATGGTGAGAAACAGGGATTTCGTCAACGTAAACATCGGAGCTGCTACCTGCTTTTCTTTTTTATGGCCAACTGATCCAGCAATTTTGGAGTTCACTGCCACCAGATTTGTCAGAAGGTCGTGTTTGTCCGAAGCATCCGAGTCTAGAACTTCACACAGCCTCTTGATATACCAGCTACCCTGTGACCTGCTCCTGTAGCTTGCGTACCCGGGAGGGGTACAGTACCCGATGAGGAAGTCGGCCTCGTCTGCGACGATCTGAGCTTCTTCTCCATCACCTCCTTCAGCTTCTGACATCTCTCTGGGTAGTTTCAAACCAAGCATACGAGCTTTGCCTCTGTCGGCTTGGACAAAGAATATCTTGGGTTTACCTGCAAGTGATGGACATTGTCTTGCTGTGAACTCAGAAGTAATCTCAGACAAAGGCATTGACGCCCCATCAGTGCCGTAAAGGACGTTGTTATTCCCGTGAGTCAGCAGGCAGCAAATAAAGGCATCGTATCCTGAGTGATCGGTGTGTTTTGAAAACTCTAGAATACGAGCTCTAATACCGTCTGAAGTTAAATCGCGTTCCCTCACGACTACAAATCCCAGCCTGGTGAATGTTGTATACAGTTTGTCCGCATCAACCTCTGATCCTGACCTTGTTCGGAACCTTGGGGTGGAGAACTCTATGTTGTTGATGATGAGACATATTCCACGGCCACTACCTTGTCTCACTACGTACTCTGAAACATTATCAGTAAGAACTGATTGAAGTTGGTTCGAATTGAGATAAGGACACCCAATAACGATAACCACACAAGACCTCAATTAGGTTTCAATCTTTAATATACTCTTCAAAAAAAGAAACTTGACATAGATGTAAAACCACTTTTTGCCAAATATCTTAAATAATTACATTAAATGACAACCAAATAAGTCAAACAGAAAGATGATAATTCGCGAAAACACACGCAAAGCAGCTTCATCCAAACGCAACCGCCTGTAAAAAAACGTGCAGCACAGGATCCTGCATTTAGGCATGCAGGCCCCCCTGCTGAATGGGTATAAAAATCCACATCAACAGCTGTTCATACAGTCCTTATTAACGGCAGAAGAGGCGGTGACAGAATGCCAAGACTGAATGCAGCTCAACGGAACAACGCCATTGGGAGATTACAAACTGGAGCAACTCAGCAAGAAGTGGCCAGGCACTTTGGCGTATCCAGACAGACAATCTCCGCAATGTGGACCCGATACAACAACACCAACAGAGTTGACGGCAGACCAACGTCAGGAAGACCAAGGGTGACAACCCAAGTACAAGATCGATACATCCGGCTGCGACAACTCCGAGACCGCACTACCACAGCCAAGTCTACAACCCCACAGATTCCCGGGGTACGCAGAATACCAGATCAAACGGTACGCAACAGACTGAGGGAGACTGGACTTTTTTTGCACGAAGACCTGTTCGACGTCATGTATTGACCCCACGTCATCTGGCGGACCGTCTGCTTTGGTGCCAACAGAAGGTTAGATGGGCACGTGCAAGGTGGAGAAATGTACTGTTTACTGACGAGACCCGTTTCCTACTCACACGTGCTGATGGGCGCGCACGTGTCTACAGACGTCGGGGTGAACGTTACGCCCCTAACTGTGTGCAGCAGGTTGTCCCATTTGGTGGCGGAAGTGTCATGGTATGGGCCGGAATTCATCACGGTGGTAGGACGCCTCTCGTGCATGTGGCAGGTGCATTGACAGGTGTGCGTTACAGAGACTTGATCCTACAGCCTTGCGTTCTTCCTCACGTCAAGGTTCATGGCGGACAGTTCCAGCAGGACAACGCTCGACCGCATATCGCACGTGTTTGTCAGGACTTCTTACAGCACAACAACATCCAGACATTCCCTTGGCCAGCCCAGTCACCAGATTTGTCCCCGATTGAGCACCTGTGGGACGAGTTGGATCGACGCGTTCGCAGAAGGAATCCACCGCCCAATACATCTTGATGTACTACAGCATGAATGGCAGCACATCTAACAGCGTGTTATTGACAACTTGATTGCATCTATGGGTCGTCGTTGTCAAGCGGTGATTGATGCACGTGGTGGGCACAGCCGATACTGACATTTTCTGTACCACTGTGACATTAACTGTATCGTGTAACTGTATTAGTCTGTCTAGGTGACACAATTAATGTTTTGAACATTGTGTACATTGATCTTCAAACAGTGTTTCAATTATGGTTTCTGTGTCCTAATTTGAAACAATCGCAATATATTACATTTTGAAAGTCAGTGTCAAGTTTCTTTCTTTTTTAAGAGTATATATTCCACAATATCTATGCAACTTGTTCCTAGAAAAACAGACATTTTTATATCAATTGAAAATTCCTCAACATTGGAATGGACATCTTTTTTATGCGTTTTGATACATGCATTTTGTACATTTTTAGTCTCATTCAGGTTGTGGGGAAGGTAAGTGGTCAAAAAGTTCACGCGGGTATGATTACCAACATAGGACGAATGTATGAAGCCAATTCTTATTGACCCCCCAACCCCAACCCCCAACTGCACCGTTATGAGCATTAACCTACTTATAACACCACTCACTCATATTCTCATCTGTACTATTCAGGGCGGTGGGGTAGCCTAGTGGTTAAAGAGTTCGCTTAACACGCCGAAGACCTTGCATCGATTCCCAACTTGGGTACACTGCGTGAAGCCCATTTCAGATGTCCCCGCTGTGGCACTGCAGGAACAATGCTTAAAGCAGCTTAAAACCATACTCTCGCTCACTCATCAAAGCTTACCCTCATCCTCCCTAACGTGTCCGCCCTTGAGAGTCTGTGCAAGAAATTCTTCAACATCCCGCATCTCAACTTCAGATCCTATTGTAGATGGATCTTCTGACGGAGTATTATAGGGAGAATCAACCACATCGCCAACATCTTCAATTTCGTAGTAATCCACAACGTCCTGTTCCTTGGGTTTGTGTTGACAATAACATTCTAAAGAAGTTCGTCCTTCTTGTTTGAACTGTTTATGATAGTTCGGATATCTCTTGTTCAGCGCTTCAATGATATCTTCATGACTAACTTCACCGCTTTCGAGTTCTCCCCACTTGCATCTGTTTGATAGGCCCCCTCGGCACAGATCGGCGTGCAGCGATAGATGGATTGCTCTCCTCTTCAGAAGAGGCTTTGCAAGTCGATGTACCTTCACATTGGAAATTAGGTTATAACGTATTAGTGAATGAGTTGGGTTTAACGCTGCTCATAAAAGTAGTTCAGTTTTAGGATAGTGTATCAGCTGAATACGGACGGAAAGTCCAAAGTGACACAGATCTCAGACATCAAACAATAGTTATCATTGTTAATAATGCTACATCCGTAATATCATTGCCGTAATCCTATATTCTGGCTGTCATCACACTATAAAAATCTTTACATTTTCAACAGAAGTCTTCTTCACTGTCAGCTTTTCATAATCAGTCGTATGTGTAATAGTCTTCCCCTGCCCATCGAACAGGATTGTGGCAATGATGTGACAGAGGTAGGGTATTTTAGATGATTAATAATCCATATGTACCTGAACATTATCTCTAACTCTGCACGACAAGCACTGCGTTTCTTCAAAACTTTCTTCCATTTCGGACAATTTTTCTACTAATTTGGTAAACAAATGTGGATGGTCTTTCTGAAGTGCTGGTAGGAACGTATAATTGAACTCTTCCGGTGATAATTTATCACATATAATGTCCACAAAGTCTCTATTTTTGTCGCGTGCAGATGTTTTTGCTCGAATGCTCCTGTCGTCAGATTCTGACATAATGTGTTCCTGATGTAGAATGTCCAGCAGATTAGTTCCTTCAAGATCCAAATTATCTGCAAGGTCATAAAAACACTCCTTCAGCAGTTGCCTCTGGATATCGCCTCTCCCTGCAACTGAGAGTTGGTTTCGTATTAACATAAGTATAACATAAATATTAAAATAAGAAAAACATCCTAATGTTTGAAAAATCAAATATCTAAAAGCTCTAATGGCGGTATTGTGGAAAGTTCACAGCTACGAGGAACGGCTGAAAAGTTCTAAGCCTAACTACATAGGATGTAGAGAGCACCACCAACAGTTTCCATGTATTTAGTACAATACTTTCCATGCTAACAGTCAGCATTTGCAGCAAATTCACAACCAGGCAGCATATTTCTGTAGGTAGAAACGTTCCAGGTTCATCATCTCTCTCATCAGAATTTACGTAATGTTGAAGCAGACCCAGTTAATTGTGTTGAGCGATATGTAACCATGGCTGAAACAAAACAACAGTCAAAGCGTGGAAACATCTCACCGTCGCCTGAGAAGTGAGTGAGTGAGTGAATTTGATTTTACGCCACTTTTAGCAATATTCCAGCAATATCACGGCGGGGGACACCAGAAATGGGCTTCACACATTGTACCCATGTCGGGAATCGAACCCGGGTCTTCGGTGTGACGAGCAAACGCTTTAACCACTAGGCTACCCGACCGCCCCTCCTGAAAAGAATACAAAGTCTGTTCCATGAGCTGACAAGCTGTTTGCCTCGGAACCCTACAACTGGACTACAGTCCGTTTGACTCCAAATGAGAACGATGAATTGCAAAATAACTCGAAATCCAGAAAAGTGTATGAAACATCAATACGGTTCTTGACCATGAATACCCTGTACCCAACAAAATCTGATTTTTTTTTAATTTTAAGACCCATGACGGATGAGGTTCTTTAAGAAACTATCATGTAATTTTGTATAGAAATGTGTACATGACATGTAGGGGGGACAAACCGTGGAAGGCACAGCGCAAGCACGCATGCACTGCACGTTCTGTGGTAGGGGAAATGACAGAGCGTTAGAGGGGCCGTCTCATGATAATTTCAGTCGCAATCTGACTCGCTCATGCCATAGATCTCGTCGTCGGAACTGCTGGTGCCTGAACAGACTGCCACTATTATAGGTTGGACTGTTGCTGGCCGTAGTCCATCTCGTGACCAATAACGTGGCTCTATCTCGTCAACGATTGTGGCCACACAACGCCTCCATGTTTCTCCTGTTACCCGACCAAGGGATTCCTTTACGAGTTGTTCAACGTCTCGTAATTTTAACGTTGTGTTCAATCGTCCAACGTCACCCTTGACGATGCCCCATACCAACTCGATTGGATTCAGGTCGCAGTGATAAGGTGGCAGTCGTAAGACAGCGTGACCCTGACCCTTGATGTAACTGTCAACTTTATACACGGGGTCAGGTTTCATAGTTTTGATGATTTCATAGAGAAGGAAAGGTAATGTTTCTCCGTTGCAGCCAAGTAACCATGTCTCCTTTACGGTTATTAGAGGTTGGAGTCTTGCTTTCTGGATCCTGCACACTATGATACGGTGCATTGTCCATGACAATGAGAGACTTGGTAGGCAAAGCAGGGACTAATTTATCTTTCACCCACTCCAGAAATACATTGCCGTTCATTTCTGTGTGGTAGTCCTTGTTGTCTTTGGCCTTGGCTCTAAAGACGAGGTCACAGTCTGGGAGAAAACCCTGACTAGCAGAACCAGCATGGAGAACTATGAGTCTTTCACTCTTTCCCATTGGTAACTTTCTACCAGACTCCTTACAGTCACCACTGGGTACCCACTGACCGCTGGCTGTGTGTGATGCATTTACCCATGTCTCATCTAAGAAGACGGGCTCATATCCTTCTTCACGTTTCTGCTTGATGGTACGATTTTCTCCAGTTATCTTTTTGTATTTGTAACCAAATGTATGCTGCCATAGTTTGTACTTTGTAACACGTAAATCATGGTCAGTTTCAAGGTGTTTCTTCAAAATTCTTAGGGACAGGTACTTATTTTTTGAGTCTTGACTTGATCCCTCTGAAAACTGTCTAATTTATCAACCTTGCTTGGTTTTGACATGTTCCCTACCTCCTTGGCCTGACTATTTGTATCTCGTCGACTAACAACATTTTTAAGTTTCTGAGGGGACATACCAAGAGCTTTTGAAGCTCGTTTCAAGAATTTATTAATTGCATAAAAAGGCTTGGCTCTTTCTGCTTCACTTCTAAAGAAATCATACACATTCAACATCAACTGTTTAACATCTTCTGAGTAGCGCATCTTGTCATCGAATGAACACGGTCACTGTGTAGCACGTGCAGACCGTGCTTGCGCTGTTCCTTCCACGGTTTGTCCCCCTACGTGTCATGTACACATTTCTATACAAAATTACGTGATAGTTTCTTAAAGAACTTCATCCGTCATGGGTCTTAAATTAAACAAAATTCAGATTTTGTTGGGTACAGGGTATTCATGGTCAAGTACAGTATTGATGTTCCATACACTTTTCTGGATTTCGAGTTACTTTGCAATTCATCGTTCTCATTTGGAGTCAAACGGACTGTTTTGTACCTCAAAGTAGAATTCAAAGTGGACTATGTCATTGGGTGGACAATCCCTTAACCAAGAGGGACAGTCCAGCTACATAACCCGGAAATACTCTCACCACAGACACCCTCTCTCACCACAGGTCGCTGGGGTTTAAGAGATAATTATGACACGCTCTCACACCCGAACAATAAATCAGGTGGGGTAGGACACACTCTCAACGGGCGGACAATCCCTCAAGCCATGAGAGAAAGACTGGCTATATGACCTCCTTCTCCCCAACCCCTTCGCTACGACTGTCATTAATATCTGTTAAACTTTTGGAGTAACGATAGTAGCTAGGATGTCTTTGTAAAACGGGGTCCTGGTCTCACCTTCCCGAGGCAAGGGAGTTAACTGACTACAAAAGTTCAGTTTCCACCCTTGCCGAACTATGCTGGAATTCCTGGGCCCGATCGTAGTGCCACCAGTGGATATTACGAATTATGTCCCTTCTATGCTTCGCCTAAGGACCAATCAGATTCTACCTCTCGTATCACTTGCATTTGTTTAAAACAAAATGGCGGCGCCCAGTCAGGACGATCTGATCTAAAATCAGTATCAATATTGATAAAACGGGTCTTACATCGTGAAGTGCATCAAATTACGTGATCACCTAGATTAAAAACATGAAAAGATTAGGAAAATATCTGTTGACAACGAGTTGGCTGTGCACATGCTTTGCAAATCCTGCAATCGACCAAAATCTGCATGACAGTTTACGACCCGGATTTCGATTTCGCTGCGCGATTCTGATTGGACTAAGCGGTTAGTCCAGCCAAAATGTAACTCCATAATACCAGCCTAGTTCGGCAAGGGTGGAAACTGGACTTTTAAAGTCAGTTAACTCTCTTGCCTCGGGAAGGTGGCCTGGTCTATGAGGTGTTGCAGTGGAAGAATCTGATCGTCCTTGGTGAACTTACCGAATCCTGTTTGACCTTCATGAAAGTTGGCTTCCACGTCTTTTTCGGCCCTTGATATTAACCTTGCCATCTGTTTAAACTGCTTGTTTTCAGTGATCGGGATACATTCCTCTGCATACTTGAGATACCTTCGTTCTAGATTATCGAGTGACTTTTTCAAAGCTTTTTCCAATCTAACTTGAATTTTCTTTTCAAACTGTCTGGCTGCCCCTTCCACGTCGACCTGAGGACGGATTGATGCCTTCACCCTGTCATGGATGTGCTCAAGTAGTTTCAAGGTCAGGTCAGCAACGTACGTGTCACGAGTCATTGTGGTACAGCTGCAAACGTGAAGGAAGAAAGGGCGCATGTTTAATGATACAATGTAAAGACACGAGAATACGGAATCATGAGCAACAGAAGAGACATGCAGTACTTTCAAGTGAGTGACTTGGGTGTGTGCAACACAGCTTTGCAAAAATATTTCAGTTGCACGTATATCAAGGCCTCATAACTAATTGTCTAAATGAAAACAAAAACTTAACATTGGAAAGGAAATATCTCTCAACTTTCATTCAAAACAATAAAAACAATTCGCCCGACAACTTTTGTGACTTTATGTAATCAATACATGTTCAAAAGTTCAATTCATATTCATTTCGACCTTTGACTATTTTTTCTTATATATTTAAACCAAGTCATTAAATTTATCAGAGGGACTTGGCTTAGAATGGATTTCATCCCCGACTGTGCTCTTGTTCAGAGTTGCGTCCCTTGGGCACGCCAGAAATCTATGATTGTGAGTTTGAATCCCGGTTCGCCCAGCTGGAATACTGTTCAAAGCGGATTAAACTCAATTCACTCACTCACTCTTGAAACACGATTTACAGACCCATTCACACAATGGCGTCTTAGGGCAAGTCCTGGAGCGAAATTAATTATTCTCTAAAATACTTTTAGATGAGTCTGAGGAATGTATGACTTCTACGGGTACATATTTTAGATCCGATACACTCCCAACTCGCACCAGTTACACGGACAATGGGCCAGGTCACTGTGACCACGACGCGTGAAGATCCTCGTTATAGTGAATTTCAGCAAGGCGTATTACACCAGTAATGATAAGAACAACAGTTTTAACACACGTTTATATCTCAAAACATTTTATACAAAGACAACTTATTTTTGTGATTTTGGACGCAGTAGCGTGGATTTGTAAATTGGCATACATGTCAATAAATAGCTGCCCCTGACAATAGAAGTGACATAAACCCTAAACCGTATTTCTTCGATTATACGCCAGGCACTCTTAACCCCCAAGTAATTACCGGCGTTTAATCAATAAAATACGGTATGTATTATCAGCTGCACGTATGGCAAGCCGTTTTCACATTTATTACGGAATTACAGATATCTTCAATTGTCTAAAGATATCGGTATTTTATTTAAAGATATCAATAATGTTTTTAAGATATCAAAAAATAATTAAAGATATCTTAAATTCATTTCTGATATCCATAATACAATTACTGATATCTTAAAATGTTACGGTGATATGAACAAATTAGTTTGTGATATATCTAAATATATTTAAGATATCATTAAACAATTACCATTCTAGTGTACATAAATATATTAGAAATAAATTCAAGATATCTTAAATTCAATTCAAGATATCTTGAAATAAGTTATACATATCCATAAATGCATTACAGATATCTTTAATTCAATTAAAGATATCTTTAATTCAATTAGAGATATCTTTAATTAAATTCAAGATATCATTAATTCTGACCGCTACTGATATCAAAAATCCAATTAAAGATATCATTAATAATTTTGATGATATCTTTATATCAATTATTGATATCAGTAATCTAATTTAAGTAACATTATTAATGTAACATCTTTAATAATGGCAACAAATGAAGATATCAATAATTAATTATTGATATCTGTATTTAGTTTCAAGATATCAGGAATTGAATTATTGACATCATAACAAAACATGACATTTTGATATCTTTAAATCATATTTTGATATAAATAATCGAATTTAAGATATCAACAATTTTTTTCAAGATATCAGTAATACGCTTCACAATATCCTTAAATCATTTCGTGATATCTTAAATTTTATTGCAGATATCTACAATTATCTGCATTTAAGAAACCTTCAATTCCATTCAAGATATCTTCAATTCGATTCAAGATATCTTCAATTCAATTCAAGATATCTTTAAAACAATTGAAGATATCTGTAATTCCGTAATAAATGTGAAAACGGCTTGCCATACGCACGCCTATGATCACCGACAATTGCCCTATTTCCTCGATTAAAGGCAGGGTAGTTTTTATTCACGGAATTCTCATCGCCATTATCTTTGTGATTTAACAGCGGGATTAAAGAGCGCCTGTAGGCAATGCACGGGTTTTTAATCGAGGAAATACGGTAATTCGGGTGCACCTGACGGGACACTGTTAATGTTACCTATTACACGAAATAAATAAGTGAGCTCTGCTAATTTACCTTTCAGCGATATCTCTCCTGTTTCAATCTAACAAATAGTAACACATTCTCAGAAGTTGGACAACATATGACCAGCTGCGGTTATGTTAACTCACGCTTGCGGCGTGAACCTCGGACCAGGAAGTAGTGTGACGCCTCCGTGTCGATAGTAACTCAACAACGTGGATGCATTACTATCAGCACGACAAGGTGCAGTGTGACGTCATGAGTGCAGTTAGTGCAGTATAAATCGATGCATTAATCTCGCACATTTTCCCCTCTTAATTAGCATTGTTTCTACATAAAGCTAATCTTGCTCGGACTATATTAACATTAACAATGTATTCAATGAATCAGGATGCAACGAAAGAAGTACACTGGTCTTATCACGTGAATGGTAGTAGATGTAATGTCCAGTATTAACGTATCAGGAATCTTTACAACCGTCTGTAAAAAAAACTATTCAGGAAGTGCCTGTCGGTTTGTAAAGTGTAAGGAATGGGGAGCTTTCTATTCGGCCTGTAAATTGTATCTATTGGGTATATTCATGACGACCTGTAAACTTTACATATCTTGGAGCTGATAACAGGATGCGAACTGTGACAGTGGTCTGTGAAGTTTAAGTATCAGTCAGCTCATACTAAGGCCTGTAAAGTATAGGTATCAGTGAGCTCATACTAAGGCCTGTAAAGTATCAGTGAGCTCATACTCAGGCCTGTAAAGTATCAGTCAGCTCATACTAAGGCCTGTAAAGTATCAGTCAGCTCATACTCAGGCCTGTAAAGTATCAGTCAGCTCATACTAAGGCCTGTAAAGTATCAGTCAGCTCATACTCAGGCCTGTAAAGTATCAGTCAGCTCATACTCAGGCCTGTAAAGTATCAGTCAGCTCATACTAAGGCCTGTAAAGTATCAGTCAGCTCATACTCAGGCCTGTAAAGTATCAGTCAGCTCATACTAAGGCCTGTAAAGTATCAGTGAGCTCATACTAAGGCCTGTAAAGTATCAGTCAGCTCATACTAAGGCCTGTAAAGTATCAGTGAGCTCATACTCAGGCCTGTAAAGTATCAGTGAGCTCATACTAAGGCCTGTAAAGTATCAGTGAGCTCATACTCAGGCCTGTAAAGTATCAGTATCAGTGAGCTCATACTAAGGCCTATTATAAAGTTTCAGTGAGCTCATACTCAGGCCTGTAAGGTATCACAGGGCTAAGGCCTGTAAAGTATCAGTGAGCTCATACTAAGGCCTGTAAAGTATCAGTGAGCTCATACTAAGGCCTGTAAAGTATACGTATCAGTGAGCTCATACTAAGGCCTGTAAAGTATAGGTATCAGGGAGCTCATACTAAGGCCTGTCAAGCGTCAGTGATCTCATACTAAGGCCTGTAAAGTATCAGTGAGCTCATACTAAGGCCTGTAAAGTATCAGTGAGCTCATACTAAGGCCTGTAAAGTATCAGTGAGCTCATGCTAAGGCCTATTATAAAGTTTCAGTGAGCTCATACTAAGGCCTGTAAGGTATCAGAGGGCTAAGGCCTGTAAAGTATTAGTGAGCTCATACTAAGGCCTGTAAAGTATCAGTGAGCTCATACTAAGGCCTGTAAAGTATAGGTATCAGTGAGCTCATACTAAGGCCTATTATAAAGTTTCAGTGAGCTCATACTAAGGCCTGTAAGGTATCAGAGGGCTAAGGCCTGTAAAGTATTAGTGAGCTCATACTAAGGCCTGTAAAGTATCAGTGAGCTCATACTAAGGCCTGTAAAGTATAGGTATCAGTGAGCTCATACTAAGGCCTGTCAAGTGTCAGTGATCTCATACTAAGGCCTGTCAAGTATCAGTGAGCTCATACTAAGGCCTGTAAAGTATCAGTGAGCTCATACTAAGGCCTGTAAAATATAGGTATCAGTGAGCTCATACTAAGGCCTGTAAAGTATCAGTGAGCTCATATTAGAGCCTGCAAAGTATAGGTATTAGTGAGCTCATACTAAGGCCTGTAAAGTATCAGTGAGCTCATACTAAGGCCTGTAAAGTATCAGTGAGCTCATACTAAGGCCTGTAAAGTATACGTATCAGTGAGCTCATACTAGGGCCTGTAAAGTATCAGTGAGCTCATACTAAGGCCTGTAATGTATACGGATCAGTGAGCTTATACTAAGGCCTGTAAAATATAGGTATCAGTGAGCTCATACTAAGGCCTGTAAAGTATAGGCAAAACAACAAACACTCAAACCATTACATAACGTTTTGAATAATTCTAAGAGACGATAGAAAGTCTTGATTGCCGAGTCATAATGTCTTCACATGACATATAGCGTTTCTCGGCGCTGAATAACTGATGATAGTGTGCGGTCCTGCTTCGCTTCACTGACATACACACCAGATATGAGGTCAATAGTACGCGAACAAAACCCCTCTCAGGCCGCCTCACAGCAGTAGAGCCACCACAAGCCCCGCCGCCTGGAAAAGGAAAGCAATTTTACAATACGTACCGGGTATTTCGTCGCCGAAGACAAACAGGATTAACTTTCCCAGTGGTTTGCAGATTCCCAGGAAATACTGTACCTACATGTGTGTGTAAGACATCCAGCTTTAAAAGCCATGTTGCGTAGCTGACTCTAAATTTAGCAGCCGTATATTCCGAATACGAAACTACGAGTGTGCATTTTAATGAGCATGCGCATTGAGGGCGTGTGCCCTGTGCAACTTGACACAGATCTAGACTAGCGGGAATTCGGCAGTGATTAAGCAGTAAAATGCGTTTCAACGGCGAAATCTTCTACACGTAGGACATACTATTTTATAAATACTTGTAGTGACTGGTAGGGCTGGGACGGGTAACTCGGGTACCCGGGTCGGGTGGGTACTGAGTAGGACCCAGGTAGTCACGTGATATATTGTTTAATGACAAAAAGTATCTGGAACTCTATGGTTATACTACAAGTCACAAATGTTCGCATTCTTTCTGACTATGCACTCATTCCTTCTGACTTTTCATATCTTTGAATAAAGACATAACTTGAGTCAACTTCAGAGTATGCATGACCAGATTTGTAATACATGTATCTAAATACGTTTTACCAGTGCTATGAAAAAAAAATGCCCAGTGGGACATTTTGTACTATCTCTTGAGACCTACATTGGGTACCCGGGTAGGGTCGTGTAATAGGGGGTGGGTACCCGGGTAGTAAATTCGGACTCGTCCCAGCCCTAGTGACTGGTTGAACGTTGTTTTATCCGGCAGTAAGCAATAAAACATGTAAGTGATCAAGTTTGGGACAGGCAAGGAAGTTACTGATAGCATTAGCAATATAAACCATACCGTCGGGGTGCGATGGCATACAGTAATCCACGTCACAAATTATAACCACCTGATCTTCATTTTTTGTACGCTCTTTGGACAAGCTTGACCCAATTATAAACCTTCGTCAGTTACCACTCTTCCTGTGCGCGAGGGCTTTCTGTACTATCACAGTATGAGGAGTTAGGTTTCCGTTTATCCATTTTAGTTCCGGAATGTTATCGGACCGGATACTTTCTGGAAAGCCATCCAAATATATAAAGATCTGACTACATCCCATTACGGGTCACGTCAGACCGACCTTTCGCAAACTTTGATCGACCAATGGAATGACTAACAAGAAGTCGACAACAGACAATCAGAAGGCAGCTTAATCGAGCTTTACGGCACGAGTTTCAAACTGGCGACTACGCTTCGAAGTATATTTTGACATATACTCGATTAAAAAAACCTGAACAAACAGTCTGGAATGGCTAATAGCTTGTCTAGATTGTATTAATACAGACATAAAGCTCATAACTGTTGTTCGGAATACCCTGTGTGTTATTATTCGAGGTTGCACGATCAAAAATCACATTCCAACTGTCACTTTCATGGTCTGATAAGCGACGCTCTGACTGGCCAGATGAAAGGTCGTTCTGACATGACCCGCAATGGGATGACCTCAGATCTTTGTTAACCGGTAACGAGAACTTAAATCTGATTTTAATGAGATTGCTGTTGTAGGGATGGAATCTTCTGATTATTTGACCACAGTGATTTACTATACAATCGTGCATATGTATGTTTTAATAGCAATAGATTCAATACAAAGGCTAATATGTTTTCTGTCGCTTATTATTTTATTTATTAGAAAAACGATTTGGTGACATGAAGTATTCATTATTTGCCATCATTTAATGAATGATTTATAACATGAGGAGTAAATAGCAAACGTTCATCCGATGCACTCAAAGCCAAGCCAAATGAAACAAAAATGTTACATTAAACAAATTAATTGACAGATTATATATCGGATAAGATATAAAGCAAGAAGACGTTTGTATTGTTTGCATGTGTAACAAATTGACGATACCTCGGCCCACTTGCACAAAGCGATCTTAGCACTACGACTATTGTAAGCCTTTGTTAAAGTATTGGAGTTACGATCATCTTAGCGCTAAGATCGTTTTGTGCAAGTGGGCCCTGGTCATTCGCTTGTACATAAGTATATACAAAGTCAGCGGAGTAAAGATTAATTAACCTGTTATAATAATAATAAAATAATTTGATAAATTTAAAGAACGACCATAGGTGAAATATCTGAATACAAAACACACAAAAACAATATGTTTGTTTGTTTGTTTGTTTTACGCAGCACTCACCGATGTTCCTGCATTATGGCGGTGGTCTTTACATAATCGAGTCTGGCCCAGACAAACCAATGCTTAATATTATGAACAAAATCATATGGGTTCATCGAATACACATTCAACCAAGTCACCGAGTCCAACTACACGATGCATGACCCCTATAGGACAACCTAGTCTATCCCGGCATCCCCGAGGACATAGTGTAACAAATATTATACAAATAGAATAAAATACAGACCTGATTGTCTGTATGTACATTTGTATGACTGGTTGATATATACATTGATGTATTATTGACAAGTATGACATTGCAAACACAACAATTGCTAAAGGCAGACGCAAAACATGAAATGTACATAGGTATCCGTGATATCATGAACAAAGAGTGCATTGCACTGCCAACACATACAGTGCTTGGAAGATTTAATCAACTGGTGGGGGTTATCAATATAATATACTGAGGGAAACAAATAAGGGAACACATGAAAGTACACGTTCCTTTATTCTTTTCCAGGTTTCTTCGCAACCTTTGAATTGCTCTGTGGGTGAAAATCTTGAAATAAATAAAGGAACAGTGTGATAAAGTGGTGTTCCCTTATTTCTTTCCCTCAGTATATTTTGGGGTGATGGTTGGAAACAAACACATGCTTAAAAATTAACAACTGACTCTAGTTTTATTACAATTTTCATACTGGGTCGATGTTTGGCTGGAGGATAGAAATCCCTGAGTCGCATCCATAAGCTCAGTAGCATTTGTCTATGCTGAGTCAACTTTACAAGAAATGTTTTGGCGAAGACATAAAAAATGCCCCCACCCGTGTTCCATGCATGTCATTTTCAGGGCTACTTTGCCTTTCACGCCCAATTGAAAAAATGTTTCAGGGAATAATCGAGACTGGTTATTGTCTGGCGTTGACGTTGTATATTTCGAAATCTACATGACACGCACGCGTTAGGCTTCAAAAATAATTTAGCACCATGAACTCTATGGGTAACATCACTTAAAATGTTAAAATATAGCATTAAAAGTGCACTTTAACATTTAATTTAAAATTCGTTTAAACAAACGTGTTATCAATTTAACCATTAATAGCATTTATTTCCACAAGTCGAGTAACAAAGTAAACAGTTGCATACGTATAGGCAAATATGGCGGCAGGATCCGACATGATGTCATGCCGTGTCTCAGAACGAGGCAGTTGAACGACATTAGAGAGTTCAGATGTGTGGTTATCATGGTCACGTGTCACAATAGCAATAGAACGGAAATGGCCAACTGTCCGACAGTCTGATGGTCAGTGTTTCTGTTGTACGGGAGGGAGATGGGGAATATTTTCCTCCTTCAGGGTTCTCAACGGTCATCAAAATGCCAATGCTTGCATCTTTCCTCAAAGCGTCTTGGTCGTGCCACATTCGGAACTCGTACTCACTTGCTGCAACAATATAAACAGGTTTCCATGAACACTGAGGAAAATGAAACAAAAAACAATTCGCGAGATATAATAACTAAAATACTGACGAGTTCGTTCAACATGCATCACCGACGAACTGAACATCAATTATCGACGAACTGAGCATACATCGCTGAGGAACCGAATTTACGCCATCTGTGGTTATCAGATTGATTAGAAAGTTGTGTTTAACTTCAGAGCCTTGTTGTTTCTGGGAAACGATTCAAACTTGCGAGAAATGCAGTTTTACTCTAGGACAACGCCTGTAAAGGCAAAAGTGGCCATGACAGATGTCATCTACTCCGGGGAAAGCACAACATATCAGTAGGGGGGTCATTGGGGGCATGTGAAATAGTGCAATAGCAATCATTACTACTATCCTAGGTAGACGTTGGTGCTCTACCGGATAATTCTCTTATTACAACACACAAGTCCGTCTGTGGGTCCACAACGTTTATTCTTGATCTTACTATATCTATATAACTACATAGTAGTATGGCCAAGCAGGATCTCTGAGGCGTAATAGAGCCAACCTGCCTAGCCGCTGTCCGAGGGTCAAGTCCCGACTAACAGAAAGCGTACTATCTTTAACCCTCACTGTCAGACTGCCATGTATCGTGTTACGTTACATACATGGTCAGCCTGCAGTATCCCGCACCTCATCCACAAAGTTAAGCTTCAGTGGCCAACCGGCCATTCTCTGGCATTAACTACAACCCGCTGACCCGCACATGACTCTGTGCTGCTGGCCATGGTAATGATACCCCAGCTGCTGTTATAATTTGTATTGGCAGCACTCTGTTTATTTAAATAGATATAATCAACTTACTTAATTAAGGGAATATATAAAACGTATATACACTCCCTGTTAAAACATATAGACTCCCTGTTAAAACCTATATACCCTGCCAAACTGCCTATGATATATGCCATTTCTGTAAAGAAGGACGTGTCCCACGTCCTTATAAGGAATTGGGAATGAGGTACGGTGGACAATCAATCAATATAACCACATATTTAAAACAGTATGAAATGTATAAACAAGCAAAAAGTACATAAAGCAATTTTCTTTCTTTTTTTAACTGGACAAAATTTAAACTGAGAATTTGATGTAATGTACAGCATTTTGTGTGTGGACCACGATTTTTTTTTTTTATCTACAAACACTGCTGTCGAACTGGATACAATTTCACACAGAAATATTCCCAGTAACGACAATATGACTACATACGTACAATGAATACAGTGGTTACATCGGTGCATTGCTATCCATACAGACAAGGAAGTTACGCGTTACAAATATACCAATACATGAATATGTACAATGAAAAAAAATGAACAAAGACATTGATGACTATAACAGCGGTTGCTCTGTCTTGTTCTTATTCCCTCTTCTCGTTATTTCCACTCCTCACAAATAACGCTTTCACTTATGCTCTGCTTCACTCACTTTCTTTCATTCTATTTTTCTTGTCAGTTCATAATTCCCATGCGGACAAACACTTCATTCACCCAATTCTACATCTGTCCTTCTCTCGCGCTTACACTTCACCTCTCTCTGTCTCTGTTTCGCACCCACGCTATATCCTCTCACTCTCTGTTTCTGTTTCTCTCTCTCTCCTTTCCTTTCTCCCTCCCTCTCTCTCTCTCTCTCGCACCCACACTACACCTCTCTCTCTCTCTCTCTCTCTCTCTCTCTCTCTCTCTCTCTCTCGGACCCACCCTATCTACCATACATGTCAGTTTTTCTTTTGTATTCTGTCATTTTTTTGTTCATTTATCCTATCAGCAGCTATCTTACTCCTTCACTCTCTCTCTCTCCACTTTACAGTACATAAGACAAGCCTATTCTAAACCTACTTTCAACACACATTTATACTTCAAACAGGATTGACATTTTTCATAAATAGACAACAGCTCACATAGGGAATATATATGCATTCATTTTCAATGATGTATTAAGAATCACATAGGGACAGATAATCGTAACTACTCATTTCCAACCCCCGCTAGCAAAGGGCCTATAATGGGTAAGAGCAGTTACTAAGGAACACCAAATGAAAGATAATGAAAGATGATACGTCTGAACACCTATTAATGGCTAGTAGACATGTGAACATTACATAATGATATTTGAACACTCACAGAATGATGCACTATTCCACAGTCATAATCCATATATAACGTAAAAAATCAGACATCTTGCATAAAATACACTGTTTTTAATGATGTAATCAACTTCAACAAATCGACATCATTGTCACACACTCGCACCAAGGGTACACTTTAATACAAGAACATTAAATCCTATGAGCGTGAATAGACTGTTGATAGGTATGGGTTGAGTTTCGTTAGCACCAGGTTTACAAAAGGGTACATGGTCAAAATGAGGGTGGTGAAAATATGAGCAATACTAAGACATCGTAGCAAGAGGTTTTGATGATACCACATGAACTGGTCAAGAGAACGAGCGTTATCTTCACATTGGAATCCCATGGAGTCGTTAAAGGGCACAGATTGGGGTCCTTGATTATACATGCAAGGTCGGTATTGTGATGACCTGGGTTGATGAGTTGGGGACTGAGACCCGTGGTTCACATGTTGTGCTTGGGGATATGGTGATGGAATGGATCCTGGCTGACATGAATGCTCTTTCTTTGGCCCAGTATCTGATCCTATTGCATTGACATGATGGGTGTTGAGAGTATTGACTTTAACTGTGAGTTCATTTATAGCGGTCATGGTTTCATCAGATCTGGAGTCAGTCCACCCTGACATGGCCTCGGCTATCTCCGCACTATCTGTGACCTGTTCTAAGGAGGTGAGGGGGCGTGTCAGGATGAACATGCGGATATTGGGAAGAGCATTACGGAGAATAAGATCTTTGATGTACATGTCTTCATTTCTTTGTAGAAGCTCTGCCTCATGTCTTATGGACTGGAGGAATGATCGGAAAGGTTCACCTTCCCACTGTTTTCTGTCCAATAAATCATTTTGTCGAGTTACAAGACCTACTGCGGAAGGTGCATATCTCCGTAAAAAGGCTTGTCTCAACTCAGACCAAGACATAAGTGAAATATTGTTGATACCATCGTACCATTCAGCTGCGAGATCAGTTAAATAAAGGGGGAATATTTTTGTTTGGTCTTCTTCAGAATACTTTTGTACTGAAGCAAAGTTTTCAAAGCGTTTCAGCCATGAAACAGCAGCAATGGAATCCTTGCCATCATACATTGAGAGCGGGAGGCGGGAGCAGTTAATTAGTCTTAATAAAGAGGTGCGATCATCAGTGGACGAAGGATTATCAGCGTGGGGTCTTGGGCGATTGGTCAGCTGACATGTTTGAGGTATTTCAGATTGGGAGGGGGGTGGGGAGGAGAGGGGGGGAAACTGTGATTGAGGAGGCAAGTAAGATGGGGGAGTTTGTTGGGGGTCCCGGGGGTGTTGAGGCTGTGGTGAACGAGGTCGTGGTGACCCGGTTGCATACAAGGTTTCCCATCGGGGAGTGAAAATAGTTTCTTGTTGGGTTGAACCATTTCTAGACTGTAAGGACTGGTATACTATGGGAGGACTCAAGACTTCGGGGGAGGCTAGGGGAAGACGTTCATTGGCATTGAGGGGTTTCAGAGCGTAAAAAGTCATTCTTGTTGATTGTAATACAATATATGAAATAATGCTTACCAAAACTGTTCCTACGAATGTCACAAATATGCAGGGCTATAGCACATTAATTACAACAAATATTCACTGCAAATCACAATGCCTTTGAGGACTGTTTCTTTTGAGATAGTGGCTGGCACAAACACACAGGAATTACCGGAATGAAACAAATGTCTTGGTTAAGTGGAACTTGATGTTGTTAACACAGTGGTCGTCGATGAAAATGTCAGTCTTCGAAATCACCTCTTGATGGTTGAGGGAGGGGTGTGACGAAACAAGGAATCCGGGGTTCTTTTTCTGTTGTATCCTGGAAAAGTTGCTGGTCCCCGGGACGGCTTAAGGGGTTGGCCTTTTAGGGTGGTAACAATGTCTCCGAGTAAGAACAATGATGACAATAATGATGAGCACAGAATAGCTTGAGGATAGACGAACCAGAATGCTGGTTGTTGGTTTTTGTCGTGATTGTTGTGGACCCCAGACGAAATAACGATTCACTTTGTGTTGACAAACTTCTTTATCTTGTTGCATTGGGTTTGAGGTACCGAGGATCGAAGCTCCACCAATATATCCTAGGTAGACGTTGGTGCTCTACCGGATAATTCTCTTATTACAACACACAAGTCCGTCTGTGGGTCCACAACGTTTATTCTTGATCTTACTATATCTATATAACTACATAGTAGTATGGCCAAGCAGGATCTCTGAGGCGTAATAGAGCCAACCTGCCTAGCCGCTGTCCGAGGGTCAAGTCCCGACTAACAGAAAGCGTACTATCTTTAACCCTCACTGTCAGACTGCCATGTATCGTGTTACGTTACATACATGGTCAGCCTGCAGTATCCCGCACCTCATCCACAAAGTTAAGCTTCAGTGGCCAACCGGCCATTCTCTGGCATTAACTACAACCCGCTGACCCGCACATGACTCTGTGCTGCTGGCCATGGTAATGATACCCCAGCTGCTGTTATAATTTGTATTGGCAGCACTCTGTTTATTTAAATAGATATAATCAACTTTCTTAATTAAGGGAATATATAAAACGTATATACACTCCCTGTTAAAACATATAGACTCCCTGTTAAAACCTATATACCCTGCCAAACTGCCTATGATACTACAATAGCGATACTACGTTTGTACTTGTATTGAGATATAATGATGACGTGCTCTGGGCGGATACACACACATATTCCCAAACAATTTGAATAGGGTGATGATTAACACTTGTTTTGTATTGTTTTTCATTTTGACACCTCCTTCGAATGTAAGCTTGTTTTATACCACTCATAGTGTAAGCTTCCTATAAATATGCCACGCTATATATTATACATATTATAAGTAAAACGTTTTGTGGATCAGATAATAGGAACAGCCTCTCAAAAGGTGAGTACAATATGAAGGTCATACCTGTTCCTTCCGCCCAGTCATCTCCGGGCGCAGTCCACTGAAGCGTGACTACGTTGTCCTTGACCTCTATGGGAACAAGGTCAGTGATTGGAGATGGCGGAAACTGGTCGATTTTCGGGTTCAACCCACGCACGTCGAATGCTCCCGGTCCTTGCGATGGTGTTCTCGCCATGGGTTCCACAGGAGAGGTTAGAATCTTATCTTCGATATCCTCTAAATCTGTACAAAAACATTCAATGTCTGATTATTTAATGTATTAAAAAAGATGACATAAGTCAAAAGGGTAATACAATTTAAGGTGTGACCTTCACCACAATACATATTAAAAGGTCAAGTCACTGGTCTGTATTGACAAAGGTTTGTTATCTACAAAGTTAACATATTGATCAATCTTTGAAGCCATATGACCAATGTCATCACAGTTTGTTTAAATTTATTTTTTTAGAATCACGGTTACTTTTGCAACTGAGTACAGCTACCAACCAACATCCTCTTGCGAGTCTCCAGTCCTGCTGATCAGCTCTTTGACAACCACTGTTTCCCCTACCACAGAGGCCACGTGGATTTCGAGCGAGTACCGGTCATTGGCGGTGTAGCCTGTAAACTCGCCAGTGTATATACCGTCCAAAGCTGCAACATCAGCACCTGAGAAGAAATAACGTTTAATCCGTGAGCTGGGTTTAGCGCCGATCTGAACGGTATTTCAGATAAAGCAGGACCTGTCAGCTTACTAAACGCGGAGGACGTGTTTAACCCCTTTAACACTTTGATCAAACCAACCTGCACAGACATGGTGCTGAAAAACCAAGAATGAAATACACGATCACTGATCCAGCATAAAGAGCGCAACTCGGCACAGCGCGTATTGCGTTTCCGTATTCGATAGGGTCATACGTTCACTTTCATAACGTATAATAGATATCGTGTAAAAATAGTTACCCCGACTTTTGAGATCAACATATGCTGGTGATTAACATTATACATCACGTTCAGCTAATAGATTTTTACCAATGGGTACATTTACCGTATTCGACGTAATAAGCGCCCAAGGCGCTCTCAAATTAGAAATAGGGGGCTCTTATTAGAGTAGTATTTAAGTGAAAGAAACGAGATAAAAGATAAATTCTGTGGTTTATGCTGACAGCCTGAAATGTTTATGTACGACAGATATATTTTTCCAGAATTTAATTGCCCATAATTAAGTTTGCATATAACACATGAGTGCGTATTATACGCGAATAAATAAGTCTTGTGTACATTGATCAATCGGAAGGGGTGCTAATTAGGATTGTTCACTGGCCAATATATTAACAAATATCGCCGTGGGCGCTTATAAGAGCGCAGCGCTTATTACGTCGAATACGGTAATAACTGTTTAACATAGATTGTGAGTAGGTATGAACGTCAATGCACTATTCTAAGTGAAATATGACACGAATTTTCAAAGTACCCTTTCCGTCATCTCTCAGGTCCACATTCACAGCGTCCGCTTCTGGTCTTTCAACGGTAGCTGTTACCTTGGCCTTAATCAAAGGGGAGTAACCCCGCGTCACTGATACGTAGATCCGGGTTACCGCAGGGACTTTCACTATCATGCTGTCAAGCCATGATTGAACCTCGTATGTTTCGGAGTCTTCTTTGGGGTCAGCCTTTACAGTCATTATTACAGCCTCGGGACTCGAGTGCAGGGACTTGCTTCTTACTGTCACGTTCCATTCACCAGGCTGTCACAAACAGTAGTTACACATCGTTACCTCGAATTCCACTGACCTAATCGTTAAGGAGGATGCAACAATCATCAACACAATGGTCTAAATCGACGCTCCCCTTGTCCCGAACAACGGACAACACGATAATTTTACTGTGGTCAACAGGACTTCGATCGAGTTACCGAGGTTTCACTGCATATTCTTCCATGAATTTGTAAAATAAAAGAATATGATTGCTCACTCAGAGGTTACAAATGAAAAGAATCACCTCTGATTGAAACAGCTGATTTGACGGCTGCATCACCGCATAAGTTTATATTTACGGAAGAGTACTCCTTTCTCAATAATTGGTCGGTAGGCGTTTTGTAATCAATATATTCACAATTATGCGTTTTAAAATGCAGATTTGCGGTTAACACAATTTTCTAGAAATCGACTATAAGAGTGCATTTGATGTGGTAGCGACAACTGGAATATTGGAGTTGCTTGCACGTTCGGTTCCAAATTCATATTAGCACCGTTATGTGTAAGGTAATCTAGCTATACATTAAAAACACAGTATGTTTATCTCCGTATTCTTGTGTGACATTACTTTTCAGTTACACCATAGCACAGATAATATGAGCACAATAGCATGTAACTATACTGGTCCCATTATATCACAACGTCTTATCAATCATTTTCCCTTACTAGTTTGAAGCATTTAACAAAGTTAACTGATGTGAGCAAGTTAAAATAATTACTTTTGTGGAAATGGATTTTTTATCATTCCGAATGGAGGCGAAGTGGAATGTAAGTTCGGCAGTTTAACATGAACACACCACTCGCGACACCGATTGGTCCTTGCCTTATTCCTTAACAGCCGAGCGCCACGTTCATTCAAAGGGTCATTTTTCAATTTATAGGTGTATTCAAATTATTCTTGAAGGTACAGCTGGCATCATAGAGACCTTGGACTGACCTGTGGGTTGTCAAAGGTGAACTTGTCCACTTTGAGTCGTGGATCTTCTGTGTGCTGAGGTGAGTTTCTATCATAGGTCTTGTTCTCTGGATCTTTAATCTGTACCTTCATATATTGAAAAACAAAATGTACTCGGTATGAAATCACATCTAATATTTATTGTAATTCGATAGAAGTACCAAGTATATGTCCTCGTTTACAATGGTTTAACAAAGAACCCAACTACAATCTTATAAGTACAATCATGTATATGCTTGTTTGTCTACCTCAATGTCCGAATTCTCTGGTGATGTAAACTGGAATACGGTCTTATTGACGGTGGCGTCAATAGGCACTGGCTGTTCAACCACAGGCTTGTCCTTGCTTACTTCTAGCGGCAGATTCACTATCTGGAAATATTCACATACTCACACACATTTTATATACCAAACATCTCATTTCAATGACAGCCTCGCACTGTGAATGGTGACTGAATGGTTTCAAATGCTTGTCTTTTATCTAATTTGATAAATGTCGCCTACAAAATTACCTTTAATGATTTTGTAGGATAGCAGAATATGTTTAATTCGACACAAAGTCACGGAAATCTTCAACCTTGGCACTGTGATATCTCTCTTACTGAGAGGGTAGCGAAATGTCATACGGTGAATATAGTTCGTTTCTTATGGACGGATTCCATACTATCCATGCGCTGCGACTGCATCATTAATAATGATCCCATCCGATACCTGTTCTGAGAAAGCGCTTTTATTATCGATAGGTGTATTCGCACAATGGATCCGCCCCCTTCCGCGGTCTGACCACCTCAAGGGTCAGGTCCTCGGGTCCTTGTTTTCAAATATTGACCTCGTCAAGAGTAATCATTCGCTTTTTCACGCGGACATTCACTTTAAAGTTTATGAAGCCTATAAACCTTTCCCTGTTTCATTACAGCAACTTAGCTGCGAACCGCGAAAGGTTCGTACCAGACGCCATCTTGTTCCCAAGCAGGCGAGTCTCTATTCATCACGTGACAGGTCAATACTAATCATGTGACCCGTCATTATTCGAGGTCGGTGTCAGTCACATGATTTTGGGATCTTCATTGAAATGTGTTCTTTCGTCATGTGGTAGGGATTAACCAATGTAATTCTTCACAGACATTTAACAATATATAGTGATTCATAAACACATACTCATAAACACATACTCATGATATGGTCGGAATCGTACGATAGACTCTGTTTTGGCAGATATTTCTTATGAATCAGGGAAATGGTTTGTCGCTTTTATTTACATGACTTTCTGTATTCATTTTCCCGCTGTGTTCTTTTTCCAGAGAAGCTACATGTATGTAAAAATTGCTTCTGTCAGTACCTCAATGGGCTGGTCCTCTACACACAGCATGTTGAAATCTTGCCACAAGTTGCTGACGACCTGTGTTAGAGTTGCTGACTGGGCCTTCTCGGTGTAGTAGCCATACACCCCACCTGAAACATCACCAGATCTGACAACAACAGTTCCAGTAGTTCTAGTAGCGGTGATAGTAGAAACAGAAGTCGTAACAGTGGCAGTGATATCTGTAGTGGCAGTGGTTTTTTTGTTGTTGTTGTTGTTTAACGCCGCACTCAGCAATATTTCAGTAATATGGCGGCTGTCTGTGTATAATCGAGTCTGGACCAGGCAATTCAGTGATTGATATCATGAGCATCGATCCACGCAATTGGGATACGATGACATGCATCAACCAAGCCAGCGAGCCTGACCACCCGATCCCGTTAGTCGCCTCTTACGACAAGCATAGTCGCCTTTTATGTCAAGCATGGGTTGCCTAAGACCTATTCTACCCCCGGATCTTCACGGGGCTAGTGGCAGAGGTAGTGGAGTTGTAGAAGCTGTAGTAGAAGTGGTATGAGTAGTAGTAACAGTAGGTGAAGCGGGCAGCATCAATAGCAGTTGGGGGAGTTGCAGTTATATCACAAACAGCAAAAGTAGTTGTCGTAGTAATTGTGGCGGTGGTGGTTGTCCTAGAAGCAACAACATTGAAGAGGTAGAAGAAATAGTAGACGTAACAGCAGTTGTATAGCAGCAGCAATATTAGAAGTCGTAGCAGCTAAAATAGTAGTAGTAATTATCGTAGCAGTAGTAGTAGTAGCAGCAATAATAGTAGTAGTTATCGTAGCAGTAGTAGTAGCAGCAGCAATAATAGTCGTAGTAATTATCGTAGCAGTAGTAGTAGCAGCAATAATAGTAGAAGTAGTTATCGTAGCAGTAGTAGTAGCAGCAGCAATAATAGTCGTAGTAATTATCGTAGCAGTAGTAGTAGCAGCTATAATAGTAGTAGTAGTTATCGTAGCAGCAGCAGTAGTAGCAGCAGCAATAATAGTAGTAGTAATTATCGTAGCAGTAGTAGTTGCAGCAGCAATAGTAGTAGTTACAGAAGTCAGTAGCCGGTGATGGCTTTAGCAGATGTAGTAGAAAGAATCCACGTAGAGGAGAAAGTTCGTCATTTGATGAAATACTGGTATGCAAATTGTTCTGGGAATGTGGTTAAGACATAACAGATTAACACCCTGTTCGACATGAAACACACACGTGAGTCCAGTTACTAGTACATGTCAGCAGGACCTCACTAGAGCACATATTCGTATATACATGACAACCTACAACTTATTTATAACAGGATTGTAATGCTCTACCAGTTGCATGACACAGCTCTCCCAGGGACTTGGAAGCGTCACTCCCTAAAGCTATGGAATGCACCATCACTTTGGATTCAATGATGTCCTTCATGACATCGTCAATGGTAGGGCCTCCATCTGGGTTCTCCCCGCCGTCGGTAATCAGCAGTATTCTGTCCTCTTCATCAGCTCCTGCACCAGCACCCTCTAACAGCTGGAATCAGATAGTACCTAGGATCATGTCGATCCTGAACTTGGAATGGATTTCCTCCCACATTATAATGTCATGCCGATATAGACACGAAATGCTGTTCAAAGAGTGTTAAAGCCACCCCATTCACTCAAAAGATATGAAACCATTTATTGTTTCGTGCCTGTCCTATTACTGTTGATATTTGCGGCATTTCATAACAAACATTTATGAAAAATAGCCATATCAGATGCTTCTATATCACTAAGGCAGTAACAAGGATATCTATCGATATACAGTACCAATGCATAATTTACAGCGAGCACATCGACAGTGACAGACCTGTCCACGAGGTAAGATGAAAGTTTATGATAACCTTTTGTGAGTGCCTTAACCTCACAGCAGATAACAACGATATGAAAGCTCGACCTACAGCAAGAGCATCTTTCAGGGCCTGTCCTATGCCTGTAGCAGGTCCAAAACTACGATCCCGCGTTACCAAGTCGACGATTCGTCCTTGATCATCCTCAGTGGTGAGTTTGGTAAGGCCTACTAACATGACGCTGTACCCGTAGAATATTATTATTCCAATCTCAGAGCTGGTGGGAAGTATGTCCTTTATAAAAGTTCTGGCCACTTGATTTTGTCTGAATGCACGTGAATGCTGCAACAAGAAAACTCGAGTACCTGAATACACATGCACTTCAAAACACAAATATCTGAATATCACAGCAGCGCTCCAGATAAACTTTTGGTGTTGTGGGTATTTTACCCATGCATTTTAAAATAATTGGGTATCAGTAATTCTATCTGGGTATTCAATTTTCTGTTACCCACTAGTTTTTACACATGTGGGTATTTAAGTTAAATATTTAAAAACACTATTCATCTAGTCCCTGCAAACTGGTGTCGTGTAGGTTCGAGAGCTTTATAGGACTCAAAAATACGATACTTCCACAAGAAAGTGTGATGGCAAATGATCATGATGTAACTGTCATCGTGGAGTTTGGCAAGGTTGACGGAATGCCCGTTTATAATTTCAAAATAAGTTGCTGATTTGCTAATCGAATACGCAGGGTTACTTCACAATATTTTGATGATACGCACAAGTTTTATTTTTGTAGCGTATCTGTAATGTTCGTTGCGTATTTGATACGCTTGGATTTGATTTTACTGCGTATTTCTGATGCGTATTTTACGCAGATACGCAGCTTATCTGGAGCTCTGCACATTCAAAATTAACATGCACAACCAACCACGCCCACTTACCTCTTTCATAGAAAACATGCACAACTCACAACGCCCACTTAGATCAGTCAAAGATAAGATGCACAACTAACAACGCCGTTTAGATCAGTCATAGATAAGATGCACAACTCATCACGCTCACTTACCTCTTTCATAGAAAATATGCACAACTAACAACACCCATTTAGATCAGTCGTAGATAAGATGCACAACTCACCACGCCCACCCACATCAATTATAGACAAGATGCACAACTCACCACGCCCCTTTATCTCGTTCATAGATAAGATACACAACCCACCACGCCTACCCACATCAATTATAGATAAGATGCACAACTCACCTCACCCCTTTACCTCTTTCATAGATAAGATGCACAACTCACCACGCCTACCCACATCAATTATAGACAAGATGCACAACTCACCTCGCCCCTTTACCTCTTTCATAGATAAGATACACAACTCACCACGCCCACCCACATCAATTATAGACAAGATGCACAACTCACCTCGCCCCTTTACCTCTTTCATAGATAAGATACACAACTCACCACGCCCACCCACATCAATTATAGACAAGATGCACAACTCACCTCGCCCCTTTACCTCTTTCATAGATAAGATACACAACTCACCACGCCCACCCACATCAATTATAGACAGGATACACAACTCACCTCGCCCCTTTACCTCTTTCATAGATAAGATACACAACTCACCACGCCCACCCACATCAATTATAGATAAGATGCACAACTCAACTCGCCCCCTTACCTCTTTCATAGATAAGATACACAACTCACCACGCCCACCCACATCAGTTTTAGATAAGATGCACAACTCACCCAGCCCACTTACCGCATTCATACTATATTAGATAAATGACCGCCTCCGTGGTCTAATGGTAGAGCGTCCGCCCGGAGAGCGGAAGGTCCGGGGTTCGATTCCCAGCCGCGTCATACCAAAAGACGTTAAAAGATGGTACTTGTTGTTACCCTGTCTGGCGCTCGGCATTAAAGGGCTAAAACAAGGACTGGTCGGCTCGGAGTCAGTATACTGTGTCTGAGTGGGGTATTCATGTTGAACCGCGGCATGGTATCTCAGTGTGCTAGCACTATAAATCGGCATCAGTCCGGACTAGTACAAGCAGCCACACACACATACACGTGCATGCACGTCGCTATATAAGTGCAATAATCTTGGACGCGACGTTAAACCCCATTTCACCTCACCTCATTCATAGAAAAGGAGTCATCTAGCAGCAGTACAACACGTCGTCCACACTCCTTCTCTTCAGGGTTCTTGGCCTGATCGTTGTGGTTGTACACAACAGTGACTGAAACAGGCTGAGTCGGCGTCTGACCAGTCTGACTGTGGTCATCGTGGTTGTTGATGATGTCGGCCACAGACACCCCCCTGCAAGCTTTCTCGTGGTTTTTGGACATTGTGGTAGAACCCTGCGAAAAGATGACAGGATTCAGTCACACCAAACACAAATGTCAGATTGAAATAGCATGTGCACATTTAGAGGCATTCATTGTTCATGTAGATGCATATACACATTTGACGTATTAGGTGAGGTGAGGTGAAATGGGGTTCAACGTCACGTCGAAAATTATTGCCGTTATATATCGACGTGCATGCACGTGTGTTTGTGTGTGTCTGCTTGTACTAGTCCGGACTAATGCCGATGAATATGTGCTAGCCCATTGAGATACCATGCCGCAGTTTAACATGAATACGCCACTCAGACACAGTATACTGACTCCGAGCCAACCAGTTCTTGTTTTAGCCCCTTAAGGCCGTGCGCCAGACAGGGTAACAACAAGTACCATCGTTTTACGTCTTTTGGCATGACTCGACCGGGGATCGAACCTCCGCTCACCGGGCGGACGCTCTATTTGATGCATGAGGAAGGCGTAGGGTAGTTTTGTGGTTAAAGCGTTCGCTTGTTACGCATAAGGCCCGGGTTCTATTCCCCACATGTGAAAAATGTGTGAAGCCCAGGTCTATTAACGGGACTATTGCTTAACTCACTCACTCATTCATATTCTGTATTGTCAAACTAACCGTTTGAACACTTCAATATGTGTATAACAAGTATAACAAACTATGTACTAATAGTTGGATATCAATTTGATTGAGAAATAAACGTTTGATGTTGTAAACTTACCGTTTCATTCGCTATAACATCGTCAAACACACCCCAGCGATATCGAGCAAACTGGTTTGCAAGGAGGATGCCTGCCAATGGAGAAGATATAAGTTACGTTGTATATAACACGTTGTAATATATGTCTTGGAGAAGAACTTTAGGTCAAACACATTTTCAGTTGTCAAAATCCATATCGTTCAGGGTGGTCGTTGTCAGGTAATTGGGACCCACTGTTGCGTATTAGACACTGTTGGTAATTAAAATTCACTGTCTGGATCAAGAAACCGAATTTTCGGATGCGCGAATCATTTTATGTAGTATATATTTCCTTAAACGCAATTATTGGCCGGTAGGCGAGGTTTCCGGATTCCTGGGGTCCGGATGAGCGGGGTTCCACTTTGTTACGAAACAGCGCATCACCCTAGTAATATCCCCCTTCTTCGGTATATACTGACGGATGTATTCATTGTGTAACATGACTGGACTATTTGTATCCATGTTTTTATGTCGAGTCCTTATACTGAAATAACCTTTGACCAAAGTTATCTTTTATCAGTGGACGAATTATTGATAATATATTTGTCACAGTGTGACACTTCACCTTTTTCCCTAAATATGCCTAACGTTTAATTTATTTGTATTGTATGTTGTAATTTCGGTTCTTTTCAACTATTATCCGTTATATGGCTGTACTTCCTTGTCAATCAGCCAGTTGTTACGTAAACCCTTACTTCATAACAGCTGAAGCCAATAGGCCCGTCACCTCATTTATGTCTGGGTACAAGGACAGGTTACTGAGTACAAGGACATGTTACTGTGTACAAGGACAGGTTACTGAGTACAAGGACAGGTTACTGAGTACAAGGACAGGTTACTGAGTACAAGGACAGGTTACTGAGTACAAGGACAAGTTACTGAGTACAAGGACAGGTTTCTGAGTACTATGACATGTTACTGAGTACAAGGACAGGTTACTGAGTACAAGGACAAGTTACTGAGTACAAGGACAGGTTATTGACTACTATGACACGTTACTGAGTACAAGGACAGGTTACTGAGTACAAGGACAGGTTATTGAGTACTATGACACGTTACTGAGTACAAGGAGAGGTTTCTGAGTACTATGACACGTTACTGAGTACAAGGGCAGGTTACTGAGTACAAGGACAAGTTACTGAGTACAAGGACAGGTTACTGAGTACAAGGGCAGGTTACTGAGTACAAGGACAAGTTACTGAGTACAAGGACAGGTTATTGAGTACTATGACACGTTACTGAGTACAAGGGCAGGTTACTGAGTACAAGGACAAGTTACAGAGTACAAGGACAGGTTACTGAGTACAAGGACAGGTTACTGAGTACAAGGACAGGTTACTGAGTACAAGGACAGGTTACTGAGTACAAGGACATGTTACTGTGTACAAGGACAGGTTACTGAGTACAAGGACAGGTTACTGAGTACAAGGACAGGTTACTGAGTACAAGGACAGGTTACTGAGTACAAGGACAAGTTACTGAGTACTATGACACGTTACTGAGTACAAGGACAGGTTACTGAGTACAAGGGCAGGTTACTGAGTACAAGGACAAGTTACTGAGTACAAGGACAGGTTATTGAGTACTATGACACGTTACTGAGTACAAGGGCAGGTTACTGAGTACAAGGACAGGTTACTGAGTACAAGGACAGGTTACTGTGTACAAGGACAGGTTACTGAGTACAAGGACAGGTTACTGTGTACAAGGACAGGTTACTGAGTACAAGGACAGGTTACTGAGTACAAGGACAGGTTACTGTGTACAAGGACAGGTTACTGAGTACAAGGACAGGTTACTGTGTACAAGGACAGGTTACTGAGTACAAGGACAGGTTACTGTGTACAAGGACAGGTTACTGAGTACAAGGACAGGTTACTGTGTACAAGGACAGGTTACTGAGTACAAGGACAGGTTACTGAGTACAAGGACAAGTTACAGAGTACAAGGACATGTTACTGAGTACAAGGACAGGTTACTGAGTACAAGGACAGGTTACTGAGTACAAGGACAGGTTACTGAGTACAAGGACAGGTTACTGAATACAAGGGCAGGTTACTGAGTACAAGGACAGGTTACTGAGTACAAGAACAAGTTACTGAGTACAAGGACAGGTTACTGAGTACAAGGGCAGGTTACTGAGTACAAGGACAAGTTACTGAGTACAAGGACAGGTTACTGAGTACAAGGACAGGTTACTGAGTACAAGGACAGGTTACTGAGTACAAGGACAAGTTATTGAGTACTATGACATGTTACTGAGTACAAGGACAGGTTACTGAGTACAAGGACAGGTTATTGAGTACAAGGACAGGTTATTGAGTACTATGACATGTTACTGAGTACAAGGACAGGTTACTGAGTACAAGGACAGGTTATTGAGTACTATGACATGTTACTGAGTACAAGGACAGGTTACTGAGTACAAGGACAAGTTACAGAGTACAAGGACAGGTTACTGAGTACAAGGACAGGTTACTGAGTACAAGGACATGTTACTGAGTACAAGGACAGGTTTCTGAGTACAAGGACAAGTTACTGAGTACAAGGACAGGTTACTGAGTACAAGGGCAGGTTACTGAGTACAAGGACAAGTTACTGAGTACAAGGACAGGTTACTGAGTACAAGGACAGGTTACTGAGTACAAGGACAGGTTACTGAGTACAAGGGCAAGTTACTGAGTACAAGGACAGGTTACTGAGTACTATGACAAGTTACTGAGTACAAGGACAGGTTACTGGTGTACTAGTGGTGTTACATATAATAACCGTGTAATTTGAGAGCAAGTCTAACCATATCGACGTGTCATCTGCACAGGGGAAGGGTTATTTAAAATACTGAATAATCCAGGATGTCTAGAAGCATGAATGAACCTGCACGGAAGAGCAACAAAAGATTCTACGAACTTGCAGGAAGCGGGACGTACCGCGTTGTTTCTGTCTTGTGCCGTCAGTAGTTCCGAGGACAAAGCCCGGGGTGAGATGCACATACCGCTGCATCGCCCCACACGTCCAGGTGGGCTGGGTGTAGGGCCTGTCTCTGTAGTAGGGGTGGGGTCTGTCCACCCTCAAGTCCGCCTCGGAGAACGTCAGCTTGTCATTTCTGTCCCCCATCTGCCAGCTGCTGGGGACAAGAATGGCAGCGGTGCGCATGTGCAGACCTGTAGCAGCATAGAGGCTGTCTGACGCATCCTGGATAAGGATCTGAAAAAAATATATACTAAATTATCGACACTGTAACAATTAAGTTTAACTGTTGTACGAGTAGTCGTGCAATATTTCTACATCAGATACTAGCCTGTTGTGTGAGATATGTGAGTGTGTGGTGTGTGAGATATCTGGTGTGTAAGGCACATGTCACATAGATATATCCAGTGTGTACGGCACATGTCATGTAGATATATCCAGTGTGTAAGGCACATGTCACATAGATATATCCAGTGTGTGAGGCACATGTCATGTAGATATATCCAGTGTGTGAGGCACATGTCATGTAGATATATCCAGTGTGTAAGGCACATGTCACATAGATATATCCAGTGTGTGAGGCACATGTCATGTAGATATATCCAGTGTGTAAGGCACATGTCATGTAGATATATCCAGTATGGAAGGCACATGTCATGTAGATATATCCAGTGTGTAAGGCACATGTCACATAGATATATCCAGTGTGTAAGGCACATGTCACATAGATATATCCAGTGTGTGAGGCACATGTCATGTAGATATATCCAGTGTGTGAGGCACATGTCATGTAGATATATCCAGTATGGAAGGCACATGTCATGTAGATATATCCAGTGTGTAAGGCACATGTCACATAGATATATCCAGTGTGTGAGGCACATGTCATGTAGATATATCCAGTGTGTGAGGCACATGTCATGTAGATATATCCAGTGTGTGAGGCACATGTCATGTAGATATATCCAGTGTGTGAGGCACATGTCATGTAGATATATCCAGTGTGTAAGGCACATGTCACATAGATATATCCAGTGTGTAAGGCACATGTCATGTAGATATATCCAGTATGTAAGGCACATGTCATGTAGATATATCCAGTGTGTAAGGCACATGTCACATAGATATATCCAGTGTGTGAGGCACATGTCATGTAGATATATCCAGTGTGTAAGGCACATGTCATGTAGATATATCCAGTGTGTGAGGCACACGTCATGTAGATATATCCAGTATGTAAGGCACATGTCATGTAGATATATCCAGTGTGTAAGGCACATGTCACATAGATATATCCAGTGTGTAAGGCACATGTCATGTAGATATATCCAGTGTGTGAGGCACATGTCATGTAGATATATCCAGTGTGTAAGGCACATGTCATGTAGATATATCCAGTGTGTGAGGTACATGTCATGTAGATATATCCAGTATGTAAGGCACATGTCATGTAGATATATCCAGTGTGTAAGGCACATGTCACATAGATATATCCAGTGTGTAAGGCACATGTCACATAGATATATCCAGTGTGTGAGGCACATGTCATATAGATATATCCAGTATGTAAGGCACATGTCACATAGATATATCCAGTGTGTAAGGCACATGTCACATAGATATATCCAGTGTGTGAGGCACATGTCATATAGATATATCCAGTGTGTAAGGCACATGTCATATAGATATATCCAGTATGTAAGGCACATGTCACATAGATATATCCAGTGTGTAAGGCACATGTCATGTAGATATATCCAGTGTGTAAGGCATATGTCATATAGATATATCCAGTGTGTGAGGCACATGTCATGTAGATATATCCAGTGTGTAAGGCACATGTCACATAGATATATCCAGTTTGTGAGGCACATGTCATATAGATATATCCAGTGTGTAAGGCACATGTCATATAGATATATCCAGTGTGTGAGGCACATGTCATGTAGATATATCCAGTGTGTAAGGCACATGTCACATAGATATATCCAGTGTGTAAGGCACATGTCACATAGATATATCCAGTGTGTAAGGCACATGTCATGTAGATATATCCAGTGTGTAAGGCACATGTCATATAGATATATCCAGTGTGTGAGGCACATGTCATGTAGATATATCCAGTGTGTGAGGCACACGTCATGTAGATATATCCAGTGTGTAAGGCACATGTCATGTAGATATATCCAGTGTGTAAGGCACATGTCACATAGATATATCCAGTGTGTGAGGCACATGTCATGTAGATATATCCAGTGTGTAAGGCACATGTCACATAGATATATCCAGTGTGTGAGGAACATGTCATATAGATATATCCAGTATGTAAGGCACATGTCACATAGATATATCCAGTGTGTAAGGCACATGTCATATAGATATATCCACTATGTAAGGCACATGTCATGTAGATATATCCAGTGTGTAAGGCACATGTCATATAGATATATCCAGTGTGTGAGGCACATGTCATGTAGATATATCCAGTGTGTAAGGCACATGTCACATAGATATATCCAGTGTGTAAGGCACATGTCACATAGATATATCCAGTGTGTAAGGCACATGTCATGTAGATATATCCAGTGTGTAAGGCACATGTCACATAGATATATCCAGTGTGTGAGGCACATGTCATGTAGATATATCCAGTGTGTAAGGCACATGTCACATAGATATATCCAGTGTGTGATGCATGTCATATAGATATATCCAGTATGTAAGGCACATGTCACATAGATATATCCAGTGTGTAAGGCACATGTCATATAGATATATCCAGTATGTAAGGCACATGTCATGTAGATATATCCAGTGTGTAAGGCACATGTCATATAGATATATCCAGTGTGTAAGGCACATGTCATATAGATATATCCAGTATGTAAGGCACATGTCATATAGATATATCCAGTGTGTAAGGCACATGTCATGTAGATATATCCAGTATGTAAGGCACATGTCATGTAGATATATCCAGTGTGTAAGGCACAAGTCATGTAGATATATCCAGTGTGTGAGGCACACGTCATGTAGATATATCCAGTATGTAAGGCACATGTCATGTAGATATATCCAGTGTGTACGGCACATGTCACATAGATATATCCAGTGTGTGAGGCACATGTCATGTAGATATATCCAGTGTGTAAGGCACATGTCACATAGATATATCCAGTGTGTGAGGCACATGTCACATAGATATATCCAGTGTGTAAGGCACATGTCACATAGATATATCCAGTGTGTGAGGCACATGTCATGTAGATATATCCAGTATGTAAGGCACATGTCATGTAGATATATCCAGTGTGTAAGGCACATGTCACATAGATATATCCAGTGTGTAAGGCACATGTCATATAGATATATCCAGTGTGTGAGGCACATGTCATGTAGATATATCCAGTGTGTAAGGCACATGTCACATAGATATATCCAGTGTGTAAGGCACATGTCACATAGATATAACCAGTGTGTGAGGCACATGTCATGTAGATATATCCAGTGTGTAAGGCACATATCACATAGATATATCCAGTGTGTAAGGCACATGTCATATAGATATATCCAGTGTGTAAGGCACATGTCACATAGATATATCCAGTGTGTGAGGCACATGTCATATAGATATATCCAGTGTGTGAGGCACATGTCATATAGATATATCCAGTGTATAAGGCACATGTCACATAGATATATCCAGTGTGTAAGGCACATGTCACATAGATATATCCAGTGTGTAAGGCACATGTCATATAGATATATCCAGTGTGTGAGGCACATGTCATGTAGATATATCCAGTGTGTAAGGCACATGTCATGTAGATATATCCAGTGTGTAAGGCACATGTCATGTAGATATATCCAGTGTGTAAGGCACATGTCATGTTCATATATCCAGTGTGTAAGGCACGTGCCACATAGATATATCCAGTGTGTAAGGCACATGTCATGTAGATATATCCAGTGTGTGAGGCACATGTCATGTAGATATATCCAGTATGTAAGGCACATGTCATGTAGATATATCCAGTGTGTAAGGCACATGTCATATAGATATATCCAGTGTGTAAGGCACATGTCACATAGATATATCCAGTGTGTAAGGCACATGTCATATAGATATATCCAGTGTGTGAGGCACATGTCATGTAGATATATCCAGTGTGTAAGGCACATGTCATATAGATATATCCAGTATGTAAGGCACATGTCATGTAGATATATCCAGTGTGTAAGGCACATGTCATGTAGATATATCCAGTGTGTAAGGCACATGTCATATAGATATATCCAGTGTGTAAGGCACATGTCACATAGATATATCCAGTGTGTAAGGCACATGTCATGTAGATATATCCAGTGTGTAAGGCACATGTCATGTAGATATATCCAGTGTGTGAGGCACATGTCATGTTGATATATCCAGTGTGTAAGGCACGTGCCACATAGATATATCCAGTGTGTTAGGCACATGTCATGTTGATATATCCGGTGTGTAAGGCAGAGCTGGGACGGTAACTCGGGTACTCGGGTCGGGGGGTTCCTGAGTAGGACCCGGATACCCACAGGACTACCCGGACCCGTGGTTAGTCACGTGATATATTGTTTAATTGCAAAAATTATCTAGAACTTCCAAGGTTACACTACAAGTGACTAATGTTCACATGTCCTTCTGACTATGCACGCATTCCTTCTGACTTTATATGTTTTAATAGAGATAAAACTTCAGTCGACTTCAGTGAATGCATGACCAGATGGTTTTATACGAGTATTTAAATATATTTGCCAAGGCTACGGTCAAACTATTCCCAATCGGACTTTTGTACCTATCTCTCGCGACCTTCAGCGGGTGTCCGGGTAGGGTCGGGTAATAAGGGGGTGGGTACCTGGGTAGTACATTTTGACTCGTCCCAGCCCTAACACAAGGCTCGTCTAAATGTCATGCCCCACTTACCCCTTTGAATAGTGTTTAAACCAGGATCGAGATGTTTATAAATTACACATACGTAGTTAATTATCTGCGTGCCGTGTCGCGGTTTTTCCCCCGCTATAATACCAGGAAATACAATCGCTGTTGTTAAACAATAGTTCTTGTAGTTGATTCTGAGCCAGGAATACATTTGCTATTCTGAACGTGCATTTTAGAAAACTGACACAACTCTACGCCATTTTGCAGAATTACATAGACAATATAATATCAACCATAACATGTAGGCCAATGGCTTAAGTCAGAGAAAAAACTCGAATCTTTTGATTTGGGAAATAGAATCAACATATTCTCATGACTGCTCCATAACGGAATACGTTTTCTTTGTCAACAAGTTTGTTTGTTTGCTGTTTTTTTCCAGTTATATGACTGCGGTCTGTAAATAAGTGAATTGCTTTATGAATACAAAGGAGTGAGTTAGTGAGTGAGTTGGGTTTAACGCCGCAGTTAATGATGGGAGGAAAGCGCGAAGTGATGCAGATCTCAGACGTTTACCACGTCGGTGAAACCCACAACCACATGTAGGTTGCTGTCAAACCTAGAAACATAACCAGCGCGAACAGGAATTCGATCCCAGACCATGTTTCTGGCGCGCCAAAGGGACACAACTCTGCACATCGAACTGCGGAAGCTTAGACGACTGGGACACGCGTGACTTTGGAACCCTGATTGATGCAAGAGTCATTTGATCTAACGTTTCGCTATTTTAAGATATTCATACCAAACGTTATCATTAGAAAATAAATCAAGAATTTAGGTAAACAAGTCTTAGCACAACATGCAGCAATTAGACTACAATCCGCAGAGGTCAAGGTAACCTACCTGCAGGTTTTCAACCAAATCCACAGACTTGGGAACATTCTTGTTGATTGCGAAGGTAATGTCTTCATAGCCGCCGTTTGTTAGCGACAGTTTCGTTGCCATAGCCACGGACAACAAAAACAGCCAAACAATGGATTCGGTGAGGAGAATTACCATCACAGTCATGGCTGAATGAAGATCAGTTATGCAGTATGCGCTGTAGAGTCACAAGAGTGTAGTGTTAATATTGACGTCTACACTGTACAATGTAACTAGCTTGCGTTGTCACTGTCGTCGATCGCGCTCTGTCTCCATTTCCGTGCTGGACCTCACCCCGGAAACACTTCACGCTGACGTGTTGTTAGCTAAAAATAGCCTTTGGGACTTTCGAATTCCCCGGAAATAGAAAGTGTCTGACAGTTTAGTTGCATGTTTGAAGGTATATCTGCTAAACATGGGTATAAACGAAAACTTAGTATTGTGATCTCCTCTAGAAGCAACTGTCTAAAATACTCATAATTTGACAATGTTGTGAACTCGAGACGTTATATAATATATCATTGTGAAAATAATATCACGTAGAGTTACCTCCCTAGCCTTAGACCAGTCAAACATTTTTCATCGAAGTCGCAGTTATTCTAGGAAACGAGAAAACCATGACCTTTGACCGTCGTCAGCTGGTTAGTGATTTCGAAGGTCAACAATACAAATAAAACCAACACGTTTCGTTTTTTGTTAATTTCTCGAGGTTGGTGGGTAAATAAGATGCCAATATTGATAATAAGACTGTTTTATTTCATTTGATGGTAAATAATTAAAAAAGTAAATTGTGACTCGACGTGTACAGTCTAACTGTACAGTGCCGTGTTTTGGATATTTGCTACGCAATGTTTATGTAAAGCAGATTATGGCAGGGCCTGTGTATGTAATCCCAACTCTTATCTGCACCAAGATAAAATGCTTACATTTCACAATGTCTTCCATCATCTCTATATCAACGTACGTTTCAAGATCAAGATTATCAATTAGGGTCGAAAAGTGTGAGTGAGTGAGTTGGGTTTAACGCCGTTTTCAACAGCATTCCAGTTATATCGCGGCGTGTCAGCTTAATGTGGGAGGAAAGCCAGCAGTGATGCAGGTCTCAGACGTTTACGACTTCGGTGAAACCAAAGAACACGGGTATGGTGCTGACAAACCAAGAAACATAATCGGCGCGAATCGGGATTCGAACGCACAATCATAGGTTTCTGTCGTGCCCAAGGGACGACTGGGCCACCCGTGCCACAACTGTCCAATTTCCGTTCAGCTGTGAAAATCGAAAAAGAACATTTGATATAATATCCATGTAAATATTGCAGGAAATTATTGTACGAATGGCTTTTCAAATGAATTCTGCTTCACTGAGGAAAGAATATTTTGCATTTCTTTGTTGTAAAATGTAAAACTTTAGTGGTTCAGTTTCATCTTGCATTCTAACTTAATGAATAAAAATACATATTTAAGAAACTATCTAGATCTAAACCTGTGTAGACAGATTTTCTTTTGTTCGTATATTTGCAATATAAACTGGGCGGCAAAAGAAAATATAGGTCGAGTTCCATGAGCGATAAAGAAATCACAAGAAGAGGTTTTGTTGTGAATTATAATATAATCTAGGGAGGGGTAACAAATGATTGATCAACCACAGTTTGAATGAAATTGTACAATCACAGGTAATGTAAGCTCAAGGTAAACAATGGTGGGGTAAGAAATTTCATTTTCAAAAGTTGTCTGAAATGTCACCAAAAAATTGTCAGACACACTACAAGTTCATTGTCGACACAGTTGCCTTCAATGGCGTGTTTGACCTCCAGCTGCCTCAATGCATGCTGTGATACGCCGCCTCATCGATGACGTCAGTCTTCTGATGACCTGGACTGGAATCCGTTGCCACTCGTCTCTCAGGGCCTGCTGCAATTCTTGTCTGTTGGCGGGAGGCTGATGGCGTGCTCTAATCTGGCTGTCACGATGGCCCCACAGATGTTCAATAGGATTCATATCGGGTGAGTGGGCAGGCCAGGGCAAAACCTCAACGTTCGGCTGGTTTAGAAAGTTCCGAGTCAGTCTTGCAGTATGGGGCCTGGCATTTACGCGTTGAAACAATATCCCCTGCTGTTGGTTTTGTAAGAACGGAAGCACAACTGGCTGCAACACTTGGTCTCTGTACTGCACAGCGTTCAGGTTTCCCTGTATAATCACCAAATCAGTCTTCTGATCTCCACAAATACCGCCCCACACCATGACACCTCCCCCGCTGAGTGGATGGACCTCTCGAATACACGCCGGAGCCAAACGTTCCCCTCTGCGTCGATATACTCGTTCTCTGATGTCATTTCGAAACAAGTTAAACCGACTTTCATCAGTAAACATCACCCGACGCCAATTTCTCACTTGCCAGCGTCGAACCTGCCTCGCCCATCGCAGTCTCAGGCGTCGATGTTGAGCAGTCAGTACCATTCCTCGGAAAGGACGATACGCTCGGATTCCAGCAGCAAGAAGTCGTCGTAGTACTGTACGTTGGCTTATGGGATGTCCCAAAGCTGTTGCTGCCGTCGCCGTCGCCGCTACGAATCTGTTTCGCAGGTGAATGAGCCGTATCTGACCGTCTTCCAGTGGTGTTGTCACTCGGGGTCGTCCGGTTCTAGGCCTGTCCTGTGCCCTTCCTCTCTGCCTGTACCGTTGAATCAGCCTGGCTACTGTCAATTGTGTACAACCAAACCTTCTGGCAATTAGGACCTGTGTTGCCCCCATTTCGGCCATACCGATGGCTCACTCTCTCTGCTCCTGTGACAGTCGTGGCATTTCTTTTGTGTGCAGTTTATGCCATAGACGGGAAACCTGTTTCACCATTCCTTTGTCACCGCAGGAGCGCCGTCAAAGGTGGCGCGTTCGGGTCAGGTGTTTTTTGGTACCTGTTCCTGGGAAGTCATATTCCCAAAACCCACTTTCCACTAGTTATCGGTGTTTTTAGGAAAATTACAAATTGCCAACCTATACTTTCTTTTGCCGCTTAGTTTAGTATCCCGTTTAGGCCGAGATAATGCCTGGTAAAAATAACTCTGAACGCATTCACTGAGGGTAAATGCAGATATGACAGTCACGTGCTCCTTCCTGGACCCAAATTGCAACATGTCGTGAAAATTACAAACATTTCGGGATATCAACGTTTGTAAACTTTCCAGACTTTTCTCACAAAGTTTACAAACACAAGATATTAGCTTAACACCTCTTAAATTGACAGGGCTTGATTTATCGTTTTGACCCTTAAAAAGTTATAATTACCCCTTGTCTACAGGCTGCAGGTGTGTACTGAAGTCTAAGAATAGCATTAAGTAATAGTGCTAACCTTCTACCAGAAGCTCAGCGCCAAGCATCACTTGTTTATTATTGATATCGTCGGGGCCAGGCGATCAACTCCGATCTTCTCCTTACGTGATTTTTCTCACAGACTTATAAAACGTATTCACAATAGTTTCACAAGTTCTTTCTAAGTCCAACACAATTTGTTTGAATGAGACCGCTTTGACTGTCTGTGACGACGTCGGGTATCTCGCTTAGCTTGCTTGTACATGTATGATGATATAGCATGACGCGGTTTATCGTGAAGACCCCACTCAGACACAGAACAGTCGAACAGTCCTTGTTTTAGCCCCTTTATGCCGAGCGCCAGGCAGGGTAACAACAAGTACCATATCTTAACGGCTTTTGGTATGACGCGGCCAGACGATCGAATCCCGGGTCTTTCGCTCTCCGTGCGGACGCTCTACCAAAGGAGACGATGCATAGTGTTGCAAGACGCGCGTATGCAATCCTTACTCCATACTAACTGTACAGTGGCGTTAGTTGGTGTGAGTGAGTATGGTTTTACGCTGCTTTTAGCAATCTTCCAGCAATATCACGGCGGGGGACACCAGAAATATGCTTCACACATTGTACCCATGTCGGGAATCGAACCCGGGTCTTCGGCGTGACGAGCAAACGCTTTAACCACTAGGCTACCCGACCGCCCCGCGCGAGTTTTCTTAATGTTTTATGGGAAGTAGTGTGTAGCAAGGGTGTGTATCCAGTCCCTACCCTTTACTAACTGTACACTGGCGTTAGTTGGATGTTTTCTTAATAATGTTTTGTGTGAAGCGAGACTTGTGTATGTAATCCTTACTCTTTACTCATTGTAGAGATAGTTGGCAGTGAAGTGATAGCTGCCACATTCTACAGCATCCAGACCAGTCTGTATAGGTCCCGCTTTCACCTATGAAACGTCAACGATCTGACATCACCCTTCCCGAGTCCTACACCCAACCGTCTGCAGGTGCCAACTTCATTCTCCACGTAGACAGCCAAATGAGTATATTTGCCACCATCGACAATCCCAGACATCTTGCATCCCGTGACCGCAAAGTCTGCGACGGTACCGTCAACATCTGTCAAAGCCTCTTCGACCACCTCTGCACTGTTCACACCTTCATCGAGAACAAGATGTTCCCATTTGTCATGCTCGCATACCAGCGATAAGCAAGACACCTATCTCACCTTATTCAACATCCCGAAGCAGACAGCAACAGAAAACAACATCAGCTTGCGACCAACAAAATTGTGACTGACTTTGAGGTAGCTGCACAGCGGATGTATTTCAATGTGAACTTGAAGGATGCCTCGTCCACTACCGCCAGGACTTTGGCGTAGTGTACAGCGATGTGGACTCCAGATGAGATTTGCCTATGAGCCAGCAGTTCACCTTCTTATTCGTCGTACTTCGTGTTACCACTTGTGAGACTATGTGACATATCCTATGGGCCTTGATGCCTAAAATACTGAATAAACTGTCTGTCTGTCTGACTATGTGCCATAGAAGACGTGTGGTTGAATACCATTGATAACGCTGGTCTTCAGGATCCTGCATTGCTGAGATTCGCTGACTGTCACTGAGCAGTGGGTGGAGACTGGCAGAGCCACCAGGAAACACTCCGACACAGATGGTTCAAGAACTACAAACCCTGTGGAAGGGTGGCATGCTAGGATGAACAAGATCGACGTCACATCCTACGTTTGTATATGTTTATAGACATGGTGACGAGAGAGCAGATACACATCCAGGCAACAACGATCCAACTGCTGGCTTGAGACAAACAACCACCAAGAAAGATGAAGTACCCGCAACAAGACCATGAACTGGAACGACAGAAGAGACTGTTTAAAACTGGCCTGCAGTCCTCTATGCAGATTCTATTACACAATTAATAGGACTATACATGTATCTGGGATTATATACATGTTTATATTGTGTGTTGATGACTAAGATGTTGAGTGAGTGAGTGAGTT